TTGACGCTGGTGCTAGCCGGCCCTCGACTCCCTCTCATCCCCACCTCGTGTGTTGCGCCATATGCCGTGGAGCCAGAGCTACGGTATGTTTCACCTATTCTGTTGGCAATGACTTCACGTTGAGCACTGGGTAGCATGAGAGCTGTTACTAGCAGTTAGGGCATAGTCTTGCAGAGGGAACTACAATACTGGTACGAAGTATCGTGGAGCCTTATGACCTGCTTTGCTCATTGATGAAAACTAGGGGCAGCAACCTGATGCCAGCCGACGCTTTTCCTCAGCATGCGGAAAGATGGCGCCACCGTTTGGGACACTAGGCTGCACTGATCCAAACTCAATTGGCCCATGCAAAAGCATGGCTGAGGACGACATCCAATGGACATGAACACAGCTTTGTTCTTGGCCATTTGCCCAATTTCTTCCCCAATCTGCGTTGTTCCCTCGTTGACGGACCAACATTCTCTCAGCATCATTAGCCACAGAGGCTACGCAATCCTCGCTGGTCCAACAGAGCTATCCTGGAGCTTCCGCTTGTCATCCTGGACTGCTAGTCCTGGCAACCTTGTAAACAAGGGTTCGAGTGCCGCTAGTAACCTCCCGAGCTTCCACGCGGCACAAGCACAGAGTGCTATTACCCCGTATTGTTGCAAGCACAGGCACGCTCAGAACTTTCAGATTGTTGACTACCAAGAACGAGAACATCGTCACTTTTGCCTTGCCAACAACCTTTGCGAGAGTGTGCTCTCGAGAAGGAGAGAAAAGAGGGCGAACCCTGTTTATCTTGGGGCGGGTACAACTACGGAGAACACGGGATACCGGAGCCCCAGGCGCAACAGAAGCTGGAGAACAGAGTCGAAGCGAGTAGCACTTGTACCACGGAGATGGGACAGCAATGCTGGCATTTCTTGGTCCTAGTGCTGGTGAAAATACGCCCTTGCGCGAGAGAGCTAGAGGCGACGCTACACAACGCAAGGATCGTGATCAAATCAGAGGAGATGCGTTAGCACAGTCTCAACGCGCGTTGTTCTCAGGAGAGGTGCTCATCTTGGCCGTTTAGTCACCCCAAGGCCAGTCCCATCCTGGTCATGGTGTTGCGGCTGGACGAAAGCCTGCCTCCCGCTTGCTCAAATCCAGACGACCTTTGGCTGAGGGGAACCTCCCTCGGTACGGGCGACTGAACTCTATCCTCACACGGTCCGGCTCTTACAAACGCACGATCTGGCATGGCTCTGAGCTCTCTAAGCCACGAGCCCAAGGGGGTTTGCTGTGAGCACAAGCCCGAGATAGCTTCATACTGTTTGCTACACAGCGCAGGTGGTGTCTGTACAAGTCGCGAGCGCACGAGTACTTGTGTGTACGTGACAATACTATCCGGTACAACCCACGGATCTTAAGCCGCGCAGCTGTGTTTCGGGTGCCGGATAGAATGGGCTCTGGATGGTCCTGCAGCCCGTCTAGTGCTCTGCTGTGCTGCACAAGCTCAAGTGCCTGGTGTCCCTTTCGAGCCACCCGCAGCATCTCTGGACCACCCAAGATGCGCGGGGGATCAAGCCTAGTGAGTGAGTGAGTGAGCGAGCTTGCCTGCTGGTCCGGATTCCCAGCCACGAGTGCTGACTACTGATAGGGCACCGTTTAATGATCCATTCGTTGACCCGCCGTCGCGATGCATGCCCGGAGCTTGTCGTTCTCGAATCTGCCGCGCTCCACGTCCATTTCCGTGCCGAAGCAGACTGACGGGACGTGGCACATGAAGACCGGGGACGCGCCAGATGCCTGTACGAGCACAAGCACGAAGAAACAGCATACTGTGCTTTGATCGTTCCTCGTTCTTCTGCCAGCCCCCCCATTGCTGGCCGATGGACAACCTGCCGGTCCTGGGCAAAAGAGTACGTACTCCTATATTGTCTCCTTGGCTTCAATCCCGCCCTTGATATTACAAGTACTACAAGCACATCGCACGGCGCGCCGCCGTGTTGGTACTCGCGTGCCAAGGCCAATAACTTGACGTCTCGTCTCGATCCCAGCGACTCGGCAGCAGCAGTAGTACTACTACTACTACTAGTACTAGGTGCCCTCGCAAATGTCGACAAGGGTGGCAGCCGGAGTCACTGGTGGGTTCCAGTTACAACTTCTCAATACATGGCGGTACTGTACGGGTCCCGCTGGGAGGTGCTCCGTACAAGTACGTCGTGGAACCAGCAAGCCCTGGGCCCGGCTGCGAAACTCGAGGTACCCCATCTCTCTCCCTGGCTCGCTCTGCGCCCGTGGCACCCCCGACGAGGACGCTCTCGCGGGGACATGCCGCCCATCAAGGCCGACGCCGTGGTTTTAAGGCCGTCGACGGCCTAGACCCTGGCTGGTGGATGTAGCACTGGGCGGCCGCTACTGCTGGCGTCTCTCCTGGGGACTGGGAATGGCGACTGCCTGGGCCGTCCTGGCAATCCGCTTGGATGCCCTGGAGCACCACCTTGACGCTTGCAGCCCGCGAAGCTCCAGGCATTTGCGACGGCACCCCAGCCTTCGGCGTCTACTAGGGGAAGTTGGCTCCATGCTCTAGGCCCTACATCCTGTTCCTAGTGTACGGCCCTAGGGCTCTCCAGCGCACGTTTGGCTGGCGGGCCGGACGATCGCTGGCTCTGCTCACCTCCTCAGTCATGCAAACCCGACGTGAATGCATGCACGGCAACGGGGCAACGGCCGAAGGCAGAGAAGGGGGATCAAGACGAGGGAAGGAAAAAGAAAAGCGAGCTCAAAAGCAGAGCCAAACCTGGCCTAGACGAAAGTAACTAGATATTACCAGATTCAGCATCCCTGGGACGGGCTGCGGCCCAGCGAACCAGCTGCGTTCCAGCTCCCTGCCTGGACCTGGCCTAACCTGCCGCTTCGGCCTCTGCTGCTGCATCTTGGGACATGGAGCGAGGCTCAGGTCGGTCGAGTCCGCCTTTTCGCTTGCATCCTCACCTCCAGCTCTTGATACCCGAGCTCATGCTCCTTGTCCATCTGATCCCGCCTCGCTGCATTGCCTCGCTCGTCACTGCTGACTGGAGGACTGGCTGGTCGATGCATTGATTCATTGCTTGGGTTCTTGCCGGCTTGTGCCGCTTGCTTGCCCACCTTTTCTCTCGACTGCCTCTATCTCTACTCTGTCCTTGTCTCCGTCTTAACCTCATACGCTATCCATCGATCCATCGTCCTTATCTTCCGTCTCTTTGCCCTCTCTGTCTCCATCTCTCTGCTTTCTCGCCTTGTTTTTCGTCTTTGGCCCTTCTTCTTCTTCTTCTTCTTCCTCCTCATCTTCCCATCCTCACCGCCATCCTTGGCTCGCCGTCTCCCATCGCCGCCATCACCATCATCTGCTTTTTGCTCCCTCTCTCCCTTGCCCTCGCCTTGATTGGCCATTTGACGGGCGCGCTCAATCGACTGCGACGCTGCTGACACGCCAGCCGATTGGGACCAAGGAGGGCTACCGTCCAAAGTGGACTGGCCAACACCAGCAAAACGGCCGCGAGTAAGAAAGCGACAGGAGAGACATCCGCTGCCTTTGTGCGGGGCCACGCAGCTGCCATCGTACTTGTGGTGGATTGTTACTAATTGGGCCTGTCCCGTTTGATCCCTCTGCCACCTTGATCGCATATCATCCGGCAGCTCCTCTGGCTCTCGACTTGCAAGCACGGATTCCTGCGCCTTTCGGTGACTACCGCTGCCACCCAGCCCGACTCTTGACTCTCGTTTCGCCGCAGCCCCGAACTCGATTCTCCTTCCACCTCCTTCAGCCTCCTTTGTGTGGGTTTTTTTTTTTCTGGGTTTGGAAGTTGCAAAAGAGTCCATCTCCAGACAAGGGGGCGTAGTCTTCTGGTTCCTCACCTTTCCCAACAGAGGGGACGATTCTTCCAGCAGCATTGCGATATTCTCCCTTGTCGCCCGTGCTACCTCGCCGAAACTTATGTGCACATGCCGAAGATAGCTAGCCATTGCTACACACAACGTCCGTTGCTTCACCACCTCCTTGCTGTACCTTTCGCCCGTACCGCTCTGGGGGAACTGCTGTCTATTTCTCCGGCTGCTCGATATTTGATGTCTTGCTTTGGTCCGTCTTGGAAAGCACGATTCTGTACCTGGGCCCGCAACCTCTTCGTCTCGAGCTCTAGTCTCCGTCTGCCTGTCTCGATACACCAACGGTTCCTAGTATAAATCGATCTGCCACGCCTTGCACAGAGTTGTTCTCTGAGCTACTACCGTCTGGCAAGCCGTCTGGCAACCGATGGTGGCTGAGAGCGTCCGATTGCCCTGCTGTGCCCGTCTTCCCCTTGATTGCAATTTGCCTCCGAAGGCTTGAATACGACTCCCCACGTCAATACATCGCCTTGCTCGCCTTATTCTTCAACACGACCCGTCATCGCCCAGACTGGACGCGCGCATCCTCTCCTCGACATTGGCTGCTGAGGTCGTACAGCCTCGCCGGTTTTTGTACGCTCGGGTATAACAGCATCCTCGTACACGCCCTCCCAACTGCCAGCAGCGCCATCCCAAGAGATCCTGGCATACCGCGACATGCCATAATTCAACCTATCGTCTTCTCGTTCGACAAACTGCACACCACCCTGCTTGTTCCGTACTCTTTGCGGTCTCTGCGCCACCTCGAGAGAAGCACAGACTGGTCATTAGCCGTCTCACCCCTTTACAGCAGGACGCTGGTGGCACGGCATCGCGAGACAAATTCTCTCCGATTCTGCCAGAGGAATACAGCCACATAGACTAGGTGACCAGAACCCGGCCGCCGGTGCCAGCCTCTACGTCCCTGGGCCTTTCCATCCGGCCTATGCAAACCGAGAGTCGTACCAAGCAGAGCCGAATTACGCTGCCGAACTACCTACCCGCGAATCGCTGACTGGGTAGCCTCCGGGGCAAACCCCCCTTCGGACTTCTGTTAAATCTCGCCTGTGTGCGCTCTGCTCATATTAACGCAGTGCCAGAAACCCCCCTCGGCCTCTCTGCCAGCCATGGTTCAGGACTGGACCCGGGATTCATTCCCTCGTCACCAGACTTTCCAGCCTCAGTACTATCCGGCCGATGCAGCTTCCTCGCGGCACCAATCCTTCTCCTCCGAGAGATACGCTTCCGATGTTGGCCAGCGGCATCACTCTTTCCCCCAAGAGCGCGTTGGCGTTGACACCGACAATGCTCGTTTTCAAGAGGGCAATGACTCGCGCCGCCCACCACTGATGGTAAGATTTGCAAACAAACAGCCTGCACATGATGATGCTGCCAGTCCATGCCTTTCATGCGCTCCTTTTACTGACAAGAACGAAATCAACAGCAAATTGACGAGGCGTTGAGAACACACTGCGGCATTGTGGCCAAGAATTATTTTGTTGCTGCCGTTACCGACGATGGCACATCCATGACCTTCTTCAGCCCCAGCCCGGGACGCGGCATGACGGACAACACCATCCGCCAATTCTTCGATGCCAACAGATATCGCCAGGTCATGTCCCGCATTGATGCAGGTGAGACTTCCCAGTATACGTATGCTTTTGTTCATTGCTAAATTTAGTACATGCGAAGGTGCGGATCCCATGCTGGACGACTACAACCTTGAAGATGGGCTCTACAACCGCCCTGCAGCTTTCGGTCGTAGCCGGGTGGTAGACCGTCGCCGCAACTCTGGATTCGGTGAATGGAATGGCAGCCCCATTCGCCAAGGTCGCAAGCGCGCAAGGGGACCCCGAGCCGTCAACGATGAAGATGACGTGCCCATGACCATCTCGTCCCGCAGGGGCATCAGGATTGGCGACTCCGCTGCCGTCTGGAATTTCTACGAGCAGCGCTTTAAGAATTGTCAACAGACGGCCTGCAAGCTCATCGCCAAGGCCTGGGTCAAAGCTGTAGAGCCCAAGAAGCAGTCGACGCATCCCTACACCGGCAGCGACGAGAAGGCGCCTGCCTGGTGGCCGAAGCCATGGGGGCCTACCAAGGATGACAAGGTGCGGCACAAGGAGCCCGATCATCTGTACAAGCGAGGTGAGAGATAGCAGCCCCGGCGGGCGGGAGCGGATATGATAGTGACAAATGCTGACCGGAAGCAGAGCGTGTACATCTTCTCGCTCACATACTGAGGCTCGTTGTTGAGCCCAACGCTAAGCAGCACCCTGATATTCAGAAGCTTGGCCTGAACGTCAAGAAGCTTGAGGAGACAACTGTCGAGGCTCTCTCATCTTTCTTCATGGATAATGATGCAAACGCCAAGAAGAGGCCGTACTTGAACGAGATCTTCAAGGTGGCTCGGCAGGAGGAGCGATACAAGAACGGCGAAATCGGTACGTAAACTGAGAAGGCATCAAGTCTGCGACCAATGCTAACGACTGAAAGACGGGTCGACCGAGGTTTATGTCATGGCAGAAGACAAGATGCCGGAGAGCTACGCTTCTGACAATGAAGACGCCCCCTTCATCAAGGACGAAGACGACCACGATGGCAGATCCAAGCCCCTGGCTGCCCAATGCCTTCCTCACCCCACATCATCCGAACCCAGCTCGGCTACCAGCATTCGGCCGCCCACCTTCCTGAACAATGCCTACGCGCCGTCCATGATGGCAGAGATCCCCCCGCAACAGCACACCTTTGTCGAAGGCGGCACAATGTCGGTCCACAGCGGGCAGCCTGTGGCCACTACAGCTGCCGCCAACATGGCCCTCGAAATGGTGCCCAGCTCTCACGATGCCAGCCGACGGCCATCTGTATTTAGCGAATACGCCAGTCCCGGGGGAAACCTGTACAGCCAACAGTGGCCGCAGGGATCAACGACCACGAATGCGCCAACCATGTACCCCTACGCGCAGCAGCAGACACCGACACAGCCTGCTCCATTTGTTGCCTCTGGGGTTTCCATCACCCCCAACCAGTCCTTTATCGCCAATTCTTTCGAGGCACCTCACCGCAGCGAATTCGATCAGAACGGGAACCCGATATTTCGATCGGGAGACCTGCCTCAAGCACCCGCCGTCAACCAGCAGCAAGGTTATGGCTATGCAATGCCGAGCGACGCGCGGGGGATGAGGGTCATGGCTCAGGTTGTGGACACTGCTGGGCACCGCCCGCCTCTTCAATAGAGCGAAGCTGGCCTGCGCACAGAACAGACTGCACAATGCGCCATCTTGCCATCTTGGGCATTGCGTGTAACACGCTGACCCCGGGCATTATGATGGGCACGGTGTCCTGATGTAGAGAGCACAGGGCGCTGTACCCATTGGATGGCATGATGAGTGCGATTGTGCTCATTCTCCGTTTCTCATCACCTCGAGCCCAGATGGGCTTTTGGCGTTGGTGGAATTTTGGCATTCCGCGGCGGGAATCTTTTTGTTCTCATTTCCTTTCTGGCGATTGGTATCTTCTCTAAGATGATCATTTGCAGCCCCTTTTCTACCCTCCTTTTGCGGTGTCTTACAAACAGCATGATCGGTTTAACGCTCTGGGTCAGAATGGCAGCGATAACATGCTTCGGGAGGCTAGACTGCCCTCGCAAACTTTCCATTTGTGCTTTGGCATGTTTGCGGCATTTTCACGGTTGGGCGGACATTTGCTTCGGGCAGATGCTTTGAATTTTTGGCGGCAGCAGCCTGTGGTTTGCAGAGCGCACCTTGGGGTTGGCACTTTGAGACTTGACGCACAATAGCGTGACGATGTTAGGGGTGGGGAGATTATCTCGGGCATTTCCATTGGAGTTTTCTTCCTTCTTCATCTTTCCATTCTACACAAGCTTGCTGCAGATGGGATGAACGAACTGATTCTGAGGCGGCTGGGCGGTTTCACGAGGGATAGAACGAATCAAACGAAGCAAGCGAGCAGAGCAAGCCAGCGATGTGAGTCTCTTTTGGAAAGCGATCTCGAGAAGAAAAATGTCTCTTTGTGTCTCTCTGTATTTGCCTTTTAGTAAGGAGGTTCGGGCGGGTATACGGGATTGTTGATTTATTTTCGCTATGAATATGATAATTAATCTTCTGATGCTCTTGCCTAGGCATTACATGCAATGCGAAATTGTTAACTTGTGTCACCCGCCCAAGAGGCGTTGATATCGGTCTCTCTAAGGCGAGAGTCGTAGAATAAGAAGATGGCTGCTTTATCTGCCTTGCGGACATGGAAAAGGAAACAAGCTGTTCTCACAACCATAGATTATCGTCTGCTCGACACGTCTGTGACGCATGTGGTAGCGTATCGGGGAATGTAGGGCATATAAACGGAAGTACCAGAGAGAGAGATGACAATGGAGCAGGACGTTTTCCCTTTGGCATTTGCTTGCTTGGTCTTTATCATGTACGGTCCTGCAAGGAAGGGGGGTGGGGGGGGGGGGGGGGGGAGGGGGGGGCGAATGACTTTGTTGACGTCGGTGATATGCCAGTTTGTGGAGTGTAGGTATGTTGGGATGTGTGTGGAGCTTACTATACTATACTTTTATGGAAAGGTTCCGAGGGAAGAGAAGAGCCAAGGTATGATCATGGTATGCTATGGGTTTTGGGGGTGTTCTCCGGTCTGTTAAAGGGGCTGGTTTGGTTTCGGGGGGCCCCTTTGGGGGGGGGGGGGGGGGTTAATGTGTGCATTGTCTTTGCTTTTTGCATTCGATAGTTGAGGAGATAAAGTGATGAGGCTGCATATGGCTACCTGACCATAGCTACTGCACGAGGCTGGGACGAATGGAAATAGGAGGCTTTTTTTTTTTTTTTATTCTATTTTTTACAAGGGATTCGGGATGTGATGTGGATGGTGGGAAATTATAGGCGAGGCACCTGTTTGGTTATATGTATTGTATTGTATTGTATTGTTTTGTCCTGTGCGGTACCTTATTGTAATTTTGTAGTGGCGTGTGTACGGTAGGCGTTGCAAGGATTCGGATGTGTGTGTGTGTGGTGATGCCAGGGGGAGGAAAGGAAGGGCAGCAAAGCTTAAAGAGCGAATGTGATGTGTCGGCTCATATGCCTCTCTATCTAGGTACCCATGTAGCCACCTATTGTACCCTTACACCTACCTGTACCTTATGCGTCACCAGTAGTCGTAAGGCAGGTAGGTAGGTTTGTAATGGAGTACGGAGCACCTTGGAGGCGGTTGATTCGGTAAGACATGATTCAGGACGCAGGGGGGACTAAAGAGCTTGTATGTATGTACGAGTACGAGTACATATGCATGTCTGAGTGTGGGAGAGAACGAGAGAGAGAAAAGAAGTGCGTGTGGGTGGGTGGGTTTTTATTAGGCTCAATGGGATTGGAGGAAAAGGGGGGAGGGAGAGGGGGGGAGGGAGAGAGAGAAAGAATGAGAGTGTTCAGCTGGCTGGGGTGTGCGAAGGAGCTTGCAATTATGGGATGTGAAAGAGAGAAAGGGGGTTTTTGGTAGCTGTCAAGCAAAGATTATGGTAATAGGAGCTTCAACGAGAGAGTGTCATGATTTGGCTTTGCTGGGATGGAGAAAACTTTGAAGGATACGTCGAGAAGCAAGGGGCTACTGTTGAAGCAAAAGAGATGCAAGTCAAAAGCTCCTCAACGGGACACATTGCCATTGAGGTACAACCTAGTACCTTGAGCATTCCCAACAAGACTTGGCAGCTGAGGTCCCATCAGCTCTGGTAATACGACTTTCAAGGCTTTTTTTTTTTTGTTGTAGGTATGCCTTGCTGGCACTTCTTACCCTCACCAACTCGCTGCTCTGCAGCTCGCCTACGTTCCAGACCATTGCCCATGCATATCAGGGCCTGGGCAGACGAGCCCATCTCGCCCCCCTGCAAGAGAGCTGTGAGTATCGTGCCTGTAGTGATACCTGACAGGTTTGACTGCCTACAGTACCTAGCTCACGCGCGGCAAGGTCGGGAGGGATGGTGATGGGGGGGGGGGGGGGGGCAGAGCGGTCTGGCCCGTCTCGCCTTACTTCCTGGCGTCCTATAGCACATGGTGTGTGTACAGTACAGTATTGCAATTCCTCCTGATACCTTCTGAATCATCGGAGAGACGAGGTTGGTACATACATCTTTTCTCTCTTCCGTCCCTTTTGCCTGGGGCTTACGAGTATGTGTCCTGCTTCTGCCTTGCGTTGAGGTTGGTGGAGCCTGGTTAACACAGCTACATACATACATACAAGGCATCTCAAAAGCATTGGGGCATGGCAGAGTAGTATGTAGTTGTATGTAACATGTAAGGTAATCAATCAATAACCGAAGCTTTGCAGGCTGTCATGACAAGGGGGGGCGGTTTGGGCAAAAAGTGGTCTGATTCTGGGGGATGCGTGTCATTGATTTCTTGGTGATGACGAGGTTGTTGCTCACAGTTCCTGCGGAATAATACGTGTAGAGTCGTGAGTTGTAGAGAAAGTATTATGGATTTTGGTTTCTTGACTGCAGCAAGATTACATTGCGAATGCCCCAATGATGGTTTTTTTATTTTATTTTTATTTTATAATTGTGTTCTTGATACCTGGCATTAGAGTCAGGACAAGGTGTGCGTGTTGTGAGTGCGAATTTTTGTGTGATGCCAGCACGCTGATTGTGGGGACGAGATGCTGATTCTCTATGTATCACGCTGGACTAAGCAGACCGGCAGTTGGCACTGACTGACAGGGAAGAGGAAGAGGAGAGGAATACTGATGCTGTTCGGTATTGTCAAGATACGAATCGGCGATGGCAAAGGGGTGCCGTCACAGCAAAGACGAACCGTCTCCATCTAGACGCCGATCCTCTCTGTCTGCCTCTTTCTCGCTTCGACTCTCGCGTAAATGGTTCACGGCTCAAGCGGACCAGGCATCTCATGCCCACTCATCGTGTATGTATTCCGGATGCTATTCCCTCCCCCATCACCTCGCATGCCAACCAAAACAAGGTACCTTGACGGCATACTATGGAGGACTCACGCAAACAAACCCGCCAAATCACCATGCAGTGTGTGTCCAAGCAGTCGTAATAACCCAAAAGGCCTACAAAGTAGGTACAGATAATACATCCTCCCCTCTGGTTCTCTTGTACATGCTTGTCTCTTCTTGTTCCCATATTAGACTACCTTGCTGGGTAAAGTACATGTAGCCAGACTCACTGGCCTGACCTGACCCATGTCCTCGGCTCGGGCACTCAATCAGCCATCCAGACATGGGGGGCGGGAACAGGGAGCACACGAAAAACAAAAAAAAAGATGAGAACAAACGAGAAAAGTGACGGGGATAATGCAGGGCCCCTGACACCGAAAAAAAGGAAGAAAAAGGTGAGTGGCTGGTTTGTGTGCTCCCCTCGTTCTACTGGCTGTCAGCGACGGAGCTGGCTCCGTGGTTGCAGGGAGGAGAAGAGTAGTGTTGTTTTCTCGCGTTGTCTTGTTTTCTCGCGGGGTTGAGGAGAAATCCTGATCCGTTTCTGGGCCAGTGGATGAGTTTGGGGTGGAAGGGAGAGAGAGAGAGAGAGAGAGAGAGGAGAAGATGGATTTAAACGCAAGCTGCCGAATGATGGGAGGGGCGGGAGACAACAAGGCTGCACTCAACGATGGGATTGAATCTTTGCCATGTCTGGATATATCTGGGCATCAAGCACTGGGGCAGAGAAAAGATACAAATGGCACCTAGTATAATACAAATCTCGTGAGTAGGCATTCAACACTGCGGATGAACTTGGAGCCTCTCTGCTGTTCCCATGTCAAAAGCCGGGCGTCGACGGCAAGGGACATGAAGACAACGAGATGGCCAAAGACGAAGAAGCAAGTTGGCACGTCAATACCACCATCAGGTAACACATACCTTAGCCAGAACTACCTACAGTTCCTCAGGGATAGACATACAACATCATTCCCACCATCCATCTCAAACTCGTCAGCATATCAGGACCTCATCACAGTTCATACCTCAATCCTCTCCCCATAACCCAACATCAGCAAGACATCCATCAACTCGACAAACTCCCCCAAATCACCTCGCCAAACCACCTCCCTACCTACCTACCTACCTACCTACTTCTTCCACCTCACAACAACCACAAAACAGCCATCACCAATCATCCACCTCAACACAACACAACACAACAACAGTCCCCTTAACCCGCACATACTTTGGCCTCCTGCAGCTAACTACACGTCTTCGTGGCAACTCCTCGCATTCAGCTAGCCACTTTTCCCCCCAGCTGAGACACACACACACGCAAAAGACCTTGCATCCAATCAAAAGCACCTCCGGCTGGCGGCACTTCACCCAAAGACCCTTCAAACATGCATGCGTCTCGCTCCTCGGCGACTCACGGAAATGCACCCTCTGCTTCCCCGCGACAGGGGACGCCGATAACCCCCTCAGTGAAGCCCGCGAATCAGGCCAGCCCAGCTCCAGTATCCACGAGGCAACTCCAACAAGGCCAATCGTAAGTATTCAGAAACACAGAGCACACAGAGACGGCAAAACTAGTGACAGGCTTGGGCATCAAAGGATCGTACACATTATCTTTAGTTTGGTCCCTAGCATCGGAAGCTTTTGCTAATTACCTATAGCCTCCTCCGTGTATGTAGCCCAGGGGCCAAGTCCGTGGCTGGGCGTCCGACGCGGTGCAGAAACGAACATGTAGCTCCCCCCCTGCAGCCCTCCAAGTGCATCCTACCAAACGCCAAGCTGCTGAGGGAAGAAATCTTACAGTGAGAAATGGTATCTCGCCAGAGCCGGGCCTTAGTAAGAGTGGAGAAGAAGAGAGATTGACAAAGAAGCCAAGGAGTTTGGGCAACTCAAGAAAGAAGGGATCCGAAAAAAAGAAGAAGACTGAAACAAACGTAGTCATCATCATTGCCAAGGCGGGCATCGCAGGAAAAAAAAAAAAAAAAGAGGCCGGCAGCGAATATGTATTGACGGAGCCTTGCGAAAAGGACGGCTGGAACGAAGGAAACAGGAAACATCATAGGAAGCCGTCTCTCTCGTGCTGCACCTTGGCCTGCGTTGAAACAAAGTAAGCTTCGGAAAAGCTCGAGAGAGACAGGTGAGGAGGGTGGAGTATCACCAGCGAATGCCCTGGGTTCTAACTCGATGGCATGCCAGCATTGGGCTCTTCCTTGGGCGCGGCCGGGGGCTCCAGACCGGCCTGCTGCGCAACTCGCTTCCACGTCTCGAGTTCTCGGTAGAGTCGCTCGCACTCCTGCTTGAGCTTGTCGTTGGACGCGCTCAGCTCCGTAATGGCTTGCTCGGTCAGGAGCTTTTCCAGCGTCCACTTTTCGATATTCTGTTGCTCGTTCTCCTTGAGCTGGGTGATGAAGCTAACAGCCCGCTGCAGGATCGATCCCTTGTTCTTTTCGCATCCCGGCACGATCTTGGCCAGCTCGTTGATGCCTTCGTTGATGGTCTCGCGACGCCGACGCTCCACTGCTTTCGCGTTAATGCCAAACTCAATCCCACGGATGCCTACCTGGCGAGGCGAGGCGAGTCCTCCATCTTACCTTCTTTGTGGTTGTCCTTGCGCATCTTATGCCACTCCTCTGAGCCAACGCTTGGTTTGGGGTTGGGCGGCGGCGGCACTGCGTATCTGTGCTGCGGCGGTGGAGGAGGGTGAGTCGGGACACCATTCGGCGGAGGCGGCGGCGCGTTCTGGTTGACGGACGGGTCCATCATCGGATCGGGCTGCTGTGTGACGTCTGTGGTGAAGGGCGTGTCATGCTTGAACGCGTTTTCGTGGCCGTGGTCGGGCTCGACGGGACCCTGCGCAGAGAACTGCTCCTCGGTCGACGGCGGCACATGAAGGGTCGGGTACATGCCCAGGGCCGCCTGGGCCGTGCTGGTCGCGTTGGAAGGGTCTGTGGCGTCGGTGTGGTCGGCAGCGGCGGCTTGCTGAAGGGCGTTGAAGTCGGCAACATTGACGCCGCTCACCGCGGCCGCCTGCGACTCCATGGCATTATCCATGAAGGCGGCTGTGTCCCCCGGTGACGCTGACATGGTCGCAGGAGGGGCTGCACGCTTTGCGCGCCCAAGGTTGGGGCTTTCGAGTTCGCGCTTTCGTTTCTGGCCCGGGGAGTCAGGAAAGCCAGACAGATCGGGATGTTCAGGGACGAGTGTGTCGGCCATCATCTAGCTGGTGGGGAGAAGGGGGGGAACTGTAAAGACGAGCCGTAACGCGGTCGCCTTGGCTCAAAGGTGAGTAGTGTTTGGTGGTGGTTGGGCGGATGAGGTTTCTAGCAGACGGCGGCTGCAAAGTCTAAGGGCCAGCTGAAATGCATGCGTCTCAAGCCTATGGTTGTGGTTAGACGAAGACACTAGAATGCGATGCCTGCAAGCACAAATGGAGGAAGCGTGAAAAGGAAGTTTCAGCTTGGCGACGACGGTCCAGGGCGGAGACGGGGATTCACAGCGTTCGACAACAATGGAGGCAAGGTAGGTATTGCAAGGCTGAGGGAAGACGAGCAGGGGCGGGACGTAGGCACAGTGCTGGGCACGGACGAAGCCGAAGCTGGGCGAAGCGAAACCGCTCGTCTCGAGCCGATGCTGATGCTGATGCCACTGCCGCAGCGCTCTGAGACAGCGCTGAGGATGCCAGCCGTTGAGCGCCGTCAGCCTCGTTCCTCGCAGCTCACTTGAGCGCAGGCAACGTGGAGGGTGGCAGCCGCCTCGTCACGCTGGCAATGCTTGCTGCGGGCCAGACGCACCCCCCTTCCCTCGTCATCCGTGCAGCTTTGCGCGCAGCGACGCTGTGATTCAGCCATGGGGGCAGCAGGCAAACAACCGGAGACGCGGGAAGCTCAATCGATGCAATGAGCAGCGTCGTGCGAGGAAGTGATGAGGATGAGGACCAAGATGACGCTGGTGATGATGATGATGGTGATGATGATGGTGAAGCTTCAGATGAGATGCGAGCTGATGCGCACAGGGCGGGCGACGGACGGCGATGCTACGGCTGGAGGATGCCGCAAAAGAAGAGTAAAGAGAGAGAGAGAGAAAAAATCTCATCGCACGCCGCCTCCCGCTGCTGCATCGTGCATCCAGAAGCCCGCCAAAGTGCGCAGCTCGGCTGCTTCGACAAGCATCGTGACAGAGCGGACGTGCAAAGGGAAGTGCATAGCAGGGACATACCGTGACGATCATGTGCTCTGGAGCCAGATCACGGGTTTGGTCGTCTCACGTGTTTTGCGTGATCAATCTCGTGATATCGCGCGAACGGGGTCCCAAGGGCGAGTCTAAGGTTCCTGTAAGTCGAGCGCATGCAGCGGCTTTCCGCAGCCGCGAGAAGAGCAGAAAAATCGCACAGGTCAAGGGCCGGTGGTCGAGGCAGCGCTCTTATGCTTACGAGGGCGTATTATCGAAGTCTCCCCTTGCCAAAAGGCCAGCAGTTGCAGAGCGTCGCCCGCGAGACGGAGGAGAGGCGCTTGAGAGGGACAAGGTCGGGTCACGCGGCGGCAGGAGGGAGGCGACACGTGCAGACGCAGGCGGGAGGGAGGCGATAGCGATGAAATACCTGCGCAAAAGACGCCAGCCATCCACCTTGGAATCAGCTCGTACTTTGCAGGTACTTTGTACGGTAATAAGGTAAGGTAATACTACATACAGCCACAGGCCCTTTGCCCGGCGACGACAGTGCACTAGGCCGCTTTGGGGGCTGCAGATTGCGGCCTGAGGCTGAAACCCGGCAAGGGCCTGTCCAAGGTACCTACCTAGCAGGTGGATGGATGGGCGCGCGCACTCAGCCGTACTGGCTACGCGTTTCACAATAGCACTCTCAGCGTAGCACAAAGTACCGCTACTAGGAGGCACCCTGAGGTCCTTGTTCTGTCGCAGCCAATCAGTGCGCGCGACGGGGCACGATCCTGTCCTGCCTCCTCTCCTCCAGGTTGGATAGTTCTAGGTACCCAGGTACTTATTGTAGGGATTCGCTATCAATACTGCCTGTACTTAGTACTATCTGGGTGGAGGCGGAAAAGGCAACCGGCGCATGATCCGGACCTGTTGGGGCTGTCTTTGGCCTGGACCTGGCCTGTATTGTATGAGAGAGAGCGAGAAGAGAGAAAAAGAGAGGGGCAGAGACCGTCCAGTTGCCGAGTACGAGGTCGTCCCAGGTACAGGCTCGTTACGGTCGCCGCTACCTTACCTAAGGTAACTGGCCCCATACTCGCACCTCTGAGTACCTGCTCGTACTTGACCGGACAAGACCTGGAGTGACCAGACAGTCGTCAACTCGACGAGAAACGACACCACTCTTCTGCCTTTCACGGTTCACGGTTTTCTCTTGCATCGGTGGAGCACTGCAACGCACACCTCCAGACAATACCCGGCTTGTCGTGGGCCCTTGCCGCACCGGACAAGTATCACCTGCTAGGCTTACTTGCTTGGTAGGCCCTCTCACTCACTCTGGCAATCGACAAGGGAGCAAGCACGCACACGCATTCACTGCGGCTCACCGTCTTGCAAGCGCCGGCGCTTCAACAGGCGCCATCAGCCTGCAGCCAAGTCACCTGAGGCCACAGCGAATCACTTGACCGAGACCGTCAAGCCCAGGTGGGCGGGTGAGACACTCACTCACACTCGCCTCGCACTCATTCACTCACTCGAGCGGCCCCCAAGCTGTTGAGCTGACGGTTCATCTACAGTACGTACTCGACCAACATGTGCCCTCGCTTGAGCTTTTTTGAACAAGCAAGATGAGAACATGTGTTTGTGAAGCTGGACCAAAACCTGCATTATTGCTCAACAACACTTTACTAATGCGAATTATTGGAGTGAGGCTTCACGGGATGGCTCGCTCAATGTTCCCCAGGCACAGTATCCTCAGGAGGCAGCCATGGGATTCTTGTGTTGTTATGGTTTGGTAATGCTTGGTAGGGGGTCACATGTTAGGTGGCGAGTATCAACCATCCATTCGACAGACGGGTGCCTGACAGCTTGACAGGCTTCATGTTCCTTGCTCACACTTCGTATGCAGTACAGTACAGTAGTAGCGGGCACTTCCGGGTCACCATCCGATGTCTCAGACTTACACAAAACTGCTGTAACATGTCCAGCCAGTCATCGATCCGCTTGTCACAGCATGCCGCTGATCGACAACCACCTCTCTTGTCTCTTCTTGATACACATCCGTGGCTATGCATATATATATGCCAACGTGCAACATCAAGTTCAAGTACAGCTTGTGGCATGTGTCCCCTTGCAGCCGGGGTTATCGCAACCTGAAGCCGCTTTCAATATTGACCTGCTTCAGATCCGACCTTCATACACTGTTTCCCCGTATCCATATCGTTGTGGCTGTTGTTGACGAGTGGCGATGAGTACAAGGTAGATGAGTAGAGAAACGTGAGTCGTATTCTGGGAGAACAGAACCACGCGTCGAAATGTGTAGATTGTTCAGGTTCATAACCTCTGATGAAATGGAATGTTATGGGAAGATACATGTAAGAAAGCTGCACATCGACGATGGAAGTACTGATACCTGCATTGTAACCACTCTGGAGGTTGCTCAAGGCACTGCATATTACAGAACTAGGTAGGCACAACCATCGGATGCCGCTTTTTACACCTTGACCCCGCTGGACCTGACCTGAGCTGGCCCTGAGACGGCGCCGTCGTTAGCTCCTCGGCTTGTACCGGTACCTGCACGGCAACTGATGTCATCCAGCCTGCGTCGTCATGTCAGGTACAGGCATCATGCAAGGCTTCCTCCAGGTATTGCGCGTTCACCTGCCTAGCCTCCAACCTCTGATAGTATCCATCAATTGAGGCCTCATCTGGTCACGATGCTTCTCACGAGCGATCATCAACTTCCTCTGATATTGTGATGTCGTCCTTCGAACAGATGGGCTGTCCTCCCGGCAGTGATTGGTCCTTCGGACCCCAAGTCGACCCTCGATGCAGACCGTTCGACTTCACCCTGCTGTTCGAGGACATCTTCTTTGTCACACTTCCCGCTGCCTTGCTTCTCATTCTTGCACCCATACAGATATGGGGCCTGTTCAGGCAACGAGCTGCGTTTTCTGTGAGGTCGAGGGGTATCCAGCGTTGGAAATCGGTTCGTTTAGCTGACCTTTTGGAGGATATCGAAGAATATGCTTACAAGCTTGCCCATAGATGACTTTTGCCTCTATCCTCATTGTCCAGATCTTGTACCTTGTGTATAGAAGCCAGTATCCCGAACTGAGAACCAGGTTCTCACTTCCCGCGGATATCCTGAGCTCCACGGCTACCGTGCTGGCTTTCTTTCTCTCACGAGCCAGTCATGCACGCTCGCTTCGCCCCTCCACGATGCTCGATCTGTATCTGTCACTCTCGAGCCTCCTGAACATCGCCCGGACGAGGACACTATGGCTGCTGGCAGTCGGGACTCCCGTCCCAATCCTCATGACTGTGAATCTCTCTCTCACTCTCTTCGCCCTCATGCTGGAATCCATCGAGGAGAGAAAACGTCTGGCAAACGGCTCGCCGGAGGAGTTTAGCGGCATCTGGGCAAGAATCAGCTTTTCTTGGCTCTTTCCATTACTTAAAAAGGGCCATGCCAAAGTTCTGTCACAGGATGATTTGCCAAACCTCGACACGAGGCTGCAGAGCAGGTTGCTGCGTCGTCAGTTGATTACAACTTGGTCTAAATGTGAGGCATCTCTATCGACTCGACTGTTCCAATGACTACTAACTTTTCCCTTTTCAAGATAACTCAACAGCCCGGCACGGTTTGCTGAGAGCCTGTTTTCGTACCCATCTCTGGACTTTGCCCTCGGCAATGCTGCCGCGATTGTGCATGACGGCCTTTACTTTTGCTCAGCCTTTTCTGGTCAACACGACTATTAAATATGTTAGCGAGAAGAATGCCAACGTCTACCACGGAAAAGGGCTCATTGGCGCTTGGGCTCTCGTCTACCTAGGCATTGCGGTAGGTGATTCTCTACCAAGATGATTGGCGGGACGATTAACTGTGATGCAGGTATCACGATCTTTATACACATACGAGGTCTCCAGGTTTGTCGCTAAGCTGCGAGGCGGCCTGATTGCCCTTGTATACCAACACAGCCTTGAAATTCGTGTCGCGGACGAGGGCGACATCTCCGCCGTCACCCTCATGGGCACCGACATTGAGCGCATAGCCAGCTCGATGCAGCTGCTTCATGAAACCTGGGGTTCTCTTCTGGATATAGCGATTGCATGCTGGCTGCTGGAAAGGCAGCTCTTCCTGGCCTGCCTTGCACCGATTGCGCTTGTTCTAGGTAAACATCGCCTGCTGCTGTCGCCATTTGGATGTCCACATACTGATGCATATGGAAGTCTTTATTGGAACCACCTCGCAGATATCGGTGGCTACTCAAAGGGCCCAGGTAGCATGGATAGAAAAGGTTCAAGAAAGGCTTCGAGCGACCACGTCCCTGCTGGGAGACATCAAAGCCATCAAGATGCTCGCATTACCACATACTGTATCGCAACTGCTGATCAATCTCCGAGAAAACGAGATCAAGACATCCAAGAGATTCAGGGAGCTTCTCGTTGCCACGCTGATGCTCTGTATGTGCTTAAACTCGCTGATACCCCGAAGGATTCTAACAACTTACCTCTAGCCCTCACACCCCTGAATCTCGCTCCCGCTGCAACGTTTGCAGTCTACGTTGTCATAGCCGTCTACTGGACTCACGAGTCATTCTTCACGGCCCAAGCCTTTACCTCTCTGGCATTGATAGGGCTACTAACAGGTCCCACGATAACCTTTATTCAGACCTTGCCTCAAGTTGTGCAATGTGTCGGCAGTTTCGACCGCATCCAACAGTATTGCAACTACGCAGGTGTTGACCTGAAAGACGAAAACTACTATGAGCCCGGCCGCGTTGACTTGCGAGACGAGTCCGAAGTGCACCTGCTGGCGTCAGATGGACCTCCGGGACCCTTCGATGCTCCTCACTATGACACTGTCTCCATACACAGCCAGGGCCTCAAATGGCACAGAAATGGCCCCCTCGTTCTTAGGGACCTGCAGCTTGACATTGACCCAGAAACGATGACCGTAATCACCGGCCCGGTAGGAAGCGGAAAGTCGTCGCTTCTGAATAGCATTCTGGGGGAACTGGTTGACACATCATTGCCAGAGGGCCAACAGAAAGCAGTTCGGCGATACTGCAAACATGTAGCATACTGCTCTCAGCAGCCCTGGCTTGAGAACACCACCATTCGCAACAACATACTCAGCTCCTCGCCGTATGAGAAGAAATGGTATGACGAGGTCGTCACGTCCTGCAGCCTCGATGCCGATTTAAAACGCCTCCCACGAGGCGATGAGACGAATATTGGTAGCAAGGGCCTCAACCTGAGCGGTGGGCAAAAGCATCGAATAGTTAGTTGCCTCGCCTCACCTGATGCTATACACACAACACTAATCTTGATAAAGGCCCTCGCTCGAGCCATCTACGCAAGGAAACCAATCGTGCTTCTCGACGATGTGTTCAGTAGCATGGACGCCCATACCATCGACGCCATCTCCTCTCGCTTGCTTAGTCGAGTAGGCCTTCTACGCAGGCAGCGAGCAACGGTCATATTATGCACTCATCATCGTGGGTAACTCCTCTTCTCTCGTCAGTCTCAAATTGCTCACTGGGCGCTCAGGCAAACTCATGGCGCTTGCGGACACAATCATAATCCTGAAAAACGGAACGATTACAGCAAAGGAAAGTCCTGCGACACTGCTTCAGAGCAACAATGTCAATAAGCTTGGCTTGCAGCTCATCAACAACGGAGATGCCGCTGGAACTGCCGAGCCATCAAAAATGCCAACAACGGAGGAAGTTTTTGATATAGCCGCCGACGTGGCCGCAATCATCTCTGAGGAAACGGATGATAGGCACACGGATATGCGACGTAAAAGGGGCGAGATGTCTGTTTATGCATACTATCTCTCCAACGCTGGCTGGTGGTCCGTTGCCGTGTATGGCGTTGGTGTTGTGGGCTGGATCTTTTGCATAGAATTCTCGAGTAAGTCACCCTGCCCCTTGTCCTCCTGGGTCGGCAAATATGTTCTAACCTCATCAATAGCCGTCTGGATGAAGTGGTGGTCTGCTGCCAACGCTGCGGAACCGGACAAGAACATCTGGATGTATCTTGGCGTCTACGCCTCCCTTGGTGTCCTCGGCACGATAAGCGGCTGCATTTGCGCTTGGTAATACTCGCCATTCCCTCTAACTTGCTGTTGTAGAGAACTGATAGCTCACATATCACCATAGGGCCGCTTTCATATCCATCATCTCGCGTTCGGCTGCTCGATTGCACTCAAATCTGCTGCAAGCAACACTCAGGTATGCCAACCCTGCAGAGGATGCTGGTAATCGTCTACTAATGGCCATGATACAGGGCCCCCTTTTACTCCAAGTCAACGAGAGACATGGGAGAACTCCTTAATCGGTAAGCTTCATAAAAGTCTACCGTCAGCAGTGCAAGCACTGATGATGTTGGATTGTTAGGTTCAGTAGAGATATGGAACTCATAGACATGGAGCTGCCCAGCAACATGGTCAATTACACCTCGAGTGAGTCCACCCTCTGACTTCTTGCAATGACGCCACTAACACAATGTCTTACAGCCGTCGTTTTATGTATAGCCAAAGTCGTCATTCTTGCCATCTTTACTCGCTATCTCGGAGTGACGATTCCCTTTTTTGCCATTTTTGTCTACTTGCTCCAGAGCTTCTATCTTCAGACATCACGGCAGATTCGCTTACTTGCTATAGAAGCTCATGCGCCACTCTTCACGCACTTCAGCGAATCCATTGCGGGAGCATCAACCATCCGCGCGTTCGGATGGCAATCATACCACCAGGAGCGCAACTATCGCCTCATTGATGCTTCGCAGCGGCCCGTCTATTTGCAGAGTTGTATTCAGCATTGGCTCGGTTTTGTTCTTGAGATGATGACTGCCGTGTTGGCAGTGCTTCTCGTCTCTACAGTCTTTGTATGGAAGGACAAGTTTAGCCCAGGAAGCGTTGGTGTGAGTTTAGTCACGGTCATCGGGTTCAGCGAAGTGCTGGTACGGCTTGTTCGGACATGGACAACGCTGGAGCCGAGCATCGGCGCCGTGTCCAGAGTCAAGCGCTTCACAGAGGACACGGAGGTGGAGGAGCGTGATGAAAAGGGGGCTTATGTGCCTGCTACATGGCCACAATCTGGTGCTATTGAATTTGCGGGCTGGACCGCATCATATAAGTCAGTACCTTTTCACACACTCAGTCATCATTACGACAACGTTGCCATATTAACCGACATATACAGTACCACGCCGAGTTCCAAGCCGGTCTTGAACGGCATAACACTATCAATCAAGCCGGGCGAGCACGTTGCAATATGCGGCCGAACAGGCAGCGGCAAAACCTCCCTCATCCTATCCATCCTACAAATGACCCAAATCGTCGAAGGCAGCATCTCCATCGACGGTGTCGACCTCTCCACGCTCAGTCACTCTCTAGTACGCTCGCGCATCAACGTCGTGCCCCAGGATCCGTTTCTTTTGCCGGGTACTGTACGCTTCAACGTCGATCCCTTGGGCGGTGCTTCCGACGAGGAAGTTGTGCGCGCCCTTGAGCGTGTACGGCTGAAGGCGTTTGTGGATGAAAAGGGGGGTATTGATGGGGAGGTTGATTTGGAGTCGTGGTCGGGCGGGCAGAAGCAGTTGCTTTGTTTTGCGAGGGCGATGTTGAGGAGGAGTAAGATTCTGATTCTGGATGAAGCGATGAGCAGGTAAGATCCCTACAACATCCGATCCCGTTTGTTGACTTTACATTTTGTGTGGTTTCTCTGCATTTCTTTGTACAACCCCCTTGTATGTCCAATTTTTGGCTAATATATGCTTCAGCGTCGACATGGAGACGGAAGAGATCATGCAGCAAATCATTGACACAGACTTCAAAGACGCCGGGTGCACCGTCCTCGCCGTCATGCATCGGCTTGAACACATCCGGCGCTATGACAAGGTTGCTCTCTTGGGAGATGGTAAATTGCTGGAATATGGGGTTCCGGAAGGATTGCTTGCTGGAGAGACGGAGTTGGCGAGGCTGTATTCTCACTATCGAGGTTGAAACTGTCAATTCTACATTGGGTTTGCTGTGTCAGTCAAACAGAGGGATGGTGTTGCTAGGCGTGGATGATGCTTGGTATTTGGCTGAGCAGTTGGAGAGGCTTGGCGATGTGAAACTTCAACGGATGCTAGAGTATGGTGATTATGTTGGCAATGAACGCATATTAGGACACTGCTGAGAACATACTCTATTATTACTTCCGCCGGCAAGTTCCCATCGGATGATTATCACGACTTCGCATGTAATTCAGTTCACTTCCCATCAGACCAAGACTACGACCTCCTCACATGGGTAAGTCAAACTCACCCCTTTGCGACACCAACCCGCTTCGAACATCCTCCGATCACGGAGCCTCGCGTTTTTTCAGGTCCTCCCTCTTAGCCCCAACTCCTCTCATAACCAACACCTTCTTAATCCCAAAGCGGAGACGACGAGCAAAATCAAATTGAGCAACAACATTAGGGTGGGACTTTGAGAAGTAGTAGGCTTTTTGTTTCTGTTTTCTTTTTTCTTCTTCAAACGAACATGGGATTTAAGCTTGTCCATCTGGATCCTTCCCGCCCTCTCTATCTAAAAACTAAAATAGTACATAAAAGGCGACAAGTATTTCGTTTTCTTCTTTTGGTGAGGGAGAGAAAAAAGTTTCATTAGGGCTAAAGTCGGTTGTGGTTTGGGTTGTTTTGTGGGTGGGAGTCCATTTTTCAAGTCAAAAGGCGGCATCTCCGATACATTTTACTGCTGGAAGTAAAAGTTCTCGTCGGGAGTGCGTCCCCGGATGAACTGGGGCTCTGAGCCGCGGACGTAAATGTCCTCAAACAGAATCTCGGGCTTGGCCTCGGGCACGGCCATGGCCTCGGCGGCGGCCACCTCCTCGGCGACGTGGCTGCGGGCGGCCTTGTCGATGCTCTTGAGGTCCTCCTCGGTGCTGACCTCCCAGTCGAGGATCTTCTGCTTCAGGCCGGCGATGGCGTCGTTGGTGGAGCGCATGCGCTGAATCTCCTCACGGGTGCGGTAGGTGGTGCCGGGGTCGGACATGGAGTGGCCGCCGTATCGGTAGGTGACGTATTCGAGAACCATGGGGCCCTTGTCGGCGACGGTCCATTCCTTGCCGTACTTGACGGCGGCCTTGACGGCAAGGACATCCATGCCGTTGACCTTGAGACCGGGGATGTACTGTCCTCGCTTGTAGTAGTCGGTCAGGGCAGAGGAACGGGCAGCAGAAGTGCCCATACCATACTTGTTGTCTTGTCACAGGTTATGATTAGCATTTGCAATTCGTCCACGAGGAAAGGCTCACACTTGAGCGTTGGAAAAAACTCACTCTCGCAGCCAAACAGAGCAGGGAGGTTCCACAGCTTAGCCATGTTGAAAGCCTCAAAGACCTGGCCCTGGTTGCTGGCACCGTCACCGTACAGGATCACACTGGCGTTCTTGCGGTCGTTGTACTTGTGGGCAAAGGCCAGACCGGCACCAACAGGAACCTGGGCACCGACAATACCGTTACCGCCGTAGAAGTTCTTGGCGAACATGTGCATGGAACCACCCTTTCCGTAGGAGATACCCTCACGGCGGCCGAGAAGCTCGCCGATGATGGATCGGATGGTGCCGCCTCGCATCATGGCGAAACCGTGACACCGGTAGGCGGTGATGACGTCGTCGTCCTTGGTGATGGCATGCTCAATGCCAACAGCCACGGCCTCCTGACCGGTGGACAGGTGGCAGAAACCGCGGATCTTCTTCTCCTTGTACAGGCGGTCGGCAGCCATCTCCATCTGTCTGAGCGATTATTAGTACTCTCCGTCGCGGGCGACTCTGGAGGGAGGCGCTTCTGGCTGCATACCTGATGGCGACCATCTCGTAGTACATCTGCTTCAGCTCCTTCTTGGTGACCTCGATTGTGTAGGGAGGAGGATCCAGCTCGTAGGTCTCGAAGCTCTCGTCGCTGAGGGTCACCTGGAAGGGCTCATCGTCGGACTACATCGGAGGGGTCGTCAGTCAGCGGGAGTTCTTGCAACGCATTTCCCCAGCCAATTGATCCGGCAGCAATCATCCCTTCCACCACAATCATTTGACAACTCCCAAGAGCAGGAAAATCGAGCGCATTGAGCACACGTACCTTGGGCACCGACTGGTTGAGCGAGGCTGAAGCGGCATCGGTGGTGACGGACCGGGCGGCGAGGGCAAAGGACGCAGGGGCTCTGGCACGCAGAGGCGCAGCCCTGGAGGCTCGGAGAGCTGCTCGAGAGAACATCGCGACGGCTGGACTGGCGTCTGGCGGCGGCTCTGGGAGGGGAGGCGGTTGGCGAGGAGGAGGCGGAAGAGATATCAAAAGACGAGGCAGAGCTTCCGAAATTTCGCAGTGTTGAGGTTACAGATTGTATTGTTGGACGGCGCTAGGCCGCTGCGGGACTAGGGCGGGATTTGCCTGCGTGGGGCGGCGAAAAAAGAAGGGAGCAGGGCAAATCATTGTTCCCGCAGTTACTCCGACATCTCCCGCTCTTCCTTCCCAAGCTTCCTTCCTTCCTGGGTCAAAGTTGTTGCTGAATCATCAGGTATTACCTCTAAGCTACCCTAGAGCTACCCTAGAGCTACCCGGAAAGCAAAAGTCACGTGAACACGGCGCGTCTCGTGAAATGGACCCCCCCAAAGGCGCGAGATTCAATTAACGCGTTTCTGCCTGCTTAAACGCGTCATGCTTCTGATTGGGTCGACCAGGAACAGCTGCCGGTGCCTGCCAGGCACCACCTCCGTCAATCTGCATCTCTCGCCTCGGCTTAAATACTGCCGCTCCGGCCTCTCCTTGTCTCGTCTGAGCTCTGCCTTGTCGCCATTGACTCGCCGTCCGCCGTCTCTCCTCTCGACGCGAGCACTGTATAACGTCATGGCTCCGAAGCAGGCGACCCTGGGGTATGTGAAGCCAACGCAGCAGACGATTGGGTGTGTGGATGGAGCTGGATTGCGAGGATGACCCTCAGATGGCTAATCACGATGGACGTCTAGCAAGTTCTTTGGGGCAAAGGCTGGCGCGCCAGTGAGGCAGACCACGCTGTCTTTTGCGACCAAGACGGGGAGCAAGGCGACTGCCAAGGACAAGGCTGAGGAGGATGGGTCTGACGGCGATGCGAGCACAAAGGAGAACTCAGATCCAGAGAAGGGTAAGATCTCACTCGGTCGCCCTCGTTGCTAGGCGAAACTTTTGGTTGACTCGTCTCGAAAAGACACCAAAAAGCGGCCACGGTCACCCAAGAAGAGCCAGGATGCGGTTTCATCACAGGCCGGCGACAAGATGGATGTGGACGAAGATGAAGCTCCCGTGACAAAACGAGCCAGGCGAACTCGGGTCAAGGTTGAGGACGATGAGGACGACACTCCCCAATCGTCGCCCAAGAAGGAAGAAGCCCCAAGCAGCCCCCCTGCCAAGAAGAAGAGATCGCCGAGCCCCCCAAAGTCGAGCTCCAGGTCAAGATCATCGTCGCCGAAGCCAACCCAGATCAAGAAGGAGAAGAAATCTGCTGCGGTGGAGGACTCTGATGAGGTTATGAAGGATGAGTCGTCCTCAGAATCGGCATCAGAGGCTGAGAGCGAGTCGGAAGAGAAGGAAAAAGTCACTGCCAAGGCGCGCAAGGCCCAACAAACAATGCTTCAGAAACACGAAAAGGACCCGTATCCCGACTGGAAGCCCGGTACCCCCGTGCCATATGCAGCCCTCTGCAAGACCTTTTCCCTGATTGAGCTGACGACGAAACGGTTAATCATTATGGAGCACTGTTCACGCTTCCTGCGTCAAGTCATGCGCCTCACGCCCGACGACCTCTTGCCCACTGTTCTTCTCATGATCAACAAGCTCGCCCCTGACTATGCAGGCATAGAGCTAGGCATTGGCGAATCTCTCATCATGAAAGCCATAGGTGAAACAACTGGACGAAGTCTTCAGGTCATCAAGGCTGATCAGAAAGAGATTGGCGACTTGGGCCTGGTTGCTGTGAAGAGCAGATCAAAACAGCCAACCATGTTCCAGCCGAAGGCGCTGACCGTGAGGGGCGTCCACCAAGGACTGATGAACATTGCCACAGTCAGCGGCAACGGTGCTCAGGGTCGCAAGGTCGATGGTATCAAGAAGCTCTTGTCTGCGTCAGATGCGTATCTGAAGGAAAAGGTGGATATCACAAAGGATAAGGGCGGGCCAAGCGAGGCAAAGTACATTATCCGGTTTCTGGAGGGCAAACTTCGACTTGGTTTGGCAGACAGGACCGTTCTGGTCTCACTAGCCCAAGCCGTTGTGGCCCACGAAGCGGAGCAGAAGGGAAAGATTCCCAGCACCACGGATCTGGAGAATGGCGAGTCTATCCTCAAGACGGTTTACAGGTCTGTGCATAATCCGGCGTTTGTATGTGAACTCGATACTAACAGAAGACAGTGAGCTGCCGAGCTACGATGTAATCATTCCAGCGATGCTCAAGTATGGCATCTTCAACCTGAGAGAGCACTGCAAGCTACGACCGGGTGTGCCCCTAAAGCCCATGCTGGCCAAGCCTACCAAAGCCATCACAGAGGTCCTGGACCGCTTTGAAGGCCAGACGTTTACTTGCGAGTACAAGTACGACGGCGAACGTGCTCAGATCCATTACGTCGCCAAGGATGCTTCGGAAGACTTGAGTGCGCCCGCTGCAGGAGTCGCCAAACCGGCTGCCTCGGGAGTTTCATGCATCTTCTCCCGCAACTCGGAAGACCTGTCCAAGAAATATCCCGATATCCTTGAGAAGCTCCACACATGGGTCAAGGAAGACACGAAGAGCTTTGTGCTCGACTGTGAGACTGTCGCCTGGGATGTCACGGAGAAGAAGGTCTTGCCTTTCCAGCAGCTCATGACTCGCAAGAGGAAAGACGTCAAGGCCGAGGACATCAAAGTCAAGGTCTGCGTCTTTGCCTTTGATTTGTTATATTTCAATGGCGAGGCCGTGGTGGAGAAGTCTCTCCGCGAGCGAAGGGAGCTCCTCCACACTGCGTTCACCCCAGTTGAAGGTGAATTCGCCTTTGCCACACATATGAACGGTCAGGAGCTGGACGAGATCCAGTCTTTCCTCGATGAGAGCGTCAAGGCATCTTGCGAGGGTCTCATGGTGAAGATGCTGGATGGGAAGGAAAGTGGATATGAGCCCAGCAAGCGAAGTCGAAACTGGCTCAAGGTAAGCATGAGTCCACATAAGCGCGCACTACTCTGGTTCAGCTCGTACTGATACCGTGAAACAGATTAAAAAGGATTACCTGTCTGGTGTAGGAGACTCGCTAGACCTGGTTGTCATCGGAGCCTACTACGGCAAAGGCAAGCGGACATCTGTCTACGGCGCTTTCCTGCTAGCTTGCTACAACGCCTCGACAGACACTTACGAAACGGTCTGCAACATTGGCACTGGCTTCTCAGAACAAGTCCTCGAGGATCTTTACGCTCAGCTCTCCCAAATCACAATCAGCCGCCCCAAACCCTTCTACTCGCACTCTTCAGGCGGCCAGCACCAGCCGGACGTCTGGTTTGAGCCAAAGTACGTGTGGGAGGTGAAGACGGCCGACTTGACGCTCAGCCCGCGGTACAAGGCTGGCTGGAAGGAGGGAGTGGACCCAGCGGGCGAAAAGGGCATCAGCTTGCGGTTCCCGCGATTCATCAAGATTCGAGACGACAAGAAGCCGGATGAGGCGACGAGCAGCAGGCAGGTTGCGGAGATGTACAGGAAGCAAGAGAGTGTGACGAAGAATAAGGGGCCGTCGGTGGATGACGACTTTGAGTATTGATCTCGTCAGTCTTGAGTTGGCTCTAGGAAATCATGTAACGATAGTCTTCTTGGGCGGTTTTGGGTTCATCTTTGGTGGAGGTTGCGTTTGTATGATTTACGAGGTGCGCTTTATGAAAGTCTGCCGATAATGGCTCTGGGAAGACAACTCTCGCATGCTGTCTGTCGCTGATTACGTGCAATATGTTTGGAGCAATGTGGCGCGTTCAACAAAGCAGAGAGTGTTGAAGCCCTGGATAATCTCAAGAAAAATCCATCTCTACGAAATCTAGAATCAAAAAAAAAAAAAAAAAAAACAAGCAAACTTCAACTCCCCCATTCATCCCTCTATAATATTGACCCCCTATCCGTATCATCCGCATCATCCCCAGGCCTCAACAACCCCCTCTGCTCCTCCTCTCCGCCGCGTTCCATAATCCCGCTCTCCTGCCCCCTCCTAGCAGCAGCCCCCGATCCGCTTCCCCCCGGAGCAGAAAGCCCCGTCGTGCGCCTCGTCTCGTCCGCCCCATTGAGGACATACCAGATGTCCTTTTTGGTAAGCAGGCCCTGCAAGACGCCCCGATCGGTGAAGAGCATGTATCGCAGCCCGAGCTTCTGGAAGTACGACACGACGAGGTGCAGAGGCGTGCGCGAGGGCAGCGTCAGCGGCGTCTGATCCATCCACGGCCTTAGGTCCAACGAGGTCCGCGGGTCGGCGAGCGGCTGATGCGAAAAGTACGCCTCTGTGGTCTCGGGCGGCAGGCTGCGCGGCGCCTGGGACGCCGTCTTGAGGCTGTAGCTCAGCTCGGCGCGGGAAATGTATCCGAGCAGGATGGCCTCGCGGGGGTCGGAGATGACGGGGAAGCCGCGGTAGGGGTGCATCTCGAGGATGCTGGCGAGGGAGGCCATGGTGTGGCCGGTGGCGGTGAGGACGACGAGGTCCTCGATGCGCGTCATGATGTCGGCGACGGGGACGTCGGGGATGGCCACCTCCTCGCTGTTGTCGAGGAAGGGGTACTCGTTGAGGTGGATCCAGGACTCGTAGATGCCGCGGCGCGAAAAGGCGTCGCCCACCCACTTGGAGATCATGACGGCCACCATGATGGGCAGGACGTACGTCAGGGCGCCGGTGAGCTCGAACATGATGACGACGATGGACACGGTCATGCGCGTGACGCCGGCCAGGGCGGCGGAGGCCCCGACGATGGCATAGGTCGCGGGGGTGACGCAGGGGACGTCGGGGGCGCAGGTTTTGAAGAGGAAGAAGCCGCGCGCGTTGTCGACCCAGATCTCCATCAGGATGCCCATGGCGCGGCCGACAAGGGCGCCAATGGCCATGGAGGGAAGGATGATGCCAGCGGGGATTTGCAGTCCGAACGTGATTGTGGCGAGGAAGAAGCCGACGAGGGCGGCAAAGACGAGGAGGACAATGGTGCCGGCAGATGCGGCGCCAGTTTTGCATAGGCCGATCTGATCGTCGAGGTTCTGGGAACACTCGGTGAAGAGGGCAGACACGAGGTCGGAGGTTTGAAACTTCATGTAATGGTTGGGGTAGTTGACGAGAGCAGTGAGGAAGGCCACGGCAAGGACCTGGGTGATGGGACTGGGGAGCCAGGACTTGGCCTTTTTCCATCGCGCAACGTCCATGTTGGCTTTGATGAAGAGGCCGCCGTAGACGCCCTGATTAATATCACTGTCAGTAAAAAATGAGGACGTACGCAAGATGACGGGAAACGCTGCTTTACCCCGATGATGCCAAGGAGGGCATAGGGCAAAATCTCAAAGCCCTGCCAGTCATGGCTATACTTTGTCTGGTACATGACGAGCTTGCCTGACCGAAAGGGGTCAAAGGCTTGGAGAGTAACGGCGGCGGCCATGGCACAGACGAAGCTCTGCCACATGGTCTTGTCTGGGAAGAAGTAGGAGATTTGCTGAACAAGAAGTCAGAATGGCGACCGTTTCGTTGCTTATGGAAACGACAGCCTTCATACCTCCAGACTGAAGAGCACCCCTCCGATAGGGGCTCCAAACGCGACAGAGATGCCTGATGCGGCCGCTGCTGAGAGGACCTCTCGCTTACGAGCTGTCGCAGTGATGTTAGCGGATAGGACATTAAACGCTGGATTCTGTTTCTTTGCTTGCCTTCGTTGTTGTTGATGTTAGGGAATATCTTGATGAAGAGGTTTGCGCAGCAACACGCTACATGGACCAGAGGGCCCTCCTTTCCCAGCCACATGCCCGAAGACACAGCAAGGACCTATGCGAGTGAGTTTCTGTTCATCCACACAGCAGGATAGTAACGCATCTTACCAAGCCAAAAGGCTTTGTCACCAACGTCCAGGGACCAAGAAACTTGCGAATGACGAATCCTCCCAAGACGGTCTTGATCTCGGGGATACCGCTGTGCTTGGCATAGATGGCGTATTCCTGCACCAGCAACGCCGCACAGTATGCGAAAAGGACCTGTGCAGATATCGGGTCAGCATATGCATGCCATGCAGCAAACACGACACAAGAATGCCACATACGCCAAAGGCCAAGAAGAAAAAGTACTCGATGAACCACTTGCCCCCCGCCGAGTGGACGCCCAGAGCCTCGCTCCAGAACCTCCATCCCGCACATTTAGAGCCCTGATCGTATCCGTAGCAGCAGAAGTTCTTGTTCAGGTAGAAGTGCCCTCCTTCGGGCCCGCTGGTGCAAAAGCCCAGCTTGATGTCGCCCAGCCAGTCGGTCGTGACGTCGATGAGCGCCGCAATGACGCCCACGGCGAGGCCCGTCAGCAGCAGCACGATCCAGACCTGGCTGGCGTCCAGCAGGTGTCGCACATAGCCGATGATGCCACCGCCCGAGCTCGACGCCAGGACGCGCAGGCGTTGGCGCTCTTTTGTGTACTCAAAGATCCAGTCGATGGCCGTCAGGTCTTCGTACCCGACTCGCCGCCCGGGCCCCTCGGCGTACCAGTCGTTGGCCAGGCCATCCTTTGAGGTGGCGGGTGTTGCGCTGCCAAAGATCTGTTCGCGCAGCGACCCGGAGAGGCTGGCGATGGAGCCTAGAGAGGCAGACTGCTGGTGCTTGGGCGGGCGCTGGTGCGCGACTCGAGGCGGCGATGCTGCGGCGGCAGAGGAGGAGGAGGAGGAGCCGGTCAGGGTGGAAAAGACGCGCAGCGGGTTGGAGGACAGCAGCGCGGGCTTCTGCTTGCGCTTGAAGGACAGCGGCGCGCTCAGGTCGCCGTGGATCGGGTCGTCGTCGAGGATGTCATGATCGGGGCTCGCATCGACGTCGTTCGCATCGTGGTTGTAGTTGTGGTTGTGGTTGTGGTCGTCGAGGAGGTCGAGCTCGTCGGACGAGGCTGGCGTGACAATGACTGGAGTCTGGGACGAAGACGAGGCTGAGGGCAAGTGCTCGCGCTGGGCTCCAGACATGATGCGCCAACTTCTATCCCATCTTCCGCTGCGAATCTGGTGGGAACAAGGCCGAAGCAGCTGGAAGTGGGAGCCAGCAGAAGGCAAGGGAGGGATCTGGAAGCGTCGGTGATTGGCTGGAGGGGCGCTGGTTGGTGGTCTTACAGTTGAGCTGGGGGCGTCTTTCTAGTACTTTGCACAGTGCAGCAGCAATGAGTGAAGTCATTCATTGATCGAATGGAGATCTCGTTCGACATCAGCTCAACTTCCGTTGTCAACTGGGAATCTCACAAGAAAAACACTTGCAAAGGACTGGTATCTCGATTGGTTCACTCTCTCTTCCTTTACTTACTGAAACCCACGACACCAAACACATACTTAAAACTGCTTGGATAATCAACAAAACCTGCTAAGATCATATCCCAACAGTAGCTCATCGTCATCATCACCTCACCCACAAAAGAAATCCAAGCCTCGGCAACCCAGATGGACTCGCCAACCGTCAACCCGGAAGCAGCTCCAGCATCGTCCGCCCAGCAAGATGAAGCAAGCATTGCCAGGATCCAGACTCTTCTCCAGTCGCAAGACGACACGCAGCGATTCGTCGGCCTAGCCCTGCTCAAATCCGTCCTCGACAATTCCCCCGAGATCCGGCAGAACCATGAAGCTCTTCAGGCGTTATGGGACAGCATCCCGGCCAAGTTCCTCGACCGGCTCTTGCGCACCGGGTCGAATCCCTCCAAGCCGGAATCCAGAGAGATGCTCGACTTGGCCGTGTCCGTCCTGCACACCTTTGTTGCTCTCTTGCCTGCAGAGGCCATCTCGCAGCCCAAGTTTACAGAGAGGATCCCCAGGCTTGTCAATGCTGCATTATACGGGTTCGTGCGTCCCCTCTCATTTCCACGGGTAATTCACTAATCTTTGAATAGGTCTGACGAGACGCTCACCATGCTTCTACTGCTGCTCTTTGCCCTCGTCAGCTCTCGGGAGGGCGCCATGGAGCTCGTAAAGATGGAAGACTTGAGCTCCCTTACTGAAATTGCTCCGTCGCGCGCCATTGTCATGGATATCCTGCGACATGCCTGGCTCAACGCCATGGTAGTAGTGGACGACACGTCATATCTGGCTGACCGTATAGATGTGAATGTGCAGGCACTGGTTTCGTCTTTCAAGGGGACTGACGCCGTGACGTTTCTCGAGTTCCTAGGACTGCTGCTTCGGCAAGCAAACCCAGCGGTAAGTTCACGTCACACATCATTCACCCGAGATATCCTTCTAAACTTCAATATAATAGATTATTCCTCAAAATCCGCAGTGGCTCAGCCCGGTCGTCCACTTCATCCAGAACCTGGTCATCAGTCGGCCAAACGCGGCAGCCCGGTCAGCCTACACAAATGCCGCCGCGTCACTTCTCAGGGCGTACCCCAATGAAGCCTCAGAGTTGATCTTCAAAGCCGAAAAAACGGATGAAACGCCATTTTCCTATCTCTTTGTCAACCTCCTCCTCATCGACATCCGCTCATCAGCGCCACTGCTACTGGAGCAACTCAACAAGCCCGAGTACCCAAGCATGTCTCGCAGGCTCGCTTCTGCATTTGACATTATCTGCATCTTCATAGGGCATCTGATCCGCTCGTTGGAAGATGAGTCTCTTGAGACCCTCATCATGTCGCCAGACAACCTCCTCAAGCTGCGCAAGGGCATTTCAGAAACCATGTCAGTCACCATCGAGTACCTCCGTGACCGGTGGGATGCCACGTTTACCGGAGCGATGGGATTGCATCCAGATGCTCGATCCAGCAAGGCGGAAACATCCACGGGTTCACATCATACTCTCAGATGGGACTCGCTGGAAACCCTTGCAGACGACGATCCCTTCATCCTCTCCGCCGTGAGGGCCCTCGCTATCTGGCTACGTGAAGACGAGAACGAGATGCTGCGGAAAGAAGCCACCGGCTTGACGGACATGTTCATGGACCTCTATCGCGGCAGCTCGTCCGACAAGCTCGACTTCCGATCCCCGACGCTCGTCGCTCTGGAAGGCCTCGTGGCCTTTGAAAAGGGTCGAACCATTCTCCTGAAACACGACGGCTGGCAAACGCTCAGCAAGGACCTGGCCGACATTCTCCAGCAGGATCCTTCCACCATCACCGAGGACGATGCGTCTCGCGGCCTCGAGATTGTCCGCGTGCTCCTCCCCGTGGCGGAGCAAAACAGCAGCGATACTCCAGAGGAGTGGATGGGTCTTGTCACGGCGGTCGCGGCGTGGGACGTCTTTCGTGAGAGGCAGGCTCATCCTTTGGTTCTGGAGCTGCAGGTTGCGACCCTCCAGCTTTGCTGTGCGTTATTGGTCAAGGCGAGCCCTGGGATGAGGAAGAGATACACGCATACAATCAGTGCGCTGGTGGGTATCTCAATGCAGTTGGGGACGGGCATTCCGGGGGACAGCTTCTTGAAGGAGGCGATGGACGATGTATTGAATGTACTGGGTAGTATGTCGAGAGGTTCATGAGGAATTAGTGTAATATTGCTGAGGATGAGCCAAAGAAAAAGAAAAAGAAGTCTCACGTCTTTCGACATTCAACCCGATGAAGAGCTGTCTTAATGAGTATTTTAGTGCGAGTATTTCCATGTCCATATCGCTCGTATCACGCCTCCATCACCTCGCCTCAACAGCCTCCATTCCCAAAGCCTCCTTGTCCGCCACCGCAGCCGCCTTTGCCCTCTTCTTCCGCGCCCTCCGAATCTCAATTTCGACGTGCTCCATCTCGGCATTCACTGAGACGAGGCGCGGGATGACCTGCTCCACGGCTTGGATGGAGAGCGTCTGGGCGGTTCGAAGGGGTAGAGGCGCCAGCAGGCCGTACCAGCGCAGAGGGTCGCTGCTCGTCTTTTTCATCTTTGGCTTTTCCTTTTCCTGCTCTTCTCCATTCTGGTTCTGGTCCTCAGCTGTCTGGTTGGTCTCAGGAGTGGTTCCGGAGTTTGATTGAGCAGTGGTGCCCTCTGCGTCTCCTCCTTCAGGCTTGCTCTCAGACTTCTCATCCTCCTTTGCCCCCTCCTCCTCATCATCAGCAGCAGCAGCACCAGAAGAAGAAGCCATCAAATGCTTAATCATGAACCTAGGCACGGCCTCGTCTCCCCCAGCCTCGTCAATGCGCAGCACCCTTGTCGCGCGCATCCGCTCGTCGTAATAGTCCTGGCCATATCTCATGCCCCGCTCGCCGGCGAAGTTTGCCCGGGCAATGTTTTGGTATACGCCCGACTGGAGCTTGGACAGGTCTTGTCGCAGACGGGTGTATTCGTCCAGGAGGGAGAGGTAGCGCTCTAGGAGGGAGTCGATGTGCTCTTGCTGCTGCTGCTCCATGGTGTGTGGCTGTTTTGTTTTGTTGGAGTAGGTGTCTTTTTTGTTCAGGGTGATGATGGGGGTGAGGCTGGTTTGACGTCAAGAGATGGAGGTGAGGTGGGAGGGATGTCGATGGTGGGGGTGGATGATGAGCTGAGCCCTCGTATTGGACCTTGAGTTTCTACGATACGACTCTTCGTGCTGCTGCTGGGAGCTGGGCTACGAGCATGCAATTGAATGCCTGTATATGTTGATGAGGGGAATATCGAGGGAAGGGAGAAAATACATGTCATCTTACGCATTGTTCTTTACGGGGTTGCATGAGAGAATAAGACAGAGCAACGACCATATAGCATTAGCAGAGGCTCAGTCACTATTGCACGCCACCTTGCAAGAAGAGGCACAACTACATAGATAGGTACCTACAGCAGCCTATCAACACACAGTCAACCTGTGTTTTTGAATACCCGCTTACAATAACCATTCGCGTCTCTACACTTTCGAGAGAGCTCTCGGGTTCTTCTGGGGACTGTATGCACAATGAGTCGAGCGGGGTGAGCCAACGCCCAGGCTGTACAGATTTCATCCCAGGGTAGCCAAGCAAGCCACTCCCTCCCATCTGCATCAAACCCGCTGCGATTCTCTCAAACAAGCGCGCTCGTCCACCCCCAAAAGCACAAACCCGCACGGCGCAGAAGCCAAGCAATCACGTCTTACAGGTCCTGACACAAAGAGCCTATGATGGCATGGCAGCCGCGGCGGGATCACGGCCAAATGCATCAAGCTGTCCCCGTGTGCAAAAATCCCGAATCCAGACAAGTTACACCAGCCATGGAAAAGGAGCCGAGAACGATTACAAGAGATGGAAGAGAAACAAGAGACCAAAAGAAAGGAAAAAGAAAAAGCCGCCACCCTTTTGGAAGGCTTTGGACGACCCTCACCGAAACCGGTGAGGCTGCAATGTGCATATGCAGAGTCGCACGACAGGCAATCTTGTGGTCAGGTGCATACATTTACTCACTGGGCGGCTAGGCGCTCTGTCGAGTGCTATTGCAACTGCAAATCTACCTCTACGTCTCCTTCAATTATGAAGTAACCGCCGAAGAGAAGCTTCCTGAGAAGTATCTAACGAGGGTAAGACACCATCACTGAATGGGTTCGTGACTTGATGAAACAATCATATCTGAATAGGCGTGTTTCGCATCTGTCCAAAGGGACAATGCCCACGGCCTAAGCCTCAACTGTCGCACTTCAATTAATACCACAGACCTTGATCGAGTACAAGTCCGCTGTACTTGGTCCTCGAGCTCCCACGACTCGCTCAAGTGTCAGGCCAGTACTCGCAGATCGAGACAGGGATGTGAAGGGGGGGAAAGAGATGATTCCGACCCATGCCAAGGCGGAACAGCACGCTCGCTAGGAGAAAAGAGACAACCTTGAAGTGCGTCTCGTTAAGGAGACAGCTCACGTGCGCTGTGTAGACAAGCAGACGCATCAAGGGTCTAACGAGAAGACAAGGAAAGACAAGAGGCATCGTCATTCGATAGGGAGGAAGGGCTGGTCGTTGTAAAAACAGCACGTCCTTTTCTATTCTTTGCCTTCTCCTTGTCCGGTTCTGTACGGCCTTGAGGGGAAGGGCGGTGCTAGCATAATGCGCTTCGTGAGGAATTGAAGGACGTCTTTCTCATTTGGCTGCTCAAGAACGAGTCCCAGGCAATGAAAATCATCAAGGCTGGTAGATATCAGATTTTCTTGTAATACTATGAAAGGAATTCAAAAATACATACGTCATTTCGGTCTTGGAAGGGAGTCGGCAATTGAAGAGCGCTCGTCTCTCTCCGACTTTGACAGCTGCCATCAACACCGCATGCAAACAACGCTCCACTCGCTGAGGTGCTTCCTGGTAGCTGGTACCATGCAAAGCCGATTTCTGAGCGCATACGGCAGTTGTGAGATGATGGCTTATGCTTGATGACAGGTGGCAGGCATAATCTCGAGTTGCAAACAGCAACAGCAACTGTATTACTTACTGCCACTCTACTAGAGACGGAGGCATGAAAAAGGGCCAAAAGAGGTGCGATGCCAGCGGTAGCGATTGAGGTACCTACTACTTACCTAGTCTACAGCAGTGACAGCTCGCCTCGAGGAAACAAAGCAGAGGGACGCTGCAAAAGAAAGAAAAAGGTGCAGCCCTTTGTGCAACCTCTGCATTCATCGCGCTTGAATGACAAATTCAGCCATGGATGACCGTTTCCTCCTGGCCAGCCTCTCCCTCCTCCTCCTCCTCCTCCTCACCACCTCCCCTCTTCCTCCCCTGGGGCTCCCGGTCCGCCGTTGTCGCGCATTGAGCAAGCCCCGTCTCAATTAACGTGCTGCTAGCCTGGGTGCATTTTGGATTCAAGTGCCCCCCCAATTGCTGCCAACCGCGAAGTCCAATTCAATCCAATCCAATCCAATCCGAAATGCTTAACCCCAACCCCCCAACCCCCTTCAACAAGCCACCCGCCCTTCTGCGCGCATCGCTGCAGCGCGCATCCAATTGCTGCTCGGCGGCCTGATGCAGGATCCATTGGAGGACGGCTGCATGCGAGTAGGTTTGGTCGCACAATTACTTGCTATTATCTAGGTAGGTATATGGGCACATGGTTCAACTCCTTTCGAGGCGCATACCTACTCGAATCGACGTGCATTTGGGGGTCCAGCCAGCCCACACAGGCAGAGCAGGTCGGGAGGAATCCCCACCAATCAACCCTGCTTCACCGAGCAGCGCCCATCACCAATCCCCGTGCCTCTCATTCTCCCTCTCTCTCTCTGTGGCCGGTCCGTGTCTCTCTGTCCGGATGTTGTCCGCTGGGCTTTGGCTGGGTCTGCTTCTTTGTCGAAACTGGTACCTAGCACTTCCTCATGCAACGATGAATAATCCTGCCAGTAGATACACACTAAGTTAGTATCTGGTATGTAGAACAAGACAGAACAGCACTCCTCTTCATCTTGTCCGTGTTTGCTGCTGCTCGTACCTCACTAGCACGGCTGCGTGTTACTCGGTGACGGGAGCTGCTAGCAGGCGACCATCGTCGACCATGGCGCTCAAACCAGGCCAAGCTCCGCCAAAAGCTTCCCGGTTCTCCTCTTTGACCCCCCCCAGCTTGCCCCCAGTTGACCAGCACACGCGCACACAAGATACACGCACACACACACACACACACACACACACACACACACACACATTCTGTCTGCGTCTCTCTCACTCCATTGGCACCAAAAGCCCCGAGTCTGCTACTAGACTGTTTGCCTGTCTCGGTTTATTGGTGCCCGTCCACTGGCCTTGAAGCTGCTCCCTCGATGGATACTTGTTGAACCCGCTGCAACTACTAGGTAGTAGTATCTTGATGTACAGTATGGATCCATCTAGGTAGTAGTACTATCTGCACACACAAACATCCACGCACACGGCCTGAAAGGAGCATCATCATAAGCATCCATTATTGATACCTTGACCTACTTGCTCGGTGCTACTACCACCTCAAAGCACCCGACTTCTGCTAGCACCAGACACTCCCTGGAACCGGTCCAGCACTGGAAGCTGCCCGTCTGTCCCCTTGCCCTGCAGCTCACCTCAGTGCTCACTCGCTTCCGTCCGCCCCCCCAATCGTGACAAAGCTCCCAGCAAAGGCCACTTGCGCTCCTGATAAGCCTCTGGCTCTCCGCCTGCCCGCCTGCAGCAGCGCATCCACCTGCTCACTAACTGGCCGCCCTCTAGCCTCCAGTTCGACTCCCTCGACCAACCACCGCCGTCTACCTGCGCCTGTCCTGACCTCCACTGCCAGTGGCTGCTACTGACTGCTCTGCTGCTGTCACTACCTTCCATACCTTACCTTACCTTACCTCCACTACCTTATTACCTGTTACCACTGGGCCACCCACTCCCACTCCCACTGCCTCTACCTCCATACCTACCTACTACCAGACCAGACCACCTGCACTCCATACCACTACCGCTAACCGCTAACCGCTCCCGCTACCTGCTGCCATTCTTCTCCCAGTGCCTCCCGCCAAATTAATCTCCAGCATCTCCAAACCTCCAGAGCCTCAATTCGCAGCATCGCAACCTCGTCCTCGCATCTCGTCTCTCCCCCCCGCGGCACGCGCTGCGATAAGGCCTCTTCCGCCTCGACCTTGTCCTCCGTCGTCAGATCTCTCCGTCCAGCAACCGCATCAGCACAAGCAGCACCACCATGGTGGTCGCAACCATCAAGTACGATCCGATCTGCAAGCCCCTCTGCCCTGCTGCATCTCCAGTCCCCTTTGCCTCTGCTTCTGCTTCTGCCTCTGCCTCGGCCTCTGCCTGTTGCCCGCTGCCTGCTGTCTTCGAACTTCCCGCTGTCGCTTCCGCCTCTTCTTCCTCGTCGCTCCCCCTTCCTCCCGCCTTCTCCCCCCCCTCCGCTTTACTCATCCCAACCGGCTGCCTTGTCGGCATCTCTAGAGGTGGCCGTTTGGGCATGTTTCAGATGGCCCTCGCTCCCTCTCTCCGACCTGCTGACAGGGAGGGGCGGTCAATGAAGCTGCGACCTCTGCTCCGGATCTCCGCCACCCGCTGCCTCTTCCTCGCTGGCTAACCTTGCAATTCGCTTCTAGGTGCGTTGTCGTCGGCGACGGTGCCGTTGGCAAGACTTGTCTTCTCATCAGCTACACCACCAACAAGTTCCCTTCGGAATATGTGCCGACCGTCTTCGACAACTATGCCGTCACCGTCATGTGAGTGGCCTTCCCCCCCTTTTGAGATATGGAGACGGACAGGGAGCGAGAGAAGATGAGACATTTCGACCCTCGATCGATGGAATTGCATCGCCTCGTGATGCCGCGCATCGAGCGACTCTCAGGAGAATTGCAAGAAACAAAATCAGACGCTGTCGAGGGTGAAGCGATGGTCTCCAACGGCCCCCCCCCCCCCCCTTTGGCGAAGCTCTGCGTTCAGCCACACGACACCATCCGAGAAATGCTCAATGGCTGACTGGCCCTCAACAGGATCGGTGACGAGCCTTATACCCTGGGACTGTTCGATACGGCCGGACAGGAAGATTATGACCGACTGCGTCCCCTTTCATACCCCCAGACCGACGTCTTCCTCGTCTGCTTCAGCGTCACGTCGCCCGCCTCGTTCGAAAACGTTCGCGAGAAGTGGTTCCCCGAGGTCCACCACCACTGCCCCGGCGTCCCATGCCTGATTGTCGGTACCCAGGTCGACTTGCGGGATGATCCCAGCGTGCGCGAGAAGCTTGCCAAGCAGAAGATGAGCCCCGTCCGCCGCGAGGACGGCGAGCGCATGGCCAAAGACCTGGGCGCGGTGAAATATGTCGAATGCAGCGCGTTGACTCAGTACAAGCTCAAGGACGTGTTTGATGAGGTATGTTTGATGGAGCCTGAGAGGGACACTGGACGACACAAGGAGAAGACGAATAAGAGGACGTGTCTGATGAAGGATTGCCACTGACCATTTCGCTTCCAGGCCATAGTCGCTGCATTGGAACCACCGGCCCCCAAGAAGAAATCCCACAAGTGCCTCATTCTATAAACCACGAGTCTCAGGAAATTGCGTCATAGGATATTGCCATTGTTTTCGCTCGGTGGTCAGTTGACCAGACAGCCTGGGTTCTGGATACACGGAAGAGGTTCACTTGGAGATGACTGGTGGTTGTGCCTGGACAGGGGCGGATAGACTTGGAGAGTCTGGGCTTTGCCTACCCACGACGGGTTGATATCACTGGCAGCTAGGGGAGAGGTGTGGTTGACTTGTTTCCGCCAAGGAAGGCGTGCTACGGATTTCCCTCGTGCCTGATCATGGCAGCAGCAAGACGTCGTCCCCGATGGAGGCACGAAGAGGGTAGTTGGTGAGAGAGAGAGAGAGAGGGCTTCCCAGCTGCAGCCTGCCTTTCGTTTCCGTTGGGCAGTCTTTGAGCGTGGTGTCTCTCTCCGTCATTTCTTGCACGATGGCCTCGCGACGAGAGGCCGGATCTACGTCGCCGTCTATCCTCGTTTTTCTCTCTACATTTTGGGCCAGGGAACGTATAAAATGCAGACCGGCATGTTTCGATAGGAAAGTTTGGCGATTTGGAGTGCAGTTCAATTGACCGGACCTTTTGTTATGCCCATTTCGATCTTGTGCACGGTTTCTTGACTGTGACTCGCGAGGAGACCTTGGCTTGGGATGAGAATTTTCCAGGCTTGGTCATTCATTCGACGTGAGATGTGTCAAGCACAAGGCTGATCTGGACAGCAATCGCTGAATAATCATGTAACCAGCTACCGCCGTTTTCCAAGCCTGTCTGTCTGATGCTTTCATTCAATGAGAACGACGTCGAATTAGGGGAGAGGGCGTAGAGGGTGACATGAAGCGGAATTGTAGCGTATTGGCTCGACTAAAGATGGCTGGTTAGCAGCACTCTCCGGTTCTCATTGCTTTGCATGAACAGATTGGCTTGGTCTTTGCAGAAATATAACTAGTTTTTTCTTAATTTGAAGCCCTGAGAAGCAAGGCGAGAGGGAATGGATCGAGGAAGAGCTGACTGAGCTGGGGCGGAAACGGGGGAGAATGTGAGTTGTACTCTCTCTCTCTCTCTCTCTCTCTCTCTCTCTCTCTCTCTCTCTCTCTCTCTCTCTCTCTCTCTACTTTTTCCTTGGCTATTCTTCTTGGTTCGTAGGTTATGTATGGGTTGAGGGATTAGCCTTGATGCTTGCCTTGGTTCGTCTTCACCTAGAGCTGAGTCATGGATGACGCGGACGCTCGAGAAGAAAGAAGTCAAGAGGGCCTTTGGTGCCGTAGCTGAACGCGAAGCCGAAGAGTTATCACGATTGTCAAGTTCAGAGGGGAATCGTAGTCTTAGGCTATTTGATGACGAGGGTATTGAAGAGGGTTTCTCTGACCGGTGGCATATGGCGGTTGTTCACCCTGATGGGAAGTGCTCGTTGAGGGATGGTGGGTTTGAGATTCATGTCGAGAAGATACCGCATCAACACATGTAAACGGTTACTCTTATTCCTTCCAAGAAAGCTTATTGATATAGGTAGATAGTCGATGTCAACTTTTTTGAATGGGGGAGCGCCGTTACTCGTGTCAAACTCCCCATGGCTTGTTTCTCATATTGAAGCCCATCATTGCAGGCTTTTGAGATGCGAATTCAGCGAATAGCAGGAAGCAAGTTGAAGAATTGTAAAATAGTTACAAGTTTTGATTTGAGAGGAATGGTTGATCTGATACTCATTTAGAAAGCACATAATGCCTAATGTACGTTGTGCATAGTCTTTGAATGAAACTTATGTCGTAGACGCATTTTGCCTCCATTTTGGTACTAAATCCTTCTTGTATTCTCGTGCTCTGGGCCATGATAGCTGAAGTAGATGCATCGTTGACTTCATCCTTCTTAGGTAGGTAGGGATCCTTCGAAGATGCAGAGTGCTCCCCTCTGTGTACATGATGCTCCATTGCCAGCGAATCCTCCACCCCGTCCATGGCTGACTGGAACAAGGTAGTAATACTAGTAGGAAGGACTGTGTGTGTGTGTGTCCTCCCATCAATACAAAGTTGCGGTTGTAATCAAACCCATTGTCTCGTATTGGAGGGCTGGCTGAGCGGCTACCTATGCAAGGTACCAGCAATCATAATGCGGAGTTTGCTGTAATACGCCACCACCCGCTTAAAGCAGCTAAAGCCTTGCGTTGCGGAAGGACTTGGGAGGGCATCGCATTATTTATTATCACGGAGGTGTGTTGGATGGGGCAGACAAATGGCACGTCGTTTCTTTGTTCTTTCTTGCTTTCTTTTTTTCTTTTGCTCTTGTTTGCTGTTTGTATGTGCTTTAGGTGTCAAAACCCTTGAATCTTCGCATGTATCGTCTCTCTCTTGTCTTCTATAAATAACATGGAATGGCCCACCCATTGTTGCACGAACTAGAACGAAAGGCCCCGACAATCTTCTTGTCCGAGACAAGTGTTTGCGACTGGAGGCTTTGGAGATACGATGGACAGGCAAGTATTAGCAGTAGTATCGTCAAGTTGGCGGCATAAATGGGCATGGCCGGACGCTTCCCCGATCCTGCCGTCGTGCGTTTCGCCGTCCCCGGTCCTTGGGGGGGGGGGTTTGTCGGTTTCACTTGCGATTCAAGGGCCTGTTCGTGGAGATGGCATGTGATGTTTGCGAACTTGTGGCTTTTGTCGTTTGTCCCATAGTCCAGGAGCAGTGCAATCAAGCTGCACACTTGGCATGGAACATCAACCCTGTGCCCAAGTCTCCCGCCACTGGCGCATTGTGAGCTCCTCGAAATAGTGATGAAAATGACACCGAGCTACGGATTGGGACTCGGTAATAGCACGAGCAACTGCGAGGATTAACAACTCGAATCTAGACCAAGAGCTGAAGCCCAATTTGTCCATGTAATTTGACAGAGTCTCATTATTGCCAACATTGAACCGAATATAGCACACCACCACCAGATACGTGATAGCAGTCGCATTGTCGACGGTTCACGGGATGAAGAAAAAAATGACCATGGGGGGGCGGGCGGGCGTGTCCTGCATGAGGGCGGCAAAATGGGGAGAATCCAATTCGCAAGCAGGACGCGGTTGACGTTGGAGCACGGAAGCGGCCACGGCTGCAGGTGAGAGACGAAGCGCGTGGCGGTGAGGATATCATTGGCAGTAGGTGGTTTGGCGTTTCTTCTTCGATGAGGCTACCTAGGATGGTGAAGAAAACTGACGCCAAATTGACCGGTCACGATTCTTTTTTTTTTTTTTTTTTCTAGTCTGCCGCTTCTTCCCTTGGCCCTTGATTTCTTTTGTTCCGTTGAAGATTGTATCTACATACAGCAGTTGACGTGGCAGGGGATGGTCGTCATGCTGCCAAGATCAGCTCGAGCTTCCCTCTGCCCCCTTTTGCTCCAGCGAGAAGGTAGCATTGGGAAGGGTCGAGACTTTATTATGCTCGCCGCCCGGAAAAAGGAGGCATCCCTCGAGATCTCATTGGCTGCGGTGCATTGCCTTTTGTTGATGAATGTACGATAGTACTACAGCAGACGGCCATCTTTAAGCACAGCTCCCAGCACCGTCAGAATGCTGGATCGCCGACTTGGATCGTGATAGTCACCCCTTTCACTGGATCCCGTATTATCACTGCTTCCAGACCTGGGCTAACGCAGGCCATGATACCTCATAAGGTATGTATGTACTGATGATACAGGCTGGCATGTCAGCCACATGCTTGACACGTTCTGCTGGCACGTTTGACGGCTTCGGCACAGGTACTGCAAGGTATTGTACGCATGTCAACACCTGCTAGACCAGCCACGGGACGTTAGAGTTTGCACCATGCAGGTCAACGACATGAATGAGGTTCCTGCAATTTGACGAGTGTGTTGACGGATGATCTTGTCTGATGCCATTCCCGCTGCCCGCTCCTCCAATGGTTCCTTTACCCCCGTCTGACAGCAGTTGGAGCCTGCACATATCGTACATGTACATTAGTAGTACTGGTACTGATACTTGATCATTCTAACCGCGTTTATGAGAGACCGCATCCGGCTGGACAAGTACCTTACAGGTACGCGTACGGATGATGCTTGTGCCGTTGTTCGACTTTGAGTTGAAGGTTCTCGTCTCGGCTGGGTGTTGCCATTATGTACTTCGATCTCATGTAAGGTACCGCCTACCTTACCTTATCATCGCGAGTGTAGGTACCTTCTACAGCCGATATAAGGTAACCTTGGAGGTAAAGGTACATACCAACTACTACCTCAACCATGTTCGAGTCCGACAAAGGGTCCAGATCCAAGTCCAGGTCCAGGTCCAGGTCCCTTTTTTCCCCGACGACATCAGCCAAAAAGGCAAAGAAAATGAAGAGACAGAAGACAAAGGCGACATGCCCGCGCCCCACCGCACTAATGGAAAAGAAACACTGGCTGAAAGAACGCCGGTTGCAGCGATTGAGATTCACTGTACGAGTACATGTACTCCTTCCATGAAATCACAGCCACGGAGGTACCTGTGCGCCTCAACGGGGTCCGCTCCATCTCTCTCTCTCCCCCATCTCCAAGCAAGAACCCCCAAAAGGGCTCCGGTTCGCAATTGTGTCCCCCTCTCCAATGAGATTTGATGAGCAGCACCTCCATCCACCGGCCATCGACTCGTTAATAAACCCCCCGCCCCCCCTGTCGACCGGCCAGGCACTCGTTCTCGTTCTCAAAAGGCACTGCACGCCACTGCAGCCCCTAAACCGCGCGCCAGGCCCTCAGGCCCTCTTCCAGCGCAGTAGCGCCAGCAGCAGGCTGCAACCCCTGCGCCGGGTCATTAAACTAATACCACCGCACGCCAATTCCGTCGCCCATCCCCTCCCGTCTCCTTTGGGCGATTGTCCATCTGTCCTGTCCATTGATGGGGGGGAGAGAGAGAGAGAGGAAGAGGGCTAAGCAGCCAGGTACCAGGTACGAGTACCCGTGCTGCCGTACTGCTCTTCGCATCTGTACCGTTACCTCTGATGGGCAGAGGATAAGGTACCTACTTAAGGTACCTAGGTACTACCCGACAACTATCGGAAGGGAACGGTGACCGCTGATGGGCAATTGCACGTTCGTATCTGTCCCTGTACCTGAGTCGTACGAGCTGTAATCCTCACCGTAATACCGCTGTATCTACTTTGTTCGCAAGTACGGTGACTTCGGCCACGGGTCAGCGTGTCCATATTTGTGTCTGTACATACACACGGGAACCTCTCTGCTCTCTGCTGCTCCTGTGTACGTACCACCATTGGATGGCAAACTTGCAGTCCGCAAGCTGCAGTCGTCTCCAGTCATCTCAAAGTCCGGCACACGAACAGGAACAGGAACAGGAACAGGTACATCTCGAAGCTCCAGGTACATGCCCCAAGGCGCCCCGTTCGGGCTAGAGCGCCTCCGCAGTACCTGCTGTCGCGACTGCCTGCCCGTACGCGCCACAGGTACTCTGCCCCATCGCGCCCGCCCCGGTGCAGGTACCGGTACTTTGCCCTAGCAGCGCGACTAAACCGCCCCCTGGCCGCTGTTCGTCGCTCTCTTTTCGCTTCCTCATCCTCTCTCTCTCCCACCTCCTGCGCCTCTCGCCTCTCACTCTCTTTTCGCTCGTGTGTCTGTCCTTGTCCCCCTGTACTGTACTTTACTGTACGAGCTCCCGCTGCTCTCTCTCTCTCTCTCTCTCTCTTTCTTTAGTGCATCTTTCCTCTCCTCCACAAGCCTCCCCCCCTGGTCCCTCGTCCCTTGTCCCTTGTCCGCGTTGCGCTGCTCCAGAAAAAAACTGCCGCTGGTCCCTACGAGCACGCTTCGCCGGTGGCCCGTTGTTTTCCTCATCCCTTATTCCTCCTTCTCTTGGTCTTCATTTGCCCGTCGTTGCCTCTCTCTTCTCTCCTTCAGCTCAGCTCTTACTCCTCTTCCTCCCATTCTTCTTCTTTCTTCTTCTCCCCTTGTTTCCCCCCTGGCCCTCCCCGATCGTGAGACTGCAATCTAGCTTGCGCCAGGCCCTAGACTGCTCCAGCAAATCCACCGCGTCGTTTCCCCAGCTGGATCGACTCGACCGGACTGTCCAGGTTGTCAATCGCAGTTGTTGGAGCGCCAATTGGGTCCCGACCAGCCTTTCTGCTGTCCGCCGTCGATATAGGACTCTCGCTGCTTGCGATAGAACCGCCGCGACGACTTGTTCTGCCCGTCGTTCGTCACATCGTTCCTCGACCTGTCCGCTTCTTCGCATCCCGAGCGCCTCGCCTCCCCTGCGGCCTTTGTCTGTTACGTCCGTTTAGCCTTGACGCCCTCGCTCACCGACACTCCTCGAGGCCCTTCGTACTAGTACCGGTATTGTCCTCCTACCGCGTCGTCTCGCTACGTCCACCGGCCGTCACTTCGCTACTGCTTGGGCCGCCTCTTCGCCTCGTCTTCATGCCGCTAGGAGCTTGCATATTGCCGTTTTAATAGTCGCGACCTTTTCTTCTTCTTGGATATTGAGCATTCGATTTGCCTTCTAGTTCATATTCCGCTTCGATTCGAACGCAAGAAACAGTCACTTTGCATACATATCTTACCTTCATCCACCCGCCGAGCCCCTTTTCTTCCCCTGCAGTACAGCAGCCTGATTTGTGCGGCGCAATTCTCGTGAACCCTTCTGGTAAGAGACGCATCGTTTGATCTCTCCGGACCAAGAGCCGATTCTTCTCGAGCCATCTGCAATTGGGCTTCCGTCAACGACCGGTTGCTCGAATTCCCCCCGGTGCTAGCGTTTCGTGCCTCTTCCGGGCACGTTGAAATCTCTCAAAACGGCTGTTCTCGGTCACGCTGGGCGGGACTCTCTCGTCCCCCCTCACCTCCTCGGGATGCAGGACCTCAACGGATCTGCTGGCCAGGGCGCGCACAACGGCGCCAATGGCACGCGTTTCGGCCATGCCTCCAAGCCCTCCAACAGCGATACGGGCTTCTCCCACGGCGCCTTCACCTCCAACATCTCGGGCTTCGCTGACCGCCATCCTCGCCGCGCCAACATCCCCTCGCTCAACACGCAGAACATGAACCAGAACCAGGCCAGCGGCCATGACATGACCCCGGGAACCGCGTTCGACATGCAGTTCACCCCTCTGCTCCCCTCGCAGCTGCTCCTCGGCAGCCCCTTTCAGCCCGGCAGCCCTGCCGCCTTTGGCAGCCCTCAGTTCCAGGGCCTGTCTGGCTTCCAGCAGACGCAGCATCAGCAGGCCAACGGCCAGCAGCACAATGGCGGCCTCTCGAGCCCCGTGCAGCCCAGCATGTCTCCCCAGTCCTACCAGGCCCTGGTGTCTCCCTCGACCTACGGAGCGCCCCAGTTCTTCCCTCCCCAGTCGCCCACCGGCTTCAACATGCAGAGCTCGATGCAGCCCGGCTCCCCCGTTTCCATGGGCGCCGGCGTCGTCACCGGCACCAGCCGAACCGTCTATCTCGGCAACATCCCCCCGGACACCAGCGCCGAAGAGATCCTGGGCCACGTCAGGAGTGGCCAGATCGAGTCCGTCCGCCTGCTGCCCGACAAGAACTGCGCCTTCATCTCCTTCTTGGACGCCAGCTCCGCCACCCACTTCCACTCCGACGCCATCCTGAAGAAGCTGTGTATCAAGGGCCAGGACATCAAGGTCGGCTGGGGCAAGCCGTCTCAGGTGCCGACGTCGGTTGCGCTGGCTGTCCAGCAGTCTGGCGCGTCCCGCAACGTCTACCTGGGCAACCTGCCCGAGGAAATCACCGACGAGGAGCTGCGCGAGGATCTCGGCAAGTTTGGCCCCATTGACACCATCAAGATTGTCCGCGAAAAGGGCATTGCCTTTATCCACTACCTGTCCATTGCCAATGCCATCAAGGCCGTGACCCAGCTGCCTCAGGAGGCCAAGTGGCAAGCTCCTCGCCGCGTCTACTACGGCAAGGACCGATGCGCCTACGTGTCCAAGACGCAGCAGCAGAACGCCGCCCAGTACCTGGGCATTGCCCCCGGCTACGCGCACATGCTCACCGGCGCCGACCGCGACCTCATCTCCAACGCCCTCGCCCAGCAGTCGGTGGCGGCCGCGGCCGTTGCCACGAGCGCCGGCGGCATGAACAACCTCGGCAACCGGACCATCTACCTGGGCAACATCCATCCCGAGACGACCATTGAGGAGATTTGCAACGTGGTCCGCGGCGGTCTGCTGCACCACATCCGCTACATCCCCGACAAGCACATCTGCTTCGTGACCTTCATCGACCCCACGGCCGCCGCCTCCTTCTACGCCCTCAGCAACCTGCAGGGCCTGATGATCCACAACCGGCGCCTCAAGATTGGCTGGGGCAAGCACTCTGGCGCTCTGCCGCCCGCCATCGCCCTCGCCGTCAGCGGCGGAGCCTCGCGCAACGTCTACATTGGCAACCTTGACGAGACGTGGACGGAGGAGCGGCTGCGCCAGGACTTTGCCGAGTACGGCGAGATTGAGCTGGTCAATGCCCTGCGCGAGAAGAGCTGCGCGTTTGTCAACTTCACCAACATTGCCAACGCCATCAAGGCCATTGAGGCCATCCGCGGCAAGGAGGAGTACAAGAAGTTCAAGGTCAACTTTGGCAAGGATCGATGCGGCAACGCCCCTCGCCAGGTCCAGCAGAACTCGTCCCCGCGCGGCGACGGCGTCTCATCGCCGGCCCCGAACGGCTCGCAGAACGGCAACTCGCCCTCCAACGGCAACACGCCACAGCCGACGGCGGCCATGTTCAACGCCTCCAGCAACCCGCTGACCATGTACTTGAACCACATCCAGCAGCAGGCTCAGCAGCAACAGCAGCAGCAGCAGCAGATGTCCGTGCAGCAGAACATTCTGTTCAACACGGCGCAGTCCAACGACCTGTCCATGGACGTTCCTCAGCAGGGCCCCATTGGCGGCCACGGCCAGTCAGCCAGCATCTCCAACGGCTACCCCATGAACGGCTCCATGTCCAACGCCACTACCATTGGCGGCCTGCTGGCCCCCGGCAGCGGTCGCGGTCAGCACAGCCGTGCCGTCAGCCTTCCGGTCCTTGCGCCCGGGTTCGAGAACGGAGGCATCAGCCCCTCTGAGAGCAACGGCAGCCACGGCGAGAGGCGCGGCCATCATTACCAGGCCAGCTTCGGCGGCATGGGAGCCTCTGGCTATGGCCTGGCCATCCAGGGAGGCCTGAACGGCTGGGTGGAAGAGGAAGTGGCCAACTAGAGGAAACAAGGCCGCAGTCCGCCCCCGGAAGGACATGTCACGCATATGAACAGAGTTGGGGGGTTTACGGGGAAAGGGTTTACCTAATTTGTTGTAATTGCTTTTGGAGTCTTTCCGCCTCATCCCTTAATTCCTGTTTATGAATACCTCATTCCTAACATATTCCGTTTTTCTTCATTTATTTTCTGTCACCAATATTTCATAATTACTCTCTTCGGTGTACCATGTTCAGAATCTTTTTTTTTCTTCTCAACACTTTCCCGATTCCCCTGAGATTATATTCCCCCACCCTTTTGAAACGCAAAGAAGAAGGAGACGATGCTGCGAGATTCCGCCCCTAGCGAACCTTGGCGATTGATGGGCCTTGTCCAGTAAGATGCATACATTGGGGCCCTGGAGACTGATGAGAGGGAGCTCCGCAAGCGAGTTAGCCTCTGAATAAGGGGGAGAGAGAGAGGGAGGATGTGTGGTCACGCCCTGGTGATGAAGTCTGCGCGGGGCTGGCCAAGTGTTTGGTACGGTGTATAGACAGGAGGAGGAGGAGGATTATCTGCATGTAAGGTAATGTCGTTATGGATTTTTTTTTTTTGTAGCGGGTCGGGTTCGACTAATACATTGAATAAGACCATGTGATGGCTCGTTGCGTGAATGTCAGTTTTGAATTTTCATCTTAAATCTCTAAATGTTTGTCCTTTTACTTTTGACTCTTCTAGATTGTCCATGAGACAAGCTCGCTCAACTCACTCATTGGAAGCATCGATACCCAAGACACTGCCAGAGCAGGCTCACTGCCGAATCAGATAGCTAGTACATACATACTTGCGTCACATCATCAATACCCAGCAGGCTCCTTGACCTCCGGAAAGGCCGCCTTCTTGATATTCGCCCGGCACTCGGCCTGCCAGTCCCTGGGCGTAAACTTGTCAACGATGCTCTTGAAGGCAGCAAGCGTACAAAAGGACTCTTGACCGGGCAAGTGCTTCCCCTGGGGCTTACACCCGGGAATGGTGACGGGCTCGTCGTTGTACCGGAGGCGCACGTAGTAGCCCTCTAGGCTTTCCCTTTCGGCGGGCGTGAGCTGGGGAGTTGGCTTGCGGTAGATGGATGATGGCTGGTATTGCTTGTTGGGAGATAGGAAGGAGGGCCACCATGATGATGATGGTGGTGTTGAGCTTGCTGGGGGCTTGTCGGAGGAGCGAAAGAGTTCGATGGCGATGTGGCTTGTAAAGGGGGGCCAGGACTCGGTGTTGTATGCGCCGAGGCTGGCGAGGACACCGGCGAGGGTGGTGTCGTGGCACCCACTCAAGCCGAAGCGAATCGTCGCATCGTCATTCTCAGTAGAAGAAGAGCGCTGCTGACCGAGCGGGTGGACGAATTCGGTGTCCGGGGGAGGGACGTTGCGCTCTGCGCTGGCGACCATCCTGGCAACGACGTCGCCGAGCAGGGCGCCGATGCCGAGGGCGCGGTATTCGCGGCTCTCGCCGTAGCCGGCGAACCACTCGTCCACGGAGACCTTTTCCATGATCTGGCGGACTTTTGGGTCGTAAAAGTCGCGCGGGAGGCGCGTTGCCGGGCCGTGGGCGAGGGTGGAGTTGACCGTGTCCATGATGCCGCTGAGGCGAGGCTTGGAGTCGACGGCGACTTGGGGGCTGTCGTCGGGCATGAAGCGGCCGAGCCTGGCCGTGAGGAGGCGCATCTCGTCCGAGTCGTTCCAGCGCTCGGCGGCCCTCTGGGCAAAGGCGCGCGACAGCTGGGCGAAGCGGCGGCAGTGCATGTCGTTGGGGAAGAGCGTCTCCTCGGGCGAGTAGCGCGAGACGACGGTGAGCGGGGGGAAATCCGGGTCGCGCGTGTGCGGCGGGTAGAGCCCGAGGAAGGCCTGCTGCATGGACTCGAGGGCGCGGGGGATGGGCGTCGCGCGGAGGTACATGAAGGAGGAGGCGTCCTTGATGCTGGCGGGCAGGAAGCCGAGGTGGTCGACGTAGAGCCTGCGCAGGCGGACGCCGAGGGCGTGCGTGGTCTCGCGGCCGCGGTCGGTGAGCATGCCCAGGTCGCAGAGGTTGTCGAGGGAGCCGTCGGGGCCGGTGGCGGGGACGGCGGCGTCATTGGGGCCGAAGGACTCGAGGCGGCGGCGCCATTGGAGCTCGGAGAAGGATGGGGATGATGATGATGATGATGATGATGATGATGATGGTTGTTGTTGTGGCGGTGATGAGGAGGAGGATGAGGAGGGATCGGGGCCGGGGGGGACGAGGACGGCGGAGCGGAAGCGGCTGACGGCGGAGCAGTAGGGCCAGTAGGCGGCGAGGCCGGTGTTGGCGAAGCGGGCGCTCACGGGGGTGCGCTCGCCGTGGCGGAGGAGGATCTGGACTTGCTGGAGGTGGAGGGAGGGAGGGTAGAGCGAGGCGAGCTCGGCGTCGGAGTAGGGGGGGCGGGGGATGAGGGTTGTCATGATGGCATTGGATGGGCAGAGAGGGACGGGATTGTTGGTGTTGTGATGGATGGATAGATAGAGGGATGGGGGTTGTCTATGTTATGGCAGAAGTCAATGTTGAGGCTTGAGGCTGAGGTTGGTGATGATGGACGCTCAAGCTGGAGTTGCGAGGTTGGGCCAGGAGGCTGAGTTCATAGTGGTAGTAGTTTGACGGTTATGACGTGTGCTAGTGTCAACGTCTGGTCACTGAGCAGAGCACTAAGGTAAGAAGCTCGCCCAAGCTCTGGAGCTGTCTACGGTGGTTCAAAGACTGGATCCCAATTGGGCGGTTCACTCCATTACCGAGGCTTTGGTTTGTGGTGGTGGAAAATGGGGGGGAACATTGCGGAGTGTGAGGGGAAGGGGCTTTGTTCTTGGGCTTGACAGATGTGTGTGTGTATTTGATGTGACATGGTTTACATGAGATTTGACATGGGGATTGGGATGTTTAAGGAACATGAATGACGGAAAAGCTTTTGGTTTATACCTTGTCAGTCTCTAAACAGTTGAAGTGAGGACACTGGCTTTATGGCTGTTGAATTAGTAGCCTGCGAGAACCCGTCAACGAGACAAATTGTCTGAACCAACCGGAGACAAACCATCAGAGCCTGAGACGATTACCCAGCATGTAATTCTTTGGTCTTCTATTGTGACACTCTGCCACGCTGGTCATGCATGCATCAAGCCCGTATCCAAATAGTCACTGCTGTCGTAAACAAATAGTCGCTGCCCATCGAGCCAGTCCATATTGTACCCAGAATCAGCAGAACCCTGGACACGTTATAATACGATTCCAAAAGGTCCCGGTCAGCTCGTATGTTCAAGGCAGTCTGGAACCCTCGCTCTTCAGGGTAAAAGCAGCTCAGGCTCTCAGGTCGAGTTATATTTAGGTAGGCACAGGCCTCGTGCTGCTTCCATCGGCCGCTGCCGAGGATCGAGACACCACGTAAGCACCTACTGCGACCACTGATGAGGTCATCAACAATTGAACTCGGAGGGCTTGGAGTCACGTTGCCAGTCACTGCTAAGCGCCGTCAATTCGATTTTTATTTGATTGAATCCAACATGTTGTGTTTGTCACATCACATGCGAGAGAAGCGGCTGTCAAACCAATTGCACGTCGTTTCACTCAGGATCCTTCCACGGAAATCAGAGGAACCATCTCGACAGTGTATCACAGCAGAAAAAAAAAAGGAAAAGAAGAAAAAAAGCTGGGGCCTGGGCAGCCGGCCAAAGGCCCGAACCGAGCCTCTCTCTCTCTCTCTCTCTCTCTCTCTGTCTCTTCCCCTCTCTCTTCTGGACGAGCTTCTCCGCAGCAGAACCAGGGGTCTTTCGACTCTTGTTTCCCCTCCGGAATCAGGGATCCAGGAATCGAATCGATGATTCCATCGGTGAGCACTTGATGACGAAGAACCGCCCCTTGATCGCCGCTCAGCCCAGGGATCCGGGGCTTAGCTCAGCCCTTATTCCGTGCTTCCATTCCTGTCGCCATCCGCCATTCGAAGCCCCCCCCCCCCCCCCCCCCCCCCCCCCCCCGTCCAACAGCTGCGAAGAAGGGGAAAGGCAACAAGATCTTCCACCTACCCAGATCATTCTAAGGTACGGAGTCAGCTCTCTCTTCTGGCTGCCCAACCACGGACCAATCAGCCTCAGCAGCCCCGAGATGCAGCTCTACGGCCCTGCTTGAGCGGTTTGGCGCAGCGCCGGGTGGCTCGGCTTCTCCATCCACAGCTCTGCTGTGCATCTGCATGGCCTAAATAAGAGCGGCTGTCTGTCTGTCTGTCTGTCTGCGGGTGCTTCTTTTTGTTGTTTGGGTCTGCGACTCTTCTCTCAACATCTTTCTGGACGACTCACTCACAGCCACCTCCCTCGGCTGCTCGCCCCTTTCATCACATCTCACGACCTGCCTATTCCCACCTTATCTCAGCCCATCCCCATCCTTGTTGACCGCATAGTAGCCCTACCTGCTAGCTCAAGTCGTCAGCGGCCAATCGGCGCTCGTTATCGGTTCCTGTCACTTCCATCTCGAGAAACGTCAAAACTGTACATAGTTGCGTTGCTTCGCTTCGTCGTTGGAAAATCTCCACCGCCTTGCAGTCCGATCCCAATTACTTACCTTGTGGATTACTCTACATACTCCTTCTTCTCCCCTTTTCTTTCTTGCTTCCCGATAGCCCCCTCAAGGCCCCTTTCTAGTTGTCGATCATTCAGGGTCTTCCGATTGGACCGAGTTCTATGGAGCAGCTTCGTTCGAGGAATCAATCGCAATGACGACCACAAAAGCAATGACGGGGCAGCCGCTCGACCTCGGCCGTCGCGAGTCCATAACGGACGGCGGCGAGGAAGGCAATTTCTCAGACGACCAGATGATTCCGGACCAGGACGACGCCCAGGCCGTGTTGCAGCCGGCCATGAGCGCCGCGGCGAGCCACCTGACTTCGTTGTGGACGCCGGCCATTGAGAAGGCGGCTGCTATGCAACGCCCCGGAGCCAATGGGTTTTTCGACGAGCCGGAGCTCATTGTGTCTGGTGACGACGACGGAGACGGCGATGGAGATGGAGATGGAGATGGAGACGGTGACGGTGACGGAGACGGAGACGGAGGAGACACGACGCCAAAGGCTGCAACGTCGCCCAAGTCCGGCTCGCCTCCACGCACCCAGCGGAAGCCCATCATTCAGCTGGATTCGGCGCCTTCGCCCAAGAGCGAAGCCAGACGCTATGGCCCTCCGTCCCCGTGGAAGTCGCAGCAGCACGGCAAGGACTCAAGACCCTTGAGCGACGCCCGCGGGATCTTGCACGCCGCCTTTGAGCCCACGCGCCAGCGGTCGAGGTCAGCCGGCCAGGAAGCCTTGAAGAAGCTCCAGCAGGCGTTTCCCTCGCTCAGCACGCCGTCCAACTTTCTCCCGTCGCTGTCTAGGCCGCGGTCGTTTCTATCGAGCTTCACCGACGGCAAGCACCAGCGCAGTCGCTCGGTCGCCTCTCGACGTCGGGGCCATGCTTCTGTTTCTCAGTCTCCCTCCAACTCCCCTCCACCTCACACCTCAGCAGATGCCGGCGCCGGCTCCGAAGCGCTGCGGCCGCCGCTGCTACGCAGGACAACGTCCGACGACAGCATGCTGTACCACAGCCTGTCGCGCGCGTCTTCGCTGGGCGACGACAACCGCTTCACCGACGTCCGCGAGCAGGTCAACGTGCGCTTCATGGCCATCAAGGACAGCCTGCCGGACGTGCCCAACTTCAAGATGCCCAGCATGCCGACGCTGGCCAAGCTGCAGGCCGTGTCGCGGCGGTCCACCATTTCGCTCAACAACATCTTTTCCAACGAGCCGGCGACGCATTCCAAGCCGCAGCTGGAGCAGGACAAGGAGAGGGACAAGGACAAGGACAAGGACAAGGACGACTCGGAGCGCCTCGACCGCGTGCTGGCGGAGCTGACGGGCGACATTGTCGTCATGGGCGGCTACCGCGGCTCCATCCTGCGGTCCGCCGAGCCCCCCCATCAGCAGCTGTGGGCGCCGGTCAAGCTCGGGCTCAACATGCGCAAGGCGAACCTCGAGGTGGGCCTGGACGACGAGGACGAGGAGACGATGGAGGAGCGCATCATCCCGTCGGGCATGCTGCAGCACATTGGCCCCATTGACATCTCGCGCAAGTTCTTCAAGAAGCTGCGCTCGTGCGAGAACGCGCGGACGGGCCGCCTCCGCGTCTGGGACTACGGCTACGACTGGCGGCTGAGCCCGGCGCGGCTGTCGAAGCGGCTGCAGGACTTTCTCGCGACGCTGCCGTCGAACCAGCCCGGCGTCCCGGCCGAGTCCCGCGGCGCCATCGTCGTCGCGCACAGCCTGGGCGGCCTCATCACGCGGCACGCCGTCAACCAGCAGCCGCACCTCTTCGCCGGCGTCCTCTTCTGCGGCACGCCCATGCGGTGCATCAACATCCTCGGCCCGCTGCGCAACGGCGACGCCGTGCTCTTCAACGACAAGCTGCTGACGGCGCAGGTCAACTTTAGCATCCGCACCTCCTTCACGCTGCTGCCCGACGACGGCTTCTGCTTCGTCGACCGCGAGACGGGCGAGCCGTACCCCGTCGACTTCTTCGACCCCGACAGCTGGGTCAAGTGGCGTCTCAGCCCGTGTGTCGCGCCTCCGCTGCCGCCGTATAATCGATCTGCGGGACACTCTCCCCTGGCCAACTTGTTTCCCAAGAACTCCTTGTGGCCCCGTGTTGGCGGCAACGACGGCAAAGTCGACAAGAGACGGAGCTCAATGTCGGGCCTCGATTCCGCAATGTCCAAGAGCAACCTCAACGATGCCGCCAACAATGTCGCCAACAATGTCCAGAACCGGGCGTCTGGACAGCCCCAGATGAACGGCAACATTCACCACCGCCACACGATGAGCATTCCGCTCTCCCAGTCGCCTCAGCCGCCCTACTCCAACCTCCACCCCAGCAACAACAACTCATCCTCAACCTCCACTAACTCCTACTCGAGTGAAAACAAGAACAACAACAACAACAACAACAACTCCCCCCCGTCGCCTCCCCCGCCAACAACCATCGACCCCGAGCGCTTCCGCCGCAACTACGACTACCTCGCCCGCGTCCTCGCCGCGACGAAGCAGTTCCGCTCCGAGCTCGCCCACAACCCGACCCACCAGCTGTGCAACGCCTACCCGCCCCTGGCCGTCATCTACTCCAAGAGCATCCCGACGGTGTACGCCGCGCGGGTCAGCGGGCGCGAGGCGATCCCCTGCGCCGACGCCTACGACGACCTGGTGTTTCGCCCGGGCGACGGCGTGGTGCTGGCCAAGGAGAGCATGCTGCCGGAGGGCTACTCGCTCGCCAAGGGCGGCAGGGTGAGCACCGAGAGGGGCCACGTCTCCATGATGGGGGACCTGCCGGCGCTGGCAAAGGGCTTGGGGGCGCTGGTGAGGGGGAGGAGGAAGGGGATTGGGTATGGGGCTCTGAGCGCCGCGGGGCTGGAGTAAGACGTGATTTTTTGTTTATTGATGAGTGAGTCTGTCTGCTTGTGCTGTGGTGTGGTCAGAAAAAAGAAAACGAGATTGAGGTTTGGCATGGTGTTGCTCGGCTGCGTTTGAGGACTCGCGGCTGATGGGCATCCGAATATTGCATGGGCACGTTGCATTCTCTTGCACTTGACACACTCACGTTTTACATACAGCATGAGCATTTTTGCTTATTTTTTCATTGCCTTTTATCTCGTCGTTTCTTCTTTTTCCAGGTCCATCGTTGCACAGATTCATATGGCATATCGAGTCAGAAGCATCGTCATCATGACCACGACCACGAACAAACCACACATTCCCCCGACCTTTTTTAACATTCTTCTATACCATATTTACGCATGTACATAACATGACATTGTAGCACATATCGTTTGCTTTGCTTCGTTTTGCTTTTGCGTTCTTTTTTACCCGTCGTCTATTATTGTACTTGTTATATACCCCATTTCTGCATATCAAAACGACAAAGAAAGAGCACATGTATTACCTTAGTCATATCATAGTCGTGTATCACTACGAAAAAGAACAAAAGTATAGAATTCCACAATGTCGTGTTGCTCGCAGCCTATGCCAAAGGGCCTATATGTGTGATTTTGAAATATATACGTGTATATATATACCTCTTTTGTCATATGATGCACCTTCATTTCCCTTCCTTTTTTCCGTGTCCAAATAGAAACGCTGTCTATCTATGCATGCTTGCCGCCGTAGTCAGTGGTATCATGTATCCAGATCCCCCTCAACTAGGTACCTAGCTATAGCTCGTTATCATCATGGCCCTCACGTTACATGTAGTTATACAATCCCATCTCATCCAAATGCTTATCCCGTCAACTTCCCCCCCCTTTTCATAAAACAAAAATGGTTTTTTTTTTTTTTTTTAAGCCCCAGCATCATCCATCTCGTAATCGGGATCAACCTCGGTCCCCAAATCCCTCGCCTCCAAGAACCTCCGCCCCAGCAGCTCCTCGGGCAGATAGCGCTGCTTGACCTTGCCATCCCTGTAGTTGGGCGGATACTTGTACTCGGCGCCGCAGCCCAGATCGCGCATCAGGCGCGTCGGGGCGTTGCGCAGGTGCAGCGGCACGGGCAGGCTCGCGACGCCGGGCTCCCTCAGCGCGGCAAAGGCGTTGTTGAGGCCGCGGTAGGCGCGCGTGCTCTTTGGCGCGAGGCACAGGGCGACGGCGCAGTGGGCGAGCGGGATGCGCGCTTCGGGGAGGCCAATCTGCTGCGTGGCCGTGTACGTCGACGTGGCGAGGGTGAGGAGCGAGTTGTCGGCCAGGCCGACGTCCTCGGAGGCGATGACGACCATGCGGCGGGCGATGAAGAGGGGGTCCTCGCCCGACTGCAGCATGCGGGCGAGATAGTAGAGGGCGGCGTCCGGGTCGTTGCCCCTGACGGACTTGTGGAAGGCGGAGATTGTGTCGTAGTGCTGGTCGCCGGCGCGGTCGTAGACGAGCGTCTTGGTGAGCGACTGCTTGATGGCGTCCTTGGTCATGCCCTCGCGGAGGGTGAGCGACAGGGCCAGCTCCAGCAGGTTGAGCGCCGTGCGGGCGTCGCCGTCGCTGAAGCGCGCCAGGTACTCCATCATCTCGTCGTCGATGAGCGGCGAGGGTGGGTACACCGACTCCTCGGCCTTGCGCGCCCGCCGCAAGATGGCCACGACGTCGTCGGCGCCCAGCGGCCGCAGGGTAAAGGTGCGACAGCGCGAGAGCAGCGCGTTGGCGACCTTGAAGGACGGGTTCTCCGTCGTGGCGCCAATGAGCGTAATGGTGCCGGCCTCGACGGGGCGCAGGAAGACGTCCTGCTGGGCCTTGTTGAAGCGGTGGATCTCGTCGCAGAAGATGATGGTCTTGCGCCCCGTCAGCTGCAGCTCGCTGGCGGCCTCGGCGAACAGCCGCTTGCACTCCTGCACGCCCGAGCTCGTGGCGTTGAGCTCGATGAAGCGCCCGCCGACCATGTGCGCGATGCACCGCGCAATCGTCGTCTTGCCCGTGCCGGACGCGCCCCAGAGGATCATGGACGGCACGCGGTTCGACTCGATGAGCGAGCGCAGCACGCCCTCGGGGCCGACCAGCTCCTGTCCGCAGACGTCGTCGAGCGTCTTGGGCCGCATGCGCTCGGCGAGGGGCGCCGCGCGGTGCGTCTTTGTCTTTTTGATCTTGCGGCCGTCTTCGTCGGCGTGGCTGTGACCGCCGTTGACTGCTGCCGCGTCTTCCATGGGCCGGTCCTCCATGTGCTTGTCGTCCTCGCCCGTCCGTCTGTCTGCCGCCTGTCGGGGAGTGTCTCCGGGCCCGTCTTCAAAGGCCCGCTTCTTGCCGGCCAGCGGCGGGAAGACAGCGTTGGTCAATGGCGTCTGGGGCTTGAAGTCGGTGATTTGTCGCTTCGGCGCGGGCGTCGAGAAGAAGCTCGAGGCGCTGCGCTTCTGCGTCTGCGGCTGTGATTGAGGCGGAGCGGTGGCTGTCGTTCCATTGTGGGAGGGAGTCTGAGGTGGAGGAGGAGGAGGAGGAGTGGAAGTGGAAGAGGTGTCGAAGATGAAGGTTGTGCAGCCCGAGTCGAGGTGGTCGTTGATGTCGGTCGATTTGACGGGCTTGTTGCAGATGGGGCAGGCGACTGCCATGGCCGGGGGTTTGAACCTAGTAGTTGAGCTTGAGTTGATGGTGTTGAAAGCAGGTGAATGTTTCCAAAATGAAGCTGCGTGTGGGTATACAGTTGTTGTTGGATAGGTAGACCCAAAATTGGGGGTTGAGTTTGGAGTTGGAGTTGAGGTTGAAACTGAGGCGAGGTGGGCTTGACTTGGGAGGTGTAGCTGCGTGTTGTTGCTCCAGGTTAGTCAGCTCAACGCCGGTGTTGAGTTGCTGAGTTGGAGTCTGCAGACGCGTTTTGCACGAAACAGGCAATTCTTTGTTACGTTTGGGCATCAAGTCTCTGATTATAGTAGGCTCAGACGCGTTTGGAGTTGATTTGTGCCAATTGTTTAGGTTGGGCAGTTGGTCGTCAGGTTTCCAGTTAACAAGTACTGAGTAGGCAGTAGGCTGTGATATCAAAGTGAGCTTTAGGTGGGATCATTCTCTCAGATGTCAGTTTGTCAGCTTTTCCTCTCCATCTACCCTTTACCAACAATACCTTTGTTACCTTGTGAGTCTTCTTATGAATGGTATGGTCTGTCAAGTCCTTGGTTTACTTAAAATTCTCTACTTTTCAGCTCCTATCCCCAATGACCTGCTCCGTCACGCCCAAGATCCAGGACCCTCATCGCCCACCCTAGACGTCCTGAAGAGCGTGTGGATGATGCTCTTCTTCTTTCTCACAACTCTGCCATTCTCCTCCGTCCCAGCATCCCCAGCCTCTATTCGAGTACTTGCGCTTTCAGAAGCATTCCTGTCGTTCTTCGAGGCGCTGGTAGACTGAAGACTTGGCGAGATAACCTCCGCTTGCGTAGATCGCCTCAACGACAGGGACTATGTACAGTCCAGTTAGCAAATCCTCACACGCAACCAAGCAGTAGAAAGGTCCAAAAGCATCACCTTCAATCTCCTCTTCTCCTGCACCTTGTTTCCCTCCCCATCCCCCTCAACAACCGCCACAGCCTCCGAGATCCTGCCCGCAACAGTCTTGCCCCCCCACGCAAGACACTCCTCCGCCACGGGCACAAAGCGCACCATTCCCCGCTCAGGAGGGACTCGCAACGCATCTTCCAAGTGCTTCTGCAGGACGGCGGCGTTGCGCTTGTTCGTGGCGGGATGGACCTCGCATGCGAGCGCCGTGACGGTGAGCATGTAGGCGGGACTGGGGGAGCCGCTGAAGAGGAGGCTTTGACTGTGGTGGAGGGAGATGACGGTGGATGACGGCTGGCGGTTGTAGCGGGCGGCGAGGTGGTTGGTTAAGGTCGTGAGCAAGTGCTGTTCGTTGTCGATCTGTGAGTTGAGAGATCAGTTAGAAAGCCTTGACTACACGAGGGGGGGACGTATGTATGCAGAAGGGATAGTGTGTGAGAGGTGGTGCTCGCCTTGACGTTGGTCTTGAGCTCGGCGTATATCAGCGCTTCTCCGCGGACGCTCGCCGCAGCAGAGGCTGCAGACCGCTCGTGGAGAGCATCGTGATAGTGCTGGCTATGTTTGTCGGCCAGACGGGCCTTTTCGCTGTTGTGAAAGCTCGAAGAGGGCTCTCTCACTGCTGGTTTCGGAGCATCCGCCGGATAGGGGACATACTGAGGCCGAGTTCGACCAAGGCCGCTCTCTGGAACTGTTTCGAGGCTCGATGTCTTGGAGATTGCCCTGAACTTGCGGTCAGGCGGCGATGAGAGGGGTGTTGCGCCTGTATCGGGTGCTTTGGTGATGGTGAGGATGGGAGGTCTGTGTTGATCCATGATGGAAGGGGGTGAAGATGGAGCCATGAGCTGGTGCAAGGAAGATGGACTTCTCTCCTTCTCCTCTCTTCTCTAGGGACCGCACAAGTCTGCATATCTGGCGGAGAAAAGGTGAGTGCAAAGTGAAAGCCGTCTCGCCGCATCGGTTACTCGCAAGTTGTGGTTGTCATGGGTCAACTGCTTCTATGACTTGTTCACCATACCGGTGCTATCGTTTCACTTTACTGCTTGCTTTGGATGGATAAGTTATTGTGACACGAGCACGATTTAATGGCTTGCGGGTAGCCTTTAGAAACACGGCGGATGCTTGCATAGAACCGGGGCGGCTTGAGGTTTGCCGGAACCGTGTACATCCTGCAGCATCCGGTTTCCAAGTCATGTCTGTCGAATCAACGTGAGAAAGGCGAAACGGGGTGTATTCTGCGTTCGAAATGATTTCATTAGATTACATATAGACTAAATATGTACCATGTTCAATATAGTTAGGTAGGTATGTATGTATGGAGTGCTCAACAATCTTCCCACGAGGAGCACATATGTCAGTTCCAGTAAGGTTTACATCAACTCTTCAAATATTCACACACACTCTCTCCTTGTCCCTATCATGGCTTCATGTCGGCCTAATCACACCCTGGCAGCCTGCCGCTCCAGAACAACCTGGTAAGCGGCAACCGCAAGAATAGCCGCCTCGAGCGGAACAAGCAGCACGGCCAGCGCGACGCCGGCCTCGCTCTGCCTGCACAGGGTGCCAAAGTGCGGCTGCGTCCTCATGGGGACGTCCTTCCAGCGACACGACCAGCTCTGGAGGCTGTCGACAGTGGTAGACGCGTTGACGGCGTAGAAGAGGGACATGGCGACGAGAGAGGCGACGAAGCCGATGGCGGGCGCGGCGAGGCTGGCGATTGCGTGGAGGCCAGTCTTGCTTCGGAGCTGTTTTTTTTGCAACAGATCATTATTAGATGAGTTGTCGACAATATAGGACGAGGCTGAATTATCCTTCTAGGGATTCGTATTGACTTGACTTACAGCCTGAACCCTGCTGAACAAGAGAGACACGATATTGGCCACAACCACAAGCACCCCCCCAGCGACAAGCGCCTGTGTCGGCCGCAGATCAAACTGCGCCGGCCAGAGCTGGAGGAAAAAGTCTGGCGGCAGATACGTCTCGTGGTAGACAATCAGCCCGTTGGCCGCGACGCCGAGGACGGTGATGCCAGCCGCTAGGGCGAGGACGGTGAGGGCGACGCGGATGCCGTGGACGAGGCTGACGAGGCGCAGCTTGGCCTGGTGCTGGACCTGGCGCTGAGCATCTTGGGCCTCGACTTCAAAGTCGGACGCGGAGATTTCGTTTTTGAGGCTGGACATTTTTTTTTTCTTCTGGAAGGGAGGATTTTCCTTTTTTTATGTTTATTTGTTGGGGGTTTGGAATGGGATCAAGTCAAGCCAGTGACTGAGAGAGTTGAATAGAGAAGAAACGGGGGGGAGATCTGAAATCAACAGATTATACGCAAGAAATGGAAGAGAAAGGAAAGGAAAAGCAGAGTTGCTTGGACATGAGCTGTTGATCACGAAACGAGGAATCAACACGATGGGGGTTTTCAAGCGGGAATGGCTGCATACATGTACATTTCCCTCGAACAAAAGCAAACCACCAAATCTCGTCTCCGGGCGCTTACATCCTCTCGAATCTCAGATCGCCCTCCATACTGTAGTATAACGAACACATAAGACAGCCAATGGCATGTAACAGCAGCCTGCCGCACCGGAAGACCGCTCCAATGCAACCCTTTAGCCGCCTACCAAGGCCAATTAGACGCTCTTAGACAAATGAGGCTGTGGACTGCGATTGGCTGCGTTGTCTAAAGTGCAAGGGGAAGGAAACGAAACAAAAGAAACTCTGGGGAAACAAAGCGGTGGTTTTTCTTACTTGTTCGCCATTATTTTTGTTTTACATACTCTGGCTGGGTTCGGCGCTTGGAGGAGAAGTGCCGGGCCAATGAGAGGAGAGGCGGGAGGGACGGAAATAGAAACAGGGGGGGGGAAGATGGATGGTGGGTGTTTGTTTCTGCAGATGGGCGGCTAGAGGATGATTGTGCAGATACTATTGCTATTGTGTTATTGCTGGAGTGGATGCTTGTGATGATGATTTGACTAGGTACAGTATATGGACGATTGCTTATCTTGCCCTCTTGTCATGGTTCTCTCTGCTAGATGAGGATGCATATAGTACAGAGGGACATAAGAGACGGGGGAGCTGAGATGAAGGCTTTATTGTCGCGCGCGCCAAAAGGGATGCAATTTCACGATGCCGTGCATACGCACGCACAAATTGCTAAACCTCATCTATTCAGTGTGAGTAAGAAGTTATTTTGGGCCTATCTCTGACAGAGCGCAACATCAACTCGCATCCATGATCAATCATGTTCGAATAGGAAGGTGTTTACCTCAAGACCTCTCTCTGTGCGTATAGGTGTTTTGCGAGGAGGATGACGGCGCGCTATCTAGAGCCTTGACTTGTATTGATAAAGCAGCAGAGAGACGAAGCAACAGCCTCAACTACGGAAGATACAGACACATCAGTTTCGCATGGTTCCTCTAGCTGTCGGCGGCAATCTTGTGACTTGATAGACTCTGCGCGCCATGGAGACACGACTACGAGCTACAACTACCTAGATGAGGATGAGCTGGATGAGTGAGTAAACAGGTCAAGTAACCACATTGAGACACTTGAGGATGCTGCAGACCCCGTCTTCTACCGGCGAGCAAAGGCGCTTCGTCCCAGTCAGACAAGTACATGTACCCTTCTGTGGTTTGACCTGTAGTAATACTCTTCCGCTTCCTGTCTCTCCCTGTACCTACGTAATATCCTCTTTCTCGTCATGTTCAACCGCAAATCTTTTACCCCGAGCATACAATGTACTGCGTACAGTAATTGTCAATTGATCCAAGCTTCCTCCCCTCCCCACTCAGCCGTTCAGCTGCCTCCGGAACCCTGCCGGTGGAGATGGCCGCCCTCTCCTCGGCTTAGCCTGCGGAGGGAATGTCATTTGCGCGACCAGGGGGGTGTTTGTGTGTATGCGTTTACTACTGTACGTACTACTAGTATTAGTCGTAGGCAGAAGAAGAAGAAGAGAGCTCTTTTGTTTTTCTCTCCATGTCCTTGTCTATTGAGTTCGTTAGGCTGCCTTTGAGATACGAGCAGACAAATCTCAGCCCTGGAGACGGGGGAGGCGGAAAGGCCGAGGCTGGAGGACGGGAAGCAAGGGAGGGGAAGGGTCTTGTAGAGAGGGGACATGGAGATGATACTAGTACCAGCAAGATAGCGGGTTCTGGCAAGATGAGCTGAATTGGGTGCTGTTTATGCGGCGGCGGTGGATGGAGTCGGGGTAGATGGGTTTTAGAGGCTCAGCTTTAGATGTCGTCGTTGTTGGTGTTGTTGTTGACGAGCTGAATGTGAGGGATGGAAGGTCTACAGTGAGGCCTGTTGGGAAGATCGACGACAGGCTTGGTATTCGTCATTCAGATTGTTGCGTTTGGCCCTATCTGCTTGACATGAACAATGCTTTGCAGTAGATGAGATGTTTTTCATTGTGGCATCGCATAGACGTTCTTCATTGACATATTAGTCGCAACAATGATAGGAGGTTGACCATCCGCTCACTCATCCCACATGTATGAAACGTCGCATACCTTAGGTACTGTGTTACAGCGTAAGGTAGAATACATGTAGACACCCTCTCAGCACATCAACCACGAGTCCACCTCAAGAGACTGGACCCCCCTTGCTGCTGTTAGTCGTCATCTGCCCTCCTTTCCCAATTCGTCACCTTTACTAGGCATGTACATACATACGCACTGCCTCCACCCTCTCTGCGCCTTTCTTTTCTTTTTCTGTCTCCTCTTGTGTTTTTTTCTTCTGTAATACTATGCAATCCGCTGTGATGGCGGCATTGCGCAGACCAGATTGTCGGAGATGGATCGCCGCGAGCGGATCCGCAGGGGTTCTGCTCCCTTCCTCTGGCAAGAGGCTGGCAACACGTATGTGCACACCCTGACCTTGGCAATAAGGTACCTACATAGGTAAGGTAGCCAGGAGACTATAGAAACCTTAGACTGCTGCTGTTCGGCGACTGCGTGTTAGTGAAGCCCGAGATATGTATTCCCAAGCCTACTAATATCCTTGACTACCTAGGTATCTAAAACTATTATTCTTGCTACCGGTCATCAAGAGCCCGTTCAGAGGCCTCGTGTTGATATCGCATCTCACCCTGAGCTACCCACTAAACCCCCTAGCTGAGCACCCGTCACCATGCGCACACGCAGGAAACATGATAGTAGTAATACTGTAGACACAACACATTTGAAAAAAATAAAAAATGAGCAGCATCGGACTTTGCAAGTCGGCGCAGTCTGCCAAAAGCATCGTCGGCCGACGAACAGCGCCGACGATGCGGCATCCCGACGGGAGCTTGGACGCTGGAATGCTGGGGGGGTTTTGTGTTGGCTGCAGATTTGATGTTGTACATACATACCTACAGTACAGTGCTGGCCACCCACCCCGTGCCGTGGATATACGAGCCTGGGTACGGGTACAGACGGAGCATTTCTTCCAACTGATTAGATTGACTGTCATCATGTGCATCAAAATATCTATCAAGCTGTTTGTTCTATAATTTAAGTAATACTAAGCAAAGCGTTGATGTCTGTTTCATGGGGTCGTCGCTCCAAGAGGGCACGGCTGAATCATAGAGGCTTGGAGTGGTCCCTGAGCTTACAAAACAGCACGCTGAGTGAAAGCCCGGCCAGCCAGCCATGCATGTTCTCGAACCCAGTCAGTCTTTTGAGCCTCCCGCGACCTTGACTCGAAGTGAGATAAGGTAGCATGAATGATGTAAAGGGAGGCAGAGGAGCCATGGGCGAGTAGACGTTCGGGCTACCAAACAATAGGTACTTGTCTAAGCATTCGATCACTTGAGAGAGAAGGTGAAAAGACTGACTAGCTCGGCTCTCAGCCCTGTTGGTGTAATAGTAAGTGTGCGTGTGGACTTCAATGTCTCACCTGCTGTGTACACCATGCCTCCTGTCAGTGACGAGGAGAACCATCAAGGTGCACGAGGGGTCGAGTCGGAGAGGGATGGTGTAGTACAGAACAGGAGTCTCCAGGAGAAAGCGAGTGGTTGAAAGTTAGAGTACCAGAGGCATGTCGAGTACAGCACGCCTTGCTTGGGGCCATATGAACTGAGGTGATTGGGTCTGTTCTACTCGCAAAACAGGTCTGATGTAGGCAGTCTGCCTTTCAAACATTCTCTGTAGTATTATCAACTCATGATATCCCAAGACGGGGCTTTACATCAATGTCTTCGCTCTTCCTTTCATCCACGCACACCCGCAACTCCCCTGGCTAAACGGCTCTCGTCCGTCCACAGCTGTACAGGGATCACCAACTCTTGGGCCGCCGGATCCACACGGGCAGGCAGGGCAATTTTTGCACATGATGGGGGATCCGGCTCTGTCCCTCCCCCCTCTCCCCTGAATGTATGTATGTACCGCTAATACCCATCTGCTCCTCTTCTTCCCGTCCTCTTCGTCTGCCGTAGACCAAAGTTGACCCTGTCGCGATAGTGCAACTAGGTTCTCCAAAAGCAAAAGAAGAAGAAAAGACAAGGCCAGGGATTCCTTAGTACGAAGCGTGCTGTCTAGGTATCTAGTGAGGGGAAGCAGAGATTGGATGCAGTTTCTCATTGGCCAGAGTCCGAACTCGAAGGGCTGTTGTTTTGGGGAGGATACTAGAAAGTTGCTCGCTGGCTGGCTTGGTACGTCAGTGGTGGTGATCCAGGGCTGTTTGTCCCTCTCCTGCGGATCTGCCGCTGATATGAGCCCCCGGTCCAGTGCAGCAATGGCGTCGCTTTCTCTTGATTAAACGCACACCACCCTGTGGATTGCCAACAGGTCTCCATCATCGGCCATTGTCACCTCTGCAGCAGTCCTTCACAGGTACCTACTGTAGCACGTCTGCCCGCCTTACGACTGAGACATGCTTCCTCCCGTCCACCGAGCCCCATCACCACTTTCACCTCCAAACGCTCACTTCCCACTCGACAAGTCTCAGACGCCCTTCCCAATCCGGGCACTGCACCAGAACCCTGCCTGCATGCCGCCACGCCTGTCGCCTTTGCCCCGATCCAGCGTCGTCTCTCTTTTCTCCTTCATCTTCTCTCTCTAGGTATTAGTATCCGTATCCCCCTCTCAGCCAAGCAGACAAGGACAAGGATAAGGGTGGTGTGGGTGTAGGTACTTATGCGGGTATGTAAGTGCTGTATCATACTGTCAACGTGGTGGCAGCCCAGGAAAACGCCATCATTGCCACTCGTCTTCTCGATGGCCGCCCTCAGAATCCGATTCCTCCACCCCGGGACCTGCCACGGCGATCGAGCGGCTTGTTCATTTCAACTAATCCTGACACTTGCTCCCGATGCCCGCAGCCCTGGCTCCCGCCTGGCCAATGGAGCGCGGCCGAGCAAGCCCTGTCCGGCGACAGCTTGTGCCCTCTGTCCAATGACGCCCGACCCTGTTCACCCTCCCCTCTTGAGTCCTCCTGTCCTTGCAACCACCAGCGAGTTGCGAGTATGTAGTGGGTAATAGTCCGTAACGCCGTCCCTGCTTTGTAGGTACTGCAGGCAATTAGAATGGGCGTTCCGCTACCTCCCCGGTACGCCGAGCCCGTTGGACCCCCCCATCCCCAGCTTCGTAATCCGCACTGATGCAATGTCGTCTTGACCCTCTATCAACTTGATCCCTACTCTTTGTTGTTGCTAGTGCTGCAACTGCTCGGTATGCAGCCCGGCTGACGAGGATGAGCCCTGCTCTGCCCTGCCGGAAGAGACGAGATCCGGGCGCTGCCAAGGGTAGAAGCGAGGAAGAAGAAGAGATTGTTGAAACAAAGGAAAACAACAAGAAACTGAAAAAAGAAAAAAAAAAAAAAGTTGACGTGCGCAATGGTTGGGGGCAGCAGCCACAGATGACGATGGTGGGTACATGTACATGCATACATACCTCGGGTCCCTGCTCAGGTACGGCATGCGTGCAGCGAATCACTGCTCCTGCAGAAGTACCTCTCCACGTCTCCTCGTCTCCTCGTGTCCTCCTTCCTCCTCCAAACGCCGACTTTGTCTGCGAACCCCTCGCTTCAGCCCTTTCTTCGTTCCTTCTTCGTCAACTCTACTCTACTTGTGGCTGTGACGACCTGGAATCGCTCCTTCTACTTACATCAAGTGAACGGAGTTGCAACGTCATATATAAGGCAAGGCAGCTGCAGAGACGCCTCGTACCTCTCCACTGGTCACATCACCAGCTTCCCCATTCTCTCTCTCCCTCTTCCTCTCTTCCTCCTCCTCTCTTGTCTCCTCTCTCTCTCTCTCTCTCTCTCTCTCTCTCTCTTCGTTCCTTGCCTTATCTAAACAAACACCCGCTCTCGCTCACGCCCTCGCCATCAACTTCCCACCTCTCCTCCCCACTACCAACAGCCAAGGTGCTGCTACTGCTTAGCTCCCGGCTTGAACACTCCTCCTCCTACTCCTCCTCCTGTCAAGCCACCTAGGTACTATCCCTAGAACTGAAGAGGCCTTTGCTTTCGTTGCAAGTACCGCTTCGCCTCCAACCGCCGCAAATCTACTCGCTTGCCAACGCCGTTACGGAGCAGAGGGCCAACTTGACGTATCCTCCTCGACGCCACACAAACTCTATCACCCCTCGTCTTGTCTCGCTTTGCTGGAGCTATCCTCTTCGCAGTAACGGCCACCTCGTCCGCTTTCCCAGCCTGGTCTGTGCTACTTGGTACACTTGCTCCAAGCTCCTCGGTAAGAGGCTCGAGGCGCGGGAGGCTCCTTGCTCCGCCGTGCCCAGGGGGTCCCTCTCTCTTGTGCATATTGCTCCGGCTTTTGATATAATTGCCGGCCTGTGCCATTACGAGCTCTCTTGTGGTCTTGAGCTGCCTGACTCAACCTGTCGATACGACTCATACATACCAAAGCTTCCAGACAAACCTCACCACCGATTTCCAACGCATTTCTTGCTCGTGCGCCATCAGATAGATCACAATGGGCAACCGACCACCAATGCCGTTTCGCGCCCCTACACGCAAGACACGGCCTCCGACTGCTACCGTGGCCCGCGTCATCGACAAGAATCCCACTACCAAGGCAGACCTGTTTGTACGTTCAAACACTCCATTGCGCTGTCATCTTCTCCAATATTATAAAGAGACATGGACACTCTGGCTAACAGTTGCTCGTCCTCCTTGCAGCGCCTCTTTGCCAGGCTCCCCGCGGAGCTTCGCCTACAGATCTGGGAGGCCAGTATTCCCGGCCCTCGTCTCGTGTCCATCCGGTGCGGCAGCAACATGTCGTTCGTGTCCAAGCCCAGCCCGGACATCCCCCAGGAAGGCTGCACGTCGCCAGCGCCAGCCCCGGCCAACCTCCACGCCTGCTCCGAGTCTCGCGTTGAGGCTCTCAAGGCATATCGCCCCATGTTCGGCTTCTTCCGCAAGCCCGGTCACGTCTGGTTCAACCCCGATGTCGACATCATGTACTTTGGCCCCCGCGAGGGCTTCATGGCTGCAGACTCGCAATTCCACACCTGCATGTCGCTGTGCGATCCCGAAGAGCTCGCCAGCGTCCGCCGCCTGGCCATCAACGACGCCTTGTTCTGGATCGGGCCCTCGTACAACTGCATGACGGCTGCCAGCCTCACCCTGGAGATGCTGAGGCAGGTTGCCCTGCGCATGCCGGGCGTGCAGGAGCTCATCTTTGTGCCCTGGGAGGAAAAGGTGCGGCCTGACGAGGCCCTCGCGATCGAGCGCATCAGATGGCAGATCCACGCGGCATTGCAGGCCATCCCACGGATGGTTCCAGCGTGGCAGCCGCCTCCGTGGAAGATTGTTCGCTTGAGTCAGCTGCCCGGCCCGACTGGCTGAGCCACGTCTTGTGCTGGATGAAGTCAAGCACACAAGGCAGTTAATGTGTTAAAGCGGATTGGAAGCGATACGGCGACGCACATATTTGTATATTTACGCCCGATATGTCACGATGCGTGAAGGAATTTTGAGCACGACATTTACAACCTCCTCGAATGGTCACGACACCAATTTCTTGGCTTCATGCGTCCAGCTCGGATATACAGCGATATCAATATGGAGCATTGAGCGAGACGGACGGGCATCCTCAGCCCGATATGTATCCTGTTTTGCAAAGAGGCAGTTCTCGGAACATGGTACTACCTTGGGTGCGATAGGACCCAAAGACAAACGCAAAAGAGCACTCGATGCTGTGGAGAGGCTCACGATATCAGGAGAAGGGATGGATACTCCATGACGACGAGCCTTGGAGAGCACTGAACTCCGTTAAAGGCCACTTGGCAGATTCAACACACGAGCTCTGTTTCACATATTGCAACGACGATCCAGGGGAGCCGTGCGTCATGGCTAGATGCCGTACCGTGGCAAATTGAATGGAGGCTTTGCGATCCAAGTTCAAAGGAGCAATATGAGAATCATAGTAATACTTATCAAAGGAAGACCGGTTCAAAGTTCGAATTCCAGGACTTCACATGAGAAACATAGTAATAGTAATCAAAGAGACAGACCGTGCTTGGTCATATAAAAAACTGTGACGCTGATCTAACTTGCTTTAAGAAAGTCGTGCAACACGAATCAACTCCAACATGTGGTATATCTTGTACAATGACCCTCAATAATATCCATATCCGTATCCGTATCCGTATCCATAGCCATGCATGTCTGAAGCAATTCCCCAGGTCAAACCAGAACAACAAACAACATCTCATTGAATCATAGAGTCATCCCTCCCCGTCAAGTCAATAAACGACACATCGCTCCACCTCGTAACCCCCGATCCCGCGCCGCGGCTCCGCAACAACCGGGCTTCTCGCGCAATTCTTTCCTCGTACTCTTCTGCCTCGACCTCTATCTCGTCAAAGAAGCCCGGTCTCGAGGCGCTGGGGACAATCAACTTTTTCGTTGCGGCCGTGGGCTCGTGATGTCTTTCTCGCTGCAGCGAAAGGGAAGTGGTGTTGAGGATGGGGCGGGATGATGATGATGATGCTGCTGAGTGTGGTACATGAGATGTGGCATACTCGTCGTGTGTGCTGCTGCATGCCTCCATGAAAAGATCTTCGTGCCTAGAGGTTGATTTGTATCCCCTTTCTTCGGTACGGTTGGATGGTCCTGGGCGAGTCGTTCCCGCTCGAGAAGAATTTTGCGTAAATGTGTCCATGGACAGCTGCTTGAGCTTTGCCGCTCCCTGTGATGTTTTGGAAACGGATGCCGTCTTTGCCCTTGCTTTGTGTATCGACGAAGAAGATGATGAACCAGCACCAGATCTGCCCTCTTCGCTCCTCACCCGCGCCGAAGCAGCATTCGCCGCAAGAATGGACCGTATAGACTTTGGCATCCCCGCGGTTGCACCTCTACCTGCCTCGGTAAGAGCTGTACCTGGCGGCGCTGGCATAGGGCGTGATACCGGCGACGCGTCGGCACCGGCAGGGCTGGACGAAATGACGATAGCTTCGAAACTTCCTGCATCGTCATGACGTCTAGGTGAGTCTGGTGAGCTGGTTACTGTCCAACCGTCCAAGCCTGGAGGTGCGGCGGGCGTGAGATGCTTACTAGGCTGCCGTAGAGAGGGGGGCGTTTGCGGCCGGCGCAGCTGTTGGGTCGGTGGGGGGAGAGGAGGGAGGGACGTGTCTTCTGAATCGTGGAGGTTAGTCGTGTTGCCGACCGCGTTGGCGTTGACCTCTATGGTGTCATTGTCCGTGTCGGATGTGTCGCTGCCGATGGCTTTATTCTTGGACTTGACGGCCTTGGTGACGCGGACAAAGTTGTCGAGAGTGCTGTTGGGGACCGTGTCCGCTTTCGTTGCCTTGGACGATGCCTTCTTTGATGGTTTCCGTTTGGTCTTTGCCTGTGTGCCTTCTTCCCAAGCCTGAACGGACTTTGGTGCAAATCTCCTCGCCACCTCCTCCAGAACCCATGTCAGCTCCGGTTGTGTAATGTCAAACACCTTTGCACTGCCCTGGGCATCCTCGACATTATCGGGCGCGGTATACTCTTCATCGCTATTGAGAGCCAGGCCGCTTCGAGCATATGCAATCTCCTCCTCCACCTCGTTCGATATGTCAATGGGCACGATTTCTTCGGGAACGTACGCCAGCCGCAGCTCGGGCGCGCCGTCTGTGCTGAAATGGGTTCGACGACCCGTTACCTTCTTGACCAAGGAGTCTCCGTCGATGGCGGCTTGATGCATCCGGTGTACAAAGAGGCCCTCGCTGAGCACACGGATGAACTTGATTGCACCAATGCGAAAGTCCCAGTTGAACGTCTCCCTTGCAAACTCCCGTAGGCCCTCTAGCTGAATCTCCCGCGTTTCGCTCAGCCTCTGCCTGACTGCTTCCAGTGTGGATTCGGGTGACACCACCGGATGTGTGTAATATCGAAGCGCCTCGATATTGGGAAAGTCTTCTGGAATCACCAGAGCCTTGTGGCGAGTGCGAAAGAACTTGCTTTCGTTCGTCTGCAGCTCATGCGTCAGCGACGCTTTCCACTTGCGCAGCCCTTCTGCGTCCGAGACTCGGAGCCGACACAGCGATTTCCCAAACCCTGCCTTGGCAGCCTCGCATGCCACTTTTGGTCCACAGCCTGGCACTCCCTCGGGAATGTAGTCGCCGCCACTCATAAGGGCTACCAGCACCATCCCCTCTCGATCCAGACCCAGATTGGCCATGTTCATCTCCTCGACGTCGTACATGGATACGTGTGTTGGCTTCCCGGCCTTTCCCTCGGCCGACCAGTTGCGCAGCGTCCGCGTGCACCCAAACATTATCGTGTCCACGTCTTCGCTCAGCACCGCATCGACAATGCCGTTTCGCTGCAGAAGGGCACACTCGGCCTCGGCCTCGCCCGGCGCATCGTGGACGACGAAGCCAAAGAGCCGGATGAGCCTCTTGGCGTGGGCCGCCGCGAATCCATCGCCTCTGCCTGAGCGCTTGTTTCGCTTGAATTTCGGTTTGCGAGGGCCGTCGAAGACGAATATGGGCTGGATGGGCGTGCCGAGAAGACGGACGAGTCGGTAGAAGAGAGTTCGGATGGCGGGGTTGGTGCCGCCTATGGAACAGGCAAGTTAGATGCGGATTCGGGGGAGACCTGGTCTCGCAAGGCTTTTTGAAAGCTTACCGCGGGCTGCTTGGTTCTGGAACTGCCAGATGGCAATGTCAATGGCGAGACGATACGGCCGGTTGTGCTGCGCAAAGCTGTCCGAGGCGAGCTTGGACAGTGAGACTCTCTTGCCCGGGCCTAGCTCTCGATAGATGCTGCAGCGCGTGAGCCTTGTATCAGCCGATACTGGGGGATTTGAAGAGAGATAAGAGAGAGAAAAGGCGACAGAAGTGAATAGCAACTCACCCTTTGATCCCCATTGATGCGCTCTAGCAGTTCCAGCCCGACCCTCGTCCAAGGGCTGGGAAGAAGGTGATGGTCAAGGTGATGTTTACTCGTCGAAACCGTGACGACAGGGCCAAAGAAAACAACGGCTAGGCAGGGGTGGCTTATCGATATCGGCGGATCGGCGCTACCAGATCCCGCCCATTCTCATACTATATACTAGTACTAGTACTAGTCACAGTAGGTAAGAGAGAGGCAAGTTGAAGTGAAGTGACATTTCAGGCGTCGTGATTCGCTCATAAACACCAAAAGGAGGCATCAACAACTGCAACCCTCGTGGTCCAGATTGCCTGAAGCTGCACCAAGACGCCCTCACCTCAAAGCCACACGGAAACTGGAACAGCCTTGAAAAGAACCCCCGCCGCTACAGCGCCTGCAACTGGCCATGTCGGGCTCCGGCACAGGCCCGACTCTCGCTCATCGCAGCGTCGCCAGCATCCGCTCAGCCCCAACGATCCAGGAGTCGGGCACAGCGCCGCACACGCCTCCCCGCACAATCTCCGCCACCTACGGGTCGCCAGCCACCATCAGGGCCGACGACGACTTCCTCATCATCCAGATCGGGTCGCGGTTCGTGCGCGCCGGCTTCGCGGGCGACAACCAGCCCAAGGCGGTGCTGACGTGCGGGCCGAGGGACCAGCGGCGGGCGGGCGACTTTAGGGACTGGCAGCAGGGGAGAGGAGATGGGCCGGATCTGCGGGCGGGGGAGAGGGAGTATGAGATTTGGAGGTGGGATCTGAGGGAGGTTGACTTGGGGCTGGTGTACGACAAGCTGGATCGGTTGCTGAGGGATGCGTTTGGGAGGTAAGTTTGAAGGCTTTTGGTGGGGGGGAGCTACTTTGCTGGGAGGACGTGCCCGTGTTGTGTTGACACTGGCATCAGGTGTTTGCTGATTGACTCTCGGCCGAGGAGAGCTGGCCTTGTGCTTGACTCTGGGGTGCCGCTGCCAATCCTGTCCACGGTCCTGAATCTCCTGTTCAAGGGCTTTCAGACACCCATCATCTCCCTCATGTCCACGGCAACAATGTCCATAGTGGCAGCTGGCGTCCGCTCAGGCCTGGTCATCGACATGGGATGGGCCGAGACGGTAGTTACCAGCGTCTATGAGTATCGGGAAGTCAAGTGCACGCGCAGCGTAAGAGGAGGCAGGTATCTTAACCGGGAACTCTACAAGCTTCTCCGGAAAATCGTGACGGACAAGGAAGAAGACGAAGAAGGGAAACGCGCCGTCAGCTTCGCCGAGTGCGAGGACATCATGTGTCGGCTAATGTGGTGTCGACCGCTGGCAGACAAGTCGACGCAGAAACAACCGCAGCGTCAATCACAGCAGCTGGATACGGTGGAGGAGCAGGATGAGTCGGAAGCCGAGCCCGAGAGACCTGAGCATTCACGGCATAAGAGCGTCGCGAGCATCCCGCTGAGGTCTACCGATCCGCCACGGACGATTGAGCTGTCATTCGACAAGATTGCCGACGTGTGCGACGATACATTCTTTGACCCATCGGTGGCACCGACGACATTTGACGACGAGGATTACCCTGTGCATTTGCTCATCTACCGCCATCTGCTGCAGCTACCCATGGACGTGAGGGCAGTCTGCATGCCTCGCATCATCTTCACAGGCGGCTGCTCAAGCATTCTGGGCATCAAGGAGCGAATCATGGACGAAGTAACAGGCATCGTCAAAAGAAAGGGATGGGCCAATGTCTCTGGCAAGCACGTGGAGGAATCTCGAAACAGCCAATTCTCCGACAGGAGAGCGAGCATCGCCCGGTCGGTCAGCTCAACAGCTACAGCGTCCGACCTCGGAGAGGAACAAGAGTCGTCCCGGCCGAGCTCGATAGCCACGCAATCGGACGTGGGAGATCCCATCGAAGCAAAGGTCGCGCGCCATCGGCCACAGCTCACTCAGATGCAGGGCGAATTCCGCACTCTCCATTCTCTCGGGCCGTGGGCAGGAGCAAGCTTGGTTTCGCAGCTCAAGATCCCCGCCATGGCTACGGTAGACCGCGAGCTGTGGCTGCAGCAGGGGGTCTATGGGGCGTCGCGGCCAAACGAAATCGACGTCAAGGCACAGCAGCGCCAAAGTATGGGCGCCGGAGGCTTCATTCGTGGCAGCGGGGGCCATCACACCAACTGGACACTGGGAACATGGGGCAACGTATGAAGCCGTTTCTTCAGAAACGGAGTCTTTACACCACAGCCGCAAAATCGACGAGGCTGGAGTGACTCTGCTTATAATTTCAGCCGACACGAATGAGTGCTCCAGTTGCGAGATGGCCAAAAAATAGGGGCTTCGCTTCGGAACCTACCGGCGTATGATGGATCGAGGGGCGACAAGATAGGGATATGCTATATGACCTTGTTTCTTCGGGTCCGTCTAATGACATGACCTACAGCTTCTAAACGGCTACCATAGAATAGACTGGCGCACGCTTTGAAGTCTCAGCCCAAGATTATGTTGGACTCGTTATTCTTCCGTGCCCTTGTGAAGTCTCGAAGGAGGCAGACGCAGCGATAGCGCGGTTTGGACGATATCGTGACCTCGAACAATTCAATAGCCATGCGCCAAGGCGGCGTCGTCAACAGCGCTTCTGAATTACTTGGAACACGATATGGTGCTCTTGACAAGATCTCTGCGAATGAGATGCCTCAGCCCGGTTATAACTTCATTCATACTGCCGGAAACGAAAGACTCATTAGCATCATCTTGGTCGTTCAGCGGCCCTCCCCCAGAATCCAGAAGCTTAAAATCGGCGGGCCCAGAGCGCTAAAAAAGGAGCTGAGACAGGGTCATATCTCTGGAGAAGCCGTGTTGTGACGCGGGGATCCAGACGTGCGTCACATGTGAGGGGGACTGCTAAGAAGAGCCTGTACGAGTCATGACGATGGGGGGGAACTCGCCGTCGCAAAAAGAACAGACCAGTTGGCGGTTCTGAAGATAGTCCATCGCGAAGCAACGCCATCCTATCGGCACCTGTCCGACAAAACTCTCAAGGGCGAAAAGAGGCGTATATATAAAGCTTTGGAGCTAGGTTAGGAGCCGGGGAAGAAGTTGGCTGCTTGTTGAAAAGGAAACCATCGAACGCCACCGGAGAAAATATGGAACAGAAAACGAACCGGGTAGTCATTTCCACGAATTGCTTCTCGCGGTGGCTTCTTGGAAACGTCTGAAGGAGCGGCTAAACGTTCTGTATTAGCGGTGGCTTCGTGAGCAGAAGAACCGAGGTGGTGGATCTGAGAAGGGCGCAGATGAATGGTGCCCAAGCGGGATGGAGGTAACCCGGGGATGAGGCGTGATGTTGACGCCACAGAGCTCTAGAGGGCGAATCAGAGAGATCCCGGGCCTCTCCCCAGAAAGTTCGGGAGGATGGATTCTGGGGAAGAACCCCACGTTTTCCGTTTGGTACGGTAAACTTCAACGGCAACGGGCCTCCTCCAGCTTTTCGGGTTTGTTTGTTTTCCCCCACCCAAGCAAGCCCCCCTTTCGATCGCGTGTACTAGCTCCCAAGTTCCCCGACCTTTTCGCCCCCCACAGATGCTCGGCAGCGGTAGTGATGCTCGGTAGGTCGTGGTGAGGAGAAGGAGGGGGATATCCGCAGTGAGTCTTGCGGTTCCCGTGATATAAAACAAGGGTGCTGGCCCCTTCCGAGCAGCAAAACTGCGGCCTTCGCTCTCGATGCTCTGCTGGTCTTCCTTCCCGTGTAGCGGCATTGCACCCAGCGTAGACAGACGAGATCATGGCCACCGAATCCAGCGAAGCCGCCTATCGCCCACCTTCCCCCGTCAAGGAGCTGGGCGATGTCGAACATGTCGAGAAGGATCTCAAGACGGTTGTGGCTGCGGTCACTGACCAGCCGGTGCACGAGATGTACCTGGAGGCCATGGAGCGGTACCCCAACGACGATGCCATCGACCAAGCTGAAGAAAAGCGACTGCTGCGCAAGCTGGACATGCGCATCTTGCCCTTGCTAGGCATCTGCTACTTCTTTTATGTAAGCTTTTCCTGATGACGAGTGTGGTTGATGATGGGCTCAGAGGATTTGACCGTGGCCTAGTACGTCGACAAAACCACCCTCTCATATGCTGCAATCTTCGGCATCAAGGACGACCTGGAGCTCGTGGGAGACGACTACTCGTGGCTCTCCAGTAGCTTCTACTTTGGGTGGCTCATCTGGGCCATTCCCTCCAATCTGCTCATGCAACGCAGCCCCCCTGCGTATTATCTCGCCTTCAACATCTTCATGTGGGGAGCCCTGCTCATGTGCCAGGCCGCGGTGAAGAATCTCGGAGGGCTGCTTGCGCTGCGTGTTCTATCGGGGGCGTTTGAAGCCATTGCCGACCCGGCTTTCATGCTCATCACGTCCATGTACTACACGAGAGCGGAGCAGCCCACGCGGATTTCGGCGTGGTATGCTTTCAATGGCATTGGCGTTGCGGGCGGTGGCCTCATTGGTAAGTTTGTTTGCTGCTCCGGTGCAATGTTTCTTTGGGAGTAGTACTTATTCTCTCTGTTGGAGAATGCTGTTGAACATGCGGACCCGTTGCTAATGTGCTTGATGGCCGCAGGATACGGCATCGGCCAGATCAAGGGCGCGCTGCCCTCCTGGCGGTACGAGTTCATCATCGTCGGTGCTTTTTGCGCGGCTTGGGGCATCTGCCTCTTCCTCTGCCTCCCCAACTCTCCGCGAACCATCTGGGGCTTCTCCCGCGACGAGAAGCTGCTCATGATTGCCCGCATGAGGCGCAACCAGACAGGCGTGGAGCAGAACAAGATCAACTGGAAGCAGATTAAGGAGGCATACCTGGACTACAAGACTTGGCTCTTCACCCTGCTCGGTTTCACGGCCAACATTCCCAACGGTGGCATCTCCAACTTTTCCACTCTCGTCATCAAGGGACTCAACTTTGACACGTTGGATACGGCCCTGTTGGGCATTCCGCAGGGTGTGTTGGTGGTGATTTGGATCGGGTTGGGTGCCCTGGCAAACAGGTTCATGCCACACAACTGCCGAACCATTGTCTGCGCGCTCTTTATGCTGCCGACTATTGCGGGCGCGCTTGGATTCCTGCTTGCTCCCAAGGATGCATATGTGGGAAGGCTGATATGCTTGTAAGTCGACTTGCTATCCCTTTGGCCCCCCCTCCCTTAAGCAGATCTACGCAGGTTTGCGTCTTTTGCTGTCAGCCACTGACTAACGTGTGTATCCGAACAGTTACCTGACCGGCTCATACCAAGCCTCCTTTGTCATTTCGCTGTCCCTCATCACGTCCAACACTGGTGGCCAGTCCAAGAAGATGATCGTCTCAGGCATGATTTGGTTCGGTGCTTGCATCGGCAACATCGCCGGCCCCTTCTTCTACAAGGCCAACCAGGCTCCTTCATACCACCTGGGCATCGGCTCTCTCCTCGTTGCCAACTGCCTGGAGCTCGCGCTGTTCTTCGTCTTCCGATACGCCTTTATCTGGGAGAACAAGCGCAAGGAGAAGCTCCGAGCAGAGTTGCAGGAGCGTGGGGAGCTAATTGCGGGCGAACTGAACGCCACGGCATTTGTGGACCTGACGGACAAGGAGAACCCGAACTTTGTGTATGTTTATTGATGATGCGAGGGATTCGCAGACGATTGCTGTCCACGCCGACATGCCTGTATGCTTAGCCTATGATGATTTCCCAGATGTAATGAATTGTTTCGAATATTCTTCGTATTCTGAATTCCGTTTTGTATGGCAGGGGAGCCCAGCATAAGCACACTACCCATGATGGCATGAGGATGTGGCGGGCAGCAGGACTCGGTTAAGAACGTCTTTCGCAAAGCATTCGAGACATTGAATTGGAAGATCATAAGTGTTGAAGCGGTGCCGAATTCTGGAACAAGACTCCCCATGCACCTTCATGCATGTAGCGTACGGTTGCTGGAGCTAAACCATGAAGCTACTCTGCATTCGCAGAACGGCACGTCGCTTTCACGTTTCCCTTGTTCTTATGTTTCCTTGTCAATGTCGTGGCGGGATCCCGCATGGCAGCCCTGCATGGCGGCGGGCAATTCCGGTCCGAATCAGCAGCACAGGGTTCAATTGTCGTGGCAGGCCCTGCTGACGGATTGGCAAAGTATGTACATGTATGTATGATGCGCATGGAATCAGCCGTGGCTCGCTAGGGGGGGACCGAGAGGAAAGTGTGCTTCTGGCCGACGGGGGACGAGGCGCAGGGGAAATCATCCCACCGGCTCCTCATATTCGCCCTTACCAACCGTGTGAAGCAAAATGTCCGAGAGCTAGTAGTACTAGATGCCGTCGACTAGAGCAGAATAGTCCATCCGATGGTGATGTGTGATGTTCGCTGTGCCGCATTCGGTAGCTGTTGATGGAGGAAGCCGAGTTTGGAACAGTTGTGGCGATGTGTCGAGTTGAGAGGCATTCATTGTATGCCAGATCAGCGGCAGTGGCACCCTGCCACGAGTGTCCTATTAGTATGGCTTGGTTGAGATCGTGTAGAACAATGTCGGCCTTCGACTCTGGTAGATGCGATATACCGGAGAGACTTGACATGGAGGACCTTCTAGCGCAAACGAGGGAAGCAATAGAGAATGGCTGTAGACCCGGTGCTTATAGTAAAGAATGATACTTGAGGAGCTTCAAGTCTGGCTGATACTTGGGCAGAGGCGATCAGGGGACCGTCGTTGATCCTTTGAGTTGTTCAAATTCGCTGGCCAAGCGTTGGCGAACATAGGAAGCCATGGAATGCCGCTTGTGAGCGACCTGAAGATCACTATGCCATACCTGTCGAGCTGGATCTGGATTGCTAGGTAGTACCTATTGAAGCATCAGCCTGCCACCAGTTTGATTGCTTGTACAAGTACGCACATAGTCGAGCTTGGAAATGCTCCTTGACAGGAGCTGCAACTCCGCGCCGGATGAGAATGGCACAGCACGGACTCTTGCAGGTTGTTGAATTCTGCGAATGGTCCAAGCTGTCGGGTTTTCGCTGACGGACCAAGCTCGTGTAGGATGAGCGAGACAGCTGCTGATGACCCAGGATCCTTAGTACGCGCCCTAGCTCGCCCACAGAAAGTACTATATGAGCAGGGCTGTAAGACCTCGAACTGGGGAGTCCATGGTTTGTTAGCAAAAGGCACCTGGCACAATTGCATGGAGCAATTACTACTCTCACTCACTTGCACCTCGATGCGTGTCCATGTACGAGGTAACCAAGCAAGCTGGCCCTCGGACATGCCTGGCTCTCTTGTTCCAGCTTGACGCCCGGTGGCTGTCAGCTGCAGAAGTGTGGGCATGTTGGTAAGCCCGGTGCCCTGTTCCCGGTTCTGCAGATGCGGTGCTGCTAGTATTTGGTGATGCGTGCAGGGGGGGTAGCAAACCAAAGTGCTAAGGTGCTGGCTGCATCTAACCATGCGGGAGCTAATTGCGCATCAGCACTGCGGCTCGGATGGAGCATGTCGGCTGCGGCGATCCTCTTGTTGTGCATCGTCGGCGACAAAGAGACGGGCACAAGTTCGCTTGGTGGTGTAGCTGGCGGTACTCGTCTGAGGAGAGAGCGCCATTGTCGATGTAATAGTAGGATGACGGTGGTTGAAGGGCGGGTCGCAGGTGCATTTACTGGGGAGAGAGACGAGGCTGCGGTCCAAGAAGACGCCGAGCATGGAACCCTAACCTACCCTGTCAAGTCCCGACCCGGCCGCGGCAAGCCCACAAAGTGGCGCAACTCATCCGCCAGAGATGCGCCGCTAGCTAGGTAGCTAGGTACTTGAGCCCACCAGAAAGCGACCAGAACGCTGGAACTGGCCGTCGCCGCGCCGCTAGAATCAGCATTATCTCAACTGCTCTTCAGCCTGCTGGACTATCAATCAATCATCAAGGCGTTCCATCACCTACCATCAGTTGATTCCTTCCTTTCTGCTTTCTCGAGAGACTCCAAACATCAGACGGGCTGAGTGACGAGCCAGTCTCCAGTCCTTCGTTCAATGCTCGGTGTTCAGGTTCCAGGCCTGGCTCCAGCAATCCAGGCAAGGCCAGGCCAGGCTCCCTTGTTGCGGCTTCGCGGATCACAGCCGTAGGCGAACGTGCTGCTGCCAGGCCCAGGCAACCAGGGCCGGGGACTGGATTGCCTCGCCGAGAGGCTGTCCTGAGCAACAACCCGGAAGCATCCATCTGATCCATGGACGGCCATCAATCCATCCATCGGTGATCACAGCAAGCCGTCCGCTCGATGCTGAAGCCCTGGCACGCACGTCGCTAGCGTCACAGCTCTAGCGCTCTAGCGCCCTGCAAGGCCCCCGTCCGTGGCGCGCTCCGGGCCCTCCCAGCCCGCTGAACCCGCTGAGGCGCCAGCGCCCATGGAGCCCGACCAGCCCGCTGTGCCGCATCTTGATCCTCCACAGAACTGGACCCGTCCAGCAGGCCCACACTGGAAATGATCGAGTAACGGCCTCAGTCCTCTCGACTGTTCTGTTCTTTGACACTTCACTCACCTCAGCCGACCTCTGCTTGACTGCTTCCATCCAAATGTTGCGTCTCGACTCACAGGCCTGTACGTGAGACGAGCGCCGTCGAGGGTCTCGTTTTGTTGCAGACGTCTGGTTCTGGTTGGCCATCTTTCTCCCATTGTTCTCCTCTCCTCTCTTGGCTCTCCTCTTGTTGTTTTTTATTCCCTCCGCTTCATCTGGGTTTGCTCTGGGCTCTGGGACGTGAAAGGCGTCTTCAACACGAAGGCAAATTCATCAGTCAAGTCAACCCCCACCTCCGCGCCGTGCTGCAGTCACTCGTTCTCCCGGCTTGTATTCGCTTCAAGTTGCCACTCGTTTTCCCTTCCCTTTGCTTCACTCGCTTAATGTTGACGGGGCGTGCAATCACTCGTTTCTCGCTGATCCGACCTCGACGTATACGCCTGTGTTTGGATCTCGGTACTTGTGCCATGCTTCTCTAAACCATCGTTTTCAAGTCGGCGGCCCGAAGCAACCACATCACCGCCCATCTTGCGGCTCCGCAACAGCCATAGCGTACACGCCGGCCGATGGCGCCCCAGAAGAGAAGAGGACGGAGGTCGGCGCGCCGTACTGCTAGAGGGCCACAGTCTGCCTCTCGTCACAATTCATGCAGTGGTGATGGCGGGAGCGACGACTCCCCCTCCGATATGATACAATTGGAGGGCGTCGGACAGGATAAGGAAGAAAGATGCGAGGGCAGTGGTGCTGAGCAAGTAGACGACGAGGACGACTACGAAGTAGCCTCTCTTTACCCAGCCAGCCAGCTTGCCGACGGCGCAAGGAGCACCTACAGATCAGGAGGTGGTCATTTTGTGACAGGAGATCCGCGGGCGATGGCTTCGGACTTGTAAGTGGCCATTGCGCCTCTGACCCCAATCACACACCATCATGAAATAGCTGGGGCAAGCGATTTGGCTGTTTTTGACAATCTCCTCCACTCAGCAGCGGCTAACTAGCGTTCGAAGAGCATCGACTCGATCCTTGTGGACCATGGACCTCGACTATCGTGAACTGCACGGCCGCAGGTACTGTCGCGACTACTACATGCCCAATGACGAGCTCGAACAGTTGCGCGTCACTCTGCTGCACCAGGTCTTTGTCCACATTCTCGACGGTGAACTGACTCTTGCTCCGCTTGAGGAGCCTCCATCTCATGTGCTCGATGTCGGCACCGGCACCGGAGAATGGGCCATTAGGATGGCCGAGATGTTCCCCGAGTGCGAGGTTGTGGGCACCGACATATCTGCCATTGCGGAAACCGAAAGCGTTCCCGTCAATGTCTTTTTCGAGATTGAGGATGCCGAAGACTGGGACAGGCCGCCGGATCACTACGACATGATTCACATGCGCTGGCTGGCGGGATCCTTCCGAGACTGGCGATTCGTTTACGACTGTGCTTATTACTCGCTGAAGCCCGGCGGCTGGATTGAGGTGCTAGACTTTGACGGCTTTGACGGCATGGTTTGCATCGACCACTTCCCGCCCGAGTCCCCGATTCATCGACTGTTCAAGGACATCCACAAAGCTGCGGAGCTGTCTGGCCGCAAGCTGTCCATGGACCATCTGAATGCCCCAGACTTTATGGATGCCGGCTTTGTGGATATCAGAGTCATGGAATACTCGCTTCCCTTGGTCTTTGGCGAACCATCCATCGACAAGCTTTGGTTGATGGCTCTGATAGACGGCATCGAGTCCTCAGCCTTGCGTCTGCTCACCGAACACATGGGATGGGACCCCGACGAATGCAAGGCCGTATGCGAGCAGGTGGCTCGGGATATGGCCAACCTCACAAAACATCCCACGACCGCAAAGGAACTCGTCATCAAGCTTCGACTTGTGGTGGCGCGGAAACCTCTTGAGGCGCCCATGTCGAATGACTCGTGGCCAGCAGAAGAGCCTCTGCACATGCGCACGCGCAGGGAGGGGGACACTCCCAGGTCTGAGTCTGCATCATTCAAAGTGCCTATTGCCCACACCGATGAGATCGATCCCCAAGCTACCGAGGATCTCACACCGGATGAAACACATGACATCTCGCAAAAAGGAGGAGCAGGAGAGGTGTGAGCGTCTCCGCCGGCCGAACAAAGGTGGAGGTGACATGATATTACATTGACGAACTTTAATGAATAGGTACGCTGGACTGGACAGCGAATAAGCAAGCGCTTTGGATGATTGTTTCCATTTTGCTGGGGTCCCGACTCGTTCTTGTTTTACTCTCGTTTTTCTTTCACAAACTCTCTGTCCATCGATCGCATTTGAATGATGCGTCTCTTGAATCTTTTCTCTTCGGTTGTACTACAATCGATATCATCCCATCTCGAGCCTTTTTCCTTCTTGTGTCTCCTCAGGTAATTGTATATATATAGGCGGGCGGTTGATGGACGACGAGATCGTGAGTTGGGTTATAGGTTATGGGTGCCTAGGTAGGTAGGTAGCAGGTATCTAGTAGATAGAGCAAAGCCTACCTTATGAGATAGGTACCACGTAATCTTGTCTGTTTTCCCCTTGGATTTAGGACGACGATGGATATATAAACCAGATCGGTTAAGAACTTTGTCAGGAACGTTCAGGACAGGCGATTATAGTTCCAGGTCATTCTGGTAGAGCACTCTTCAGCTGTCACAAGGCATCATCTGAAGTTGAGGTAGCGCTGCTGCTCTTTAACGTGGCGAGGTACCTCAGAAGCTCCCTAGCTCCACCGCCTTCTGCCAGCGAATCAGAGGTAATGGGCCCTCGAGCTGCCCAAAGCTGGACCTTGAACCGTCGTCACTGACGCAGCCTCAGCCGTCCGACTCTCTCTCCGCCATCACCACATAGCCTCGACCTTCGACAGCCCTCCCCTCAGCCTTGCCACCTCCCGACTCTTGGTGCAACTTGTGCTTGTGGACAACAGCCCGCGCGCACTTGTAGGTATCTGCTGACTGCACAAACGCTCCAATCCACAGCCTTCGTCACCGTTCCGACCCCGCGCGAAGCATGTCTGGTTGAGAAAGCCCACGCCATGTCGCTTGATCCCCAGGACGGATTCGTCGCCGCCGATGCTGCCGATCCGGAGGGCGGCGATCTGCCCATTTTCACGATCGAGCGGGTGCAGCTGCAGTTCTCCATAGCCGCCGACTTTGCAGCTGCGCAGGTTGCCAACAATGTCATCATCCTGGCCCTGTCCAATGGCCGCATTCTGCGCATCGACCTGAACCGGCCCGAAGACATCGACGGTGAGCCTCTCCGGGGACGCTGGGATTGGGGTGGAAGGTGTTGAGAACGGAAGGGAATCCTGGGCTAATCCGAATGGCTGGCGCAGACATTGACCTCCCAAAGAAGCCGTCCGACATTGGCATTATTCGCCGCATGTTCCTCGATCCCACGGCCTCGCATCTCCTGATTTGCACTTCGAGTCGCGAGAACTACTATCTTCACTCTCAGTCTAAGCAGCCTAGGGCTTTGGCCAAACTGCGCGGCGTCTTGATCGAGAGCGTAGCCTGGAACCCATCCCTGCCAACCGCCTCCACGCGAGAGATCCTCATTGGCGCCTCAGACGGCAACATCTATGAGGCCTTTATTGAAACGTCCAACGAGTTCTACAAGAGAGAAGTGAAGCATCTGAAGAATTTACACAAGGTCTCAGATGGCCCTGTCACAGGCCTTTGGGTGGATAATCTACATGGCAAGACCGATTTGCGCAGAATCATGATTGCTACGCCGAGCAGCTTGTCCCATCTTGTTGGTCGGATCAGTCATGGCTACGACGGTAGTGGCTCTATATACACGAGGATGTTTGAGACGGAACAGCCTGTCGTCCACGAGCTCTCAAGGGTAACTTCTGGGGCAAACTCCGCCTTCGTGGTCTCTCCTGATCCTCCCGACACCAGCCCTCATGATGACGACGTTCCGGATCGAGCATTTGCTTGGCTTTCCTCTCATGGCGTCTACCACGGAAAACTCCTAAGCTCACCAGCGGATGCCACACTGGGCGCCAAGATCTTTGCTGAGGCCAAGATGCTCCCAAGAAGCCAGATAGTCACACAAGGCTCAGGCAGCAAACGGAAACCGTCTACTGAGACGATTGATGCCATTGCCCTCACTCAGTGGCATATTGTGAACCTGGTGGGCGGTCGCGTCATCACTACTAACCGACTGACTGGGGAGATGGTGTCGGAGCACGATGTGCTTTCCGCCGGTCAAAAGCCGATTGGGTTCTCGGTAGATTCTCAGAAGAACACATTTTGGCTGTTTACATCCGAGGAGATCTTTGAAATCGTGGTGCGCGATGAAGACAGGAATATCTGGAAGATCATGATGGAGACGCAGCAGTTCGAACCAGCTCTTCAGCAAGCTCGCTCGCAAGTTCAGAAAGAAACGGTTTCCGCGGCATTTGGGGACTATCTCTCGAGCAAAGGCCACTGGAGCGAAGCAGCCATGGTGTACGGCCGGAGCAACAAGCCCTTTGAGGAGATTGCGCTCAAGCTCATCGACAACAATCAACCAGATGCTCTGCGCACATTTCTACTCACAAAGCTAGGCACAACCAAAAAGTCCGCTGTCATGCAAAGAATCATGATTGCGAGCTGGCTGGTAGAGATCTTTATGGCCAAGCTCAACTCCCTCGACGACGCAATTATCACCCAGACGGAGCTCTCGGAGAAACAGAACCCCGGAGAATCGAGGCGATTGATACTCCTAGTGAAAAAGGAGTTTCAAGACTTTGTGAACAAGTACAAAAACGATCTTGACCACAGGACAGTATACGATGTGATCAGCAGCCATGGCAGAGAAGACGAGCTGCTGTACTTTGCCAACGCGATCAATGATTACAACTACGTCTTGTCATACTGGGTACAGCGGGAGAGATGGACCGAGGCGCTGAACGTCCTGAAGAAGCAGACAGACCCGGAAGTATTTTATAGGTACAGCTCTGTACTCATGTCACATGTTGCGCAAGACACCGTCGACATCCTCATGAGACATTCCGATCTGAACCCGCGACGGCTGATTCCGGCCCTGCTCGAGTACCATCGCGGGTTTTCTGGTGAAGCAACAGCCCAGAACCAGGCTATAAGATATCTCAACTACGTCGTCTACCAACTCAATTCAACCGATGCAGCGGTTCACAACACGCTCGTGTCCATTTACGCCTCACATCCCTCCAAGGACGAGTCGGGGCTGCTCTCCTATCTACAGGCACAGGGCGACGAGCCCCGATATGACGCCGACTTTGCTTTGCGGCAGTGTATTCATCACCACCGGACACTCTCGTGTGTTCACATATACACTAGCATGGAGCAGTATCTTCAAGCCGTCGACCTGGCCCTTTCTCACAACGAGGTCGAACTGGCTGCGGTCATTGCTGACCGACCTATGTCGAACCCTCAACTGCGCAAAAGACTCTGGCTGGCTGTTGCCAGGAGAGTCATTTCTCAGTCTGACGGCATCAAGACAGCAATTGAGTTCTTGAAACGATGCGACTTGCTCAGGATCGAGGATCTGATCCCGTTCTTCCCTGATTTTGTCGTCATTGATGATTTCAAGGAGGAAATTTGCGAGGCTCTGGAAGAGTATAGCCGGAACATTGACAACCTCAAGAAAGAAATGGACGAATCTTCACAGACAGCAGCGAACATCAAGCTGGACATTGCCGCGCTGGACCACAGATACGCTATCGTGGAACCAGGCGAGAAATGCTATGTTTGTGGGCTTCCCCTCTTGAGCAGACAGTTCTTCGTCTTTCCGTGCCAGCACTCCTTCCACTCGGACTGCATGGGACGAAAGGTGCTGGAGCAAGCGGGGGTTGCCAAGTCGAACCGAATTAAGGAGCTGCAAATGCAGATCCACAAGGGGCTCGTGAGTGGTCCGCAGCGAGAGGCCGTTGTTGCTGAGCTGGATGCCTTGGTGGCGTCAGCATGGTGAGTTTCCACTTCTGTTTAGGCTTCATTGAGCGCCCGTCCAGACGCAACTGACTCTTCTCATAGCATTCTCTGCAGCGACTTTGCCATCAAGAGGATAGACGAACCTTTCATCACACGGGATGACAATCCGGATGAGTGGGCGTTATGAGGTGGGCATGATTTACTCGCGGGCATTATAGAACTGTAGATACCCCCTACCTGATCATCACGAGAATCTAATAGCGCTGAATCAATATTTGTTTCAGATAGCTTGGGCTGTTTCTCCTGGCATCGGCTTGCATGCTGGGCTGGTGGTGGACGTTTAGGCTAATCACATCAAGAACAACTTCGTGCGAGGCCAAGTATGGACAAGTTCATGTATGTTCAACTACGGACGAGTGTCTTGCTAACTATCTGGAGTCCGTATCACCACAGGCCACTCTCGTATGATCTCATCTCTTTTTTTTCCCAATGAACATGAATAGGGTACTGGGTCACATGCCAACAGTGTATATACCCACGGCCACGAGCTGATTAGGCCTTGTAGGGCTTGCCAGTGCCGTACTGGATGTTGGTAACGGACAGGCCAGTGCCCTGGTGAGGGTCACCGAGCTGGTGGGGGCAGCTGGGCTGGTTGCTGACGGCGAGGTTGAGCTTGCAGACCTCGTTCCAGCCATAGTGGCAGACGGGATCGACAATGTTGATGAGCTCGTAGTTCTTGGCGACCCACGAGTCCTTCTGGCCGAGGCAGCCGGAGATGAAGTTCATGCTGTTGGCGGCGGCAAAGGGCAGCTTGCCGTTGTGCAGGAGGCCCTTGCACTTGTCCATGCCGACGTAGGCCCAGTCGACGTTGAAGCCGCCTCCGGTGCGGGGGCTCTCGGTGGCGGACTTGCCGGAGAGGAGGAAGTTCCAGGCGTCGTAGGAGATGTCGTTTGCGCCGCCGGACTGGTCGATCTTGAGGACGTGGACGGTGCGGCCCTGGTACTTGAGCTCGACGCAGAGGTTGTTGCAGTCCGGGGGGCTGGGCCAGTAGGCGACGCGGTTGGTGTTGATGAGGCAGCCGAGGACGCCGACGGAGGAGGAGTATTGCTCGTGGGGGGTGATGGAGACTGTGCCTGCGCGGGGGAGGACCGCGGCGGAGACGGGGGTTGTGGTGGCGGCGGCGGCGAGGAGGAGGCCGGTGATGGTGTTGAGGGAGAGCATTTTGATGGGATAGATAGGGGGGGTTTGAGATGGGTTTTTGGTTTGTGTGATGGGGATGTGTGTTGAGATTGTTGTAGTGCTTGTTGGTGAGGTTCTTCGAAAGGGAAACTTTGAAGGGGTGAAGTTGGACTTTTATATCCTTCTTGGTCAACTTGTTGTCGTGAGAGTGATGTGGTTGAGGGAACGCCGAGGAGGGAGAGTTGAGCTTGGACATTCTGTTCGTGAGAGGGCGCTTTGGAGTTGGAATGTGATGGCTTCATCTTCTGCTCTCTGGACTTGCTCTTTTGTGTTATGAAGCCTCTGTCATGTTGGGTTGTGGGAGCAGATGCGTCTCGCATGGGGAGGTTAGAGGAGGAGGCGACATGCAATCACGGAGGCTTCATATATCACGTCTGTCACCAACGTGTTATTCTATGCACAGACCTTATTTGGTCATAAATGAAAGGAATTCATCTATAATAGGGGAGAAATTCCATGAGGGCAATTGTCCGTTGAGGAGGTGAATGGAGTCAAGAGCTTCAATGTGCAATGGAGATGTTGGGAAGAAGAATCCTTGGTTCGCACCTTTGGCTGTCTAGGTCATGGCGTTGACCAAGGCTGCCATTGGGTAAGTCGATATCTACTTTGATGGGATGCTGGCCATAACTTGTTAAGTTGCATACATAGGTTCTTTGATATTGGTTAAGAAGCAGGAATAGATCATTGAGTGAGTAAAAGAAGTCTGGGCTGCCCGTACTGCTGCCTTGTGTAATCTCAGGGGGGAGACACCGGACCATCTAGACAAAGTAGTATTGCAACGAGCTGAGAGAACGACAATCAGACTTGAGCACAGTTCTGAGCCGGTGTTCTAGAACAATTGGCTTTCACCATGGTCATTACTGTGGTACTCACATGAGGAGTGACAGTACCACAAGGGCCAGCTTCCAGGGGTAAATATACAACCGCGGCCTTTGATTCCAACAAGGTCGAGTGAATTGAGCACCCTTATGGTCTTGATCACATTCTCAGCCACGCATAGCAATTTGCACCTCCAATTTCAACAACTAAGCTCCTGCTTTCTTCTAGCAATCCTCGGAATGTGCACTAGCCTCGGATTCTGATCCCTGAGTATGATGCATGCAGCGGGGTCATTGATCTACATGTCCTTCAATCTGAAAGGGCGATCGAATTTTTTTGCTGGATACTCATATAGTCAACCTTCGGCATCTAAGCCATTCTTTCCCATCTCCTTGGACTTGGATCTTCGTGTTCCACTTGTTTGAGAACCTCCAGCGGAAGGGTTTAAGCCATGCGTTGTCTCCAGTTTTGCATCGCCAAGACGACGATCCGGCCCGCTCCTATGGTAAGGCCACAAATTTGGCAGAATTTGATCGGTAACCGAGAAAAGAGCATCTGTCCAAGAGGTCAAAGGCTCGTTTGCATCAGGCACACTGTGTATATGTTTGCGTTGGTGATAAGCCCCTGGGCGTAGAAATCCCTGCATGAGCACGGGACACACATACCTAGTGGTTCAAAATGGTAGAGCTTGCTGGGCTTTCGGAAATTGCACCAGTGTTTTGTCTCGTAAAAGTGAGTGTTATCTCTACACTGCTGCTTGTTGGACGTGTTGTTGACCATACAATCGACTTTTCCTGAAAGCTAATCCCGTTGACGCAAGGAGAAACCCACCAAGGGGCATGACGGCAGAGAGTATGGATATGCTCGGAGATGGTAGCCTGTGTTTTTAGATTCTGTTGGTAACTTGTAACTTTATGGTACTAGCACGAACATCCGGGACGATGGTACCAACATCGACTCAACCGTGATCCGTGCCTAAGAGGGGTTTGAAGGGTCTAGACATCAGTGTATGTAGCCGCATCCAGTAACAAGACAGGCCAACTGTCTGTGCTTCTCTAGAGGATCCGGATGAAGCCGAGAGCATGGGCGTTTGGAATCTGGCACTTTGAGTACAGTAGTATCTTGCTCAGATACTCTGCAGAGGCCAGGGTTGGATGGCACTTAAGAGTACGGTGCTTTGATACAGTCTTGTCGAGATAACGCAGAGGCTACATTCAGCGTTGCTTACGTCAACCAAGAATGTGATGAATGTCATCGGCAGTGCGTTACATATCTATTGGCAGTTGAAGCTCTGTCACTGACATAAAATGACCTCCTCACTGAAGGAATGACTTGGCACTCGTACCCCTGCCCCTATAACGCCACTATGAATCCTGCTCAACGATAGATCGCAACCTGTGTTGCAGCTCTTCAAGATGAGATTTGCCATGCTCATCCCTGTAATTCTCCAAAACTTCTCTTCGCATAACGCGTCGTGGAGCCCTTCGTCCTGTAAACAGCTCGAACTGAGCGCAGCCCTGCTCCGGCAGGAGGTCTAGACCGTCCATGGCCACCCAGCCTCGCGATGCACCATCTCTGGCCTGCTTCAAGAGCGGCGTGTTCAGTGTCTTGTACCCCAATTCGATGATGACGCCTCCTGTTTGGTGGTTCAGCCAGGCGTCTGGCATTCTGAATTCGGGCGAGGGAGTGTTGCCTATCGGGTGCGTGGGAATACAGGAGATGATGACGGACGGATATCGGTATTCTGTTGGCCAGGGCTCTTCAAGTGAAGTGAATACGTGAAACTTGACATCGTGAGCGTTGGCCAGGGGGTTGTGTCCCTTTTCTTGGAGCAGCTGCTGGAAATGAGCCACTAGTTTCTCTGCGTTTGCTGTCGTGCGATTGTATATGGCAATGTTCTTGATGCCAACTTGCAGCATGGCATATACCGCAGCACGTGCCATGCCTCCTGCGCCGATAACAAGCCCCCATGTTGCTTGTCGCACGGCATTGGCTGGTGACAGGCCGCGCCGGATGCAGGCTCGAATCCCGATCCAGTCCGTGTTCTCGCCGTACAGAGCGAGGACAGGGCCAGCTCTGTTGACACCGGCCAGAAGAGCAGAGCCAGTCGGGATGGTACCATCTGGCTTGAGCTGGCGGATGGGGATCAGAGTGTTGGCCGCCCCGATGGCTCTCGCATGGGGACTGAGATATTTGGTCAAGGTCGTCACTTCGACCTTGAAAGGCAAGCCTATCGATGCTCCGCCAAAATGAGGGTCGTATATCAAATGTTCCACGCCTTTCAGAGACTCGCTCGAGTAAGGCTCGTAACGATGTGGGATTCCGCAGGCTAACAAGGCGGCGTTATGCATTGCTGGGGACATACTGTATCCGACATTGGCTCCGAACACGTAAAGGTTCATGGCGTCGTATACAAAAGAGGCATATAGAGCAGTTGTAGCCTCTTTTGCTGTGATGTAGGGAAATGGGGCGCTTCTCTCGTCGGCCTCAGTCACCGGACTGGGAGCAACCAGTGTCAGTATCTGGTTGAAGCAGGCCGAGTGCCGGCCGAGATGCCCGCAATTGTATGCAATGAGTGGTGTTCTGTGGCCTCTGAGTGAAGATATATTGGACCTGAATTGTGAGATCTTAAAGTTATCTTCCATAGCTTTAGCTTCTCGGACGAGGCGGACTAGGTCGCAGCCAAGCTGGCAGGCTTTGTGATACCAGGATGTCCAAGCCGGAGAGTCCCAAGGCTGAGCATCTGTTGATATATAGTAATTCCCAACAATTTTTGATCGACCCTTTGCTGAAATGATCCTGGAGAGATCGGACTGGTCCAGCCGCAGGTCGACTGTGAGCATCTCTGGAGCCAAAGACAGGGCATGTGACAGCAGATCCAAGTATGACCGTACTGCCCTGTTATTCGAAGTTTCGGGGAGCTTGATGTGCAGCAAGATGGGCAACATGGTGCTTCTTCTCACAATTCCCACAGCCTCGGCGATTTTGTTCGTCAACTCCTCGATCCTCTCCATAGGCTCTCCAGCTGTTGCTAAGCTGTTGACAAAAATCTGCACCGCGTCGACGCCAACTATTGAGTCCTCCCAGCCTTGAATGCCGCTCAAAACGTCCTGGATGTGCACTGACAGACAGTACGTGAATTGCCTGTCTTCGGGCGCAATACTGGCGAGAGGGAATGCAGATTCAAAAAACGGAATTGTACCAGCGGGATATATAAGGGATAAGAATTTCAGAAGATGCCTCTCTGCCGGCTTAAGAGCGAGATAGGGCGCGTTTGATGTAAACCCTTGATTGTTTGTCTCATCCCCTTCAATGGAGGTTTCCTGGATCTCGGAGACGTTGAAGAACTCTAGATTGGTGCAACTGCGATAGAACAAGTTGCTCATCTGCATCAAGCTATGGGCCTTTGTCCGATCCTTGAGTTTGAGGTGGCCTTGGATGGCATCGATGTCCCGAAGGACGTGAACAACTGGGTTTGTCGCTGCAAACTGTCGAAGCAGGCTCTGGACGTTTCTTTCCATCCACGGACAAACAATGATGCATCCTGTCGGATTCTGCTGGAGAATATCCTGGAGTGTAGCGGCTTGCTTTTGTTGACACTCGGCGTTCCCATTGATCTGTCTGAAGGCAGAGCTTGACGAGCCAGTATTTGATTGAAAGACCGCCTCAACATTGATGATGCTCTTCTTCAGGGCGGAAGCGGCCATGATGGCCAATGTCGACTTCCCAGACCCGCGCAGCCCTACTAAGACGAGAGAGGCATCAGAGCTGAAGTCTGGTATCTTGGCTCTGGCGGGAGTCAATGGCGGCGTGGGTGTCCTTGAGGTACTCTCCGATTCTGACGACAAGTTTGTGAAGATGCAAGGCCTCGATCGGCGGTCGACGGCGAGTGGCCCTTCAGTGCCGTCCATCACGGCAGCGAACGGTCTCTTGACGCCAGCCATGATGCCTCATCCTGGTTCTAATCTCAGTTGGTTTCTTTGTCCTGGAACATGTTGAAGATGAAGATAAGATCTATTGGAGTAACGAACATCAGCGACGGTATCTGCTCGCAGTGCTCTGGACGCTCTCGTCATAGTTGAGAGGGGGGATAAGCATTTACCCGGACTATAATTGCCACCCACTAAGAACTCGAGCTTTGTCTCCAGCTTTACCCCAGGTTTTCCCCAGCTGGACGACCGTGGCCAATAGCGTCGAGGGGAATTGAGCTTCGTTACGCAAGGAATCAGAAAATCAGCCGAAGGACTATCGTGAAGACGATTCTGCACTCCTCAACGTCTAGACTGATGAGTCTTATTCTCGATACTGGCATCGCGGTGTACGATGTTGTTACTGGATCTCAAAACAGTCAAACTTGCAACTTGAACCTGAGCACCCCCCCCATTACGACGCCGGTGAGACATGATTGACCAACATGCCGCCCCAAAAGAGATCATCTGGCGACTCGGAACCTGCTAGGGGGGCCGATAGAGCCGCATCGGATCCCAAGCGACGACGAGTATCTCTGGCTTGTGACGCCTGCAGGATAGCTCGAGAGAAGTGCGACGGCGAACGCCCACGTTGTGGCCGCTGTGTGTCTCAAAATCGATCCTGTTCATATACTCCAACATCCAAGAAGAGGGGCATCCAGAGCGGATATCTGAGGGCCATTGAGCTGTCCCTGGCGTGGTTGCTGGAAAGTGTACCTGACTGCGAGGAAGCTTTGTATCGACTGCTTGTCAAGGATGGCGGAAAAGATGGCGTGAGCGTCCTTGTGAGCAAAGGCAGGTCTTCGAGCCGGTTGCAGAAGCAATGGAGCAAGTGTCGGGTTCACCAGGAGATTGAAACATTACTATGCCAAGGCGGTACACAAAAGGAAGATACATCCGCTGCTGGGAACTCGGATACAGATGCCAGTAACATGGAGGAATCGAGTAATGAGACGAGACAGCAACCAGGGGAATATCACGGGATGACTACGACGAGCCTCGGGAGCCTTGGCACTTGCTCCTCGTTGAAGGAGTCCAGCCGAGCTCAACATCGGGCGTTGAAACTTCCATCAAATTATCGGCATCTTCTCGATATATACTTTGCGTATACTCACTGCTGGTTTCCTATACTGGACCGGGACGACGTTTTCGCCACCGCAGATACATGCGCTTCCTTGGCCTCGAGTGCATATGGCCATACGAGGGAGAGTAAGAACATTTCATCGACGGACCTTGCCGTCCTCTGGTCCGCCTTGGCCATTGCGACTTTGCAGGATGCACACTCTTCAGCTCCTACCATGAGTGAGGAAGTTATGTCGCCAGCTGAGATTTTTGCAGTGGCACGCCGCTTGGTTCCGCAAGAGGAGGACCAGCTCGATATATCAGACATTCAGGCACTTCTTCTTCACGCGATTATACTCGTTGGCCGCGAAAATATGCTGGGAGCCTCAGTAATAGCCGGAAAAGCTGTGCGTCTCATCTCATATATGAGGTCAAGCAGGCTATCTCCAACACACAGCGAGGTGCAAAGGTCAACCCTGGAGAGGCTCGCTGCCGCTTGCAATGTGGTCGAGGCGCTGACCTCGATGTGTATTGGTCAACCTTCTTACCTATTGGACATTGACAATCTCCGAGCGAATGGACTACCTCGGGATGGCTCGGAGTCGACCGATACTTTCAGTCCAGTTTACGGCTTCGGGAAAATGTCGCCAAGTTCTGATTCTGTTCGTCCCCAAACCGCACATTCGCTTGTGGCCCTGGACCAACTAAGTCGATTTGCTCAAATATTGAGTTCTCACGCGGCTGGGAAGCTTCAAAAAGACTGTTCCGTCAAGGCCGTAACCGTCGGGGATCTCGTGTCATCGTTGAATCCGCAGTTTGGCTTCTGCAACTCTGTCATTGCTGGAGAGGCACCACCCATGTTACCGTCTGCTTTCCTTGTCCAGGCAATGTTTCTGGCCACGACTGTCGAGCTCGTCCCAGGCCAGCGATCTTCACTTATATCCAACTTCTTGGAGGTGGTTGAGTCTAGCATCTCGAACTTTGGGGCTTGTGGCACACCACCCATTACCGTTGCGCTCTTTACACTTGTTCAACAAAAGGGGGCTATAGGTGAAATGCGGACATCTGAAGCCAACAGGTGGAATGCGGCATTGAACGCGATCAAAGCCGTGTGGCTGCAAGATGAGACGGCAAAAAGCACAATCTGCATATCGCCGGAGACATCGACCACAAATAACAGCTCCTGGGCAAGAAACCTCGGCTCAGAGTCGTCGAGACGGAGTGGTGGACTGGGTCAGCGTACCAGAAATTCCCAAGAAGCTTTAACAGAATCCTTTAGCCAAGGATATGGATTTCTCCCAGCGGATATGGAGACGACCACTGGCGACAATCTGTATCCGGCAAACCAGCATAAATGTTCTCCCGCGCAGCTCCCACCGCATCTGGGGATGCTATTCTCGCCAGTTTCAGGGATCACGGCGCAGCCAGTTGGCCATGATTTACAAGCTGCAGACTCCCAAACTGACGGGGTAGATTACGATGCTATCTTTGAGGAGCTGGGCCATATCGACTATGCCGAAAGCATCGGCATGGATCCCCAGTTTATGATGAATCTGGGATTCGCCCCTGGCTGTACGCTGGAGGAGATGTTTCAAGCGGAGTCTAGGATCTTATAGCATTGATTTCGTAGAATCCAAGTCTTCCGACGCACCAGGGTACTTGCTTTCTTCAACGCTCTTCTTCCGGGACTGCGTCAATTTGACGAGTGGACATTGTGTGATATTCGCTACTTTCTATGGTACGTAAGGAGCTGATTCTGGTCACACGGATGCTCTAAGTAGTTGGAAACCGCTAGCTCGAGACTCAGGGTAAATTGCCTCCCGCTTTAAAGCGTCTGGATATGACTTTATCCAGGCGTGGGTGGCGACTCCACATCTCGAGGGAACATGCACCACGATCTCTGTTCCGCTTCTACCACCTTTACCCCAGATTCATCAAACATCCCGGTCGAATCTGCATGGTCTAGCGCCTCAGCACCGAACGCTTCCCCGTGGGGAAAGTTCAGGCCAAGCCCATGGCTCAGAGCCTCCGCCTATAAGTTGATCAATGGCCTTTACAAGACTTGCTCTCGATGCTTGGAGCGGAGCCTTTGGACTGGGAGGCACTCTTGCTGAGCTCACATATCCGACATCATGACTATCCTTGCCTTGAAAGAAGACCGGCCAACGCCCAAGGCCGTCTACAACTGGAGAGTCTATGCCTGTGCTGCCACGGCATCCTTTGCAGCGTGCATGATAGGATACGACTCTGCCTTCATCGGCACTACTCTGGCCCTCCCCTCCTTCGAAGACGAGTTCAACTTTGCACAATACACCAAGTCACACCTCACCCTAATCCAGCAAAACATTGTTTCCGTCTATCAAGCCGGGGCCTTCTTCGGAAGTCTGGCGGCATATGTCTCCAGCTACTTCCTCGGTCGAAGGAAGTCTCTCCTCGCGTTTGCTGCCTGCTTCATGGTTGGAGCCGGTATGATGCTCGGCGCCTCTGGCAGTCGTGGCCTTGGCCTGATCATCGGAGGCCGAGTTCTCGCTGGATTCGGGGTGGGCGGATGTTCCAACATGACTCCTATCTACATCTCTGAGCTCGCTCCGCCGGCAGTGCGTGGACGACTTGTCGGTCTGTACGAGCTTGGGTGGCAGATTGGTGGGCTGGTCGGTTTCTGGATCACGTACGGCGTCAATACGACCATGGCACCTAGCAGGACGCAGTGGCTCATCCCTTTTGCCGTCCAATTGATTCCAGGAGGAATGCTCTTGATCGGTGCCATCTTTATACCCGAATCACCACGCTGGCTCTTCTTGAAGGGAAAACGGGATGAAGCTTTGAAGGTCCTCTGCTGGATGAGGCAGCTTGACCGGAGCGACAAGTACATTGTGGAGGAGGTGAGCTTCATTGATGAGGATCTGGAGCGGTACCGCCGAGAAGTTGGGGCCGGGTTCTGGAAGCCTTTCCTGTCTCTGAAAGAGCGCAGAATTCAGTGGAGATTTCTGCTCGGAGCTCTTCTGTTTGTCTTCCAAAACGGTAAGGCATTCCCTGTATGTCATGATGCTTTCCTCTCACTGACGTTGTCCAGGTTCTGGCATCAATGCAATCAACTACTATAGCCCGACCGTCTTCCGCAGCATCGGCGTCCAAGGAACAAACACAAGCTTCCTCACAACAGGAATCTTTGGAGTCGTAAAAACAGCCTTGACCCTTGTCTGGCTCCTCGTGCTCATCGACCATATGGGTCGCCGCAAGCTTTTGATGATTGGTGCCATGGGTGGCTCGCTCTGTATGTGGTTTATCGGAGCATACATCAAGATTTCAGATCCGGCCTCCAACCAGAGCAACACCAAGCTGTCCTCGGGAGGTATCGCAGCCATCTTCTTCTTCTACCTGTGGACGGCGTTCTACACGCCTTCATGGAATGGGACGCCCTGGGTCATCAACTCGGAAATGTTTGACCAGAACACGCGGTCTCTTGGCCAAGCCAATGCAGCGGCGAACAATTGGTTCTGGAACTTTATCATTGCCAGGTTCACGCAGCAGATGTTTGAGGCATGGGGATATGGCGTGTACTTTTTCTTTGCGTCGTTGATGATCATTTCGGTCTTTTTTGTGTTCTTTTGCATTCCTGAGACGAAAGCGTTGCCGCTGGAGGCTATGGATAGGCTCTTTAGGATCAAGCCGACGTGGAAGGCAAACAGGATCTTGCTGGAGGAGCTTCGCGCTGAGAATGAGGAGTTTCAGCAGAGCACGCAGGGGATTGGGTGGGATAACGAGAAGGAGACTTCGGCTGAGCAGGTAGAGTGCGGAACGGCGGGAGTGTAGCGTTAGCGATAGCAAGAGTTACATCACAGAGTATGAGATATATACAAATTGGATCTCTCTACTTCCGGGATTTGTTGGCGATGTAATCAGTTTGCCTTGTTAATTGTGGACTATGATGTGCAGAGTTGCGTCTTGAAGAAGAGATAGGTAGTGCGAAGGATATGAGATCAATCTTCACAAGAAGGTATGCAAGGGAAATCCTGTCTTGAATGCTGTTGACCCCTTATACTGTCACTGAAGCATTCTCTCTCGAGACTCATAACGTTGTTCTCCGTATAGGTATGTACAACCAATTGATTATGTCTACAGCTTTGCTTGTGCTCTATGTGCTACAATTTCCGCGATAGCCGCCTTCACCTTCTCGGCTGGCAGGGCATCAATCGTATTCCCTGTCCAGTACGTGTCTTGCTCCAGCCCCTGCCATATCAGCGCCTCAGTTCCCAGAATGACCGTCCAGCCTTTTCTCTCCGCAAGCATCCCCAAAGCAGTAAACGGCGTAGGGTTATAGCACATCTCAAGCATTGCGCCCTTGTGCTTCTTGTCCAGCAGTATTTCCGTAATCCTCCTTGCTAGTACCTCGCCGCTCGTTCGCGGTGCCAAATCCGGTATGCATGCAACGATAGCACCGGGCCCCTCAGCTTCCATAGCCTGCTCGACCGTGGCAACGTGTAAGAGACCGTTTCCGTAGCCTCTGGATGTGCAGTCTCGAATGACGGCTTCGACCTCGGACGCATCGCGATTCACGAGGTATATCTCTTTGACCTTCATCCACTTTCTCAGCGCATAGATGGCACTGCGTGCGGCCCCTCCGCCGCCAATGACGAGAGCAGGTCTGTCGTGGTATGTCGATGCTGGGTCCTTGACGTTGTAGAGGAAAGAGTCGCGGATGCCGATGACATCTGTGTTTGTGCCACACAATATCCGCTGCCCATCTCGTTCCTTGAAGTAGACTGTGTTGCAGGCTCCCACATCACGGCACTCGTCTGTCATTTCGTCGAGGTACGGCAGAATCGCTACCTTGTTGGGCATTGTAACGGATGCACCTGGGCGAAGAAAGCCATGTTTAGACAGATGACGAGTTTATAGCGTTAAGAGGGTCCTACATACCGTAGCATGATGGGTGCTGAATCAAGTCTAGAAATAGCCGTAGGTCTGATGAGTCGAGGCGGAGCTGAGCCCAGCGGAGGTTAAGATGGTCGTAGATGACTTGATGAAGAAACGGAGACAGAGAGTGGGTGATTTTCTGGCCAAAGAGATAGCAGTGCTTGTCGAGAGACGCACGCTCAACCTCTTGATGGGCGGCTTCCGTTGATACGGTCATATTGGAGCGTCGTCAATGTTGCTGCAGCGTCGATGATTCGATGTCGGCGTCCAGTCGAGCAATATCGCCGTACGGGTGTCATGATTTTACGGACGTGGCGGGTTATAAAGGTAAGGATTTGTATGTGAAGAAAGATCCACCTTTGACGGAGAGGAATCGGCGAGCTCATCGGCTCACTCATCCAGAAACGGCGATCGCATGAACAACGAACGGCCCGGGTCTTTGCTCCGAAAGAACTTGTGTCTTTGGGTAATCAATACGAAGCGTGGGGTCAACATACAAAACAGCTACGGTCCTCGTGTGGATCGAGAGATGATGCTCCCCCGCAGCCCGGGTAAAGCCTTATCCAGACGAACCAGTCGACGCCTCAACGGTCTGACATGCTTGTCACGGCATCCTTTCTATCTCTTACCGAGTGACTTATTGAATCATAATGACGGCTCTCTTGAGAGTTTGGAGACGAACTGGGAGCTCTCGACACTTCTTATCAGAAGTCAATGATTTGTGAGCCACTACAAGCTTCATGTTTCTAAGAGAGAGGTGCTTATGTTTATCCGAGATGTTAGTATAGCAAGTGATCTCACATTATGGATGGCTCATTGCATTTACGACGTTTGGGTCAGGAAGATGCCATCTTTTGATTGATCATGCCTCGCATAGGGTATAAGATGATCCATCTCCCATGTGTGAAACAGAGCGGATGGTGCTTGGCTGTTGATCCAATAACAAAAATCACGATAGCATACTTGCTGACTTATACTTCATCTTCGTCTGCACCGAATCTGTCAACATGCTGTATAAGCCAAGCATCTGCACCGTCTCCCTGGGACGGAGCTCTGCTGGGCACTCTCTGGAGCACAAGCTTGACATGGCTAGAAAATACGGATTTCAGGCAGTCGAGCTATTCTTTGAAGACCTCCTAGACTTGGCAAAGTCAATGCCCGGGGCCGACCTGATGAACAATCAGCTTGCAGCTGCGGCGATGATCCGCCAACTGTGTGATGACCGCAAACTCTCGATACTCTGCTTGCAGCCTTTCATGCATTATGAGGGTCTGGTGGACCGAGAACTTCACCAGAAGCGGCTGGAGGAAGCCAAGTTCTGGGTTCGTTTGGCGCACGTTCTAGAAACCGACCTGATTCTGCTCCCGAGCAGCTTCCTATCACCCTCAGAAGTATCGCCATCTATGGATGTGATTGTCCAAGACATGGTCGAGATTGCTGAAGTCGGTCTTGGAGCTTCTCCAGTCATCAGATTCGCCTACGAGGCTCTTTGCTGGGGCACGCGAGTTGATACGTGGGAGAGAAGCTGGGAAATTGTGCAGAGAGTTGACCGTCCTAATTTTGGACTTTGCCTTGACACCTTCAACATCGCCGGTCGAATCTATGCCGACCCTTCGATATCTTCTGGCCGAACCGAGGACTGTGACGAAGCGACTCAAGCCTCTCTGCGTGGCATGGCTGCCTCTATCGATCCGGGGAAGCTCTTTCTGGTGCAAATGGCAGACGCGGAGAAACTTGCTCAACCACTTGACAGCAACCATCCATTCTACCATTCAGACCAGCCAGCCAGAATGAGCTGGTCTCGGAACGCCAGGTTATTCTACGGAGAGTCGCATCACGGCGGATATCTCCCCATCAAGAGGATCATGGAGGTCATCGTCCGCGATATTGGGTATCAGGGCTGGCTAAGCTTCGAGGTGTTTAATAGGGTACTGTTAGAGCGTGACGAACGAATTCCAGAGATGATGGCAAGGAGAGCGGCACAGTCATGGGAGTTGATGGAGCGGGATCTGGCGCTCGAGCATTCAAGCGTGCGTTACAAGGCACAAGCTCTTCTATAAACAACTTTTCAAAGCTTAGTGGTTTGCAGCATCTGATATGCCATATATTCATTACTCTAAAGCTTAGGCGATACATTCTTGACCTTCATATGCTTCGCAGCAAAGTCAATTGCAGCTGTGTATCCAAACACGCCGAGCCCACAAATGACCGCCTCCGCTTTATCACTCAAATAGCTGTGTCGTCTCCATTGCTCCCGTGCGTGAACATTCGAGACGTGGACCTCGACAAACGGGATTCCCACGCCCAAGAGTGCATCTCGAATTGCAACGCTGGTATGGGTGAAAGCCCCGGGGTTGATGATGACTCCGTCCTTGTTTCCGCGAGCGGCTTGGATCTTGTCTACGATAGCTCCTTCATGGTTGGACTGAAAGGCTTCGATTTGTATAGATAGTCCTGCTGCTTGGGTTTGGGCTTGCGTGACGACGTCGTTGAGCGTTGTTGAGCCGTAGATTTGGGGCTCTCGTGTCCCAAGGAGGTTGAGGTTTGGCCCGTTGATGAGAAGGATGCGCTGTGCCATGACGTGATTCTTGCTGTGACTGGGTAGAGGCGCAGGGTATCAATCTGTTGTCCGCGGTCAAGATTGCCACTTTATGTATACGGTGGGAGGCGATTTGTCTGGAGCCGGATGAGCATGGGTAAACATTCATCCACTCAAGCTCTTCACCTTTCGCTGCCACTCTTCCACAAGAACAACAAGTGCCATGGCTTACCGTACTCGCTAGGGTATCATGCAACATCACCCAATTCCGGATCGATTCAATACGAGAGTCTTTGTGCATCTATGAAGGTAATACTGGGCCTCATTGAACCACCTCAGCTGCATGGACAGCCACCAGCGCCACGTCGCTCGGCCGTGGACTCGCCCATTACCATGTGTTAAACTGAAGACTCCAGAACTCCAGAACCACAACTGTAGAGGTATTTCATGGACAGAAAAAATGAGCTAAAGACAACAGAACATCCATAAGAAGCGGGTTATGCTGCTATACTGCCATTAATTGCTGATGTATATTCCAGATGACTGGAGACTTGCTCGCGTCGCTCCCTCGATCCTATTAGTCGACACCACCGCTTCTCAATTGTTCATTCCTTGATTTCCTACCCTGTAGTAGCCGAGACCAGTGATGTATATCAATTTAGCGTTTGCAGCGAACAAACCTACCTCCAGTATGTCGTACATCGACCATCCGCCGCATTACCATGCAGGGCGGTGTCTAGAGAGCAGCATCCGCTCTGTGATACCGCCGTAAACACTCCCGACGGACGGTAACGGGTAGTCCCGGCTAAGGTTGAACGACAACAAGTCAAAGGGAGCAGGTCAAAGATAGTCGGTGAAGAGACCGGAAGCACTCAAGCACTGGTACAGACGGTCCTCGACAACGATCGCTGGCATTCGGCTCGGGAGATCGCTGATATTCGAGCGGGAGATCGCCGGGTCTCAAGCCCCTTTCGAAGCGAAAGACTCTCGCCAACCGCTCAGCATTCTCCTGATTGGGTCCCTTGGAATGCAGGAATGCCAGTGCGGGCAGTGTCCGAGTCTCTTCTCTACCGCATTCATGATAGGTATCTGAAACTCGTGTAAGCGAGCTCTGTCCTGACAACCAGCCTGCGTCACAAATGCCGGCCGTTGCTGACCAGGTCATGAGCATTGACGCAGAGAGACAACCCTCACAGTTATGGAACAATACGCAACCGATCCAGGATGACACTAGGGTGGAAAGATACTATTCCGGGGAAGGACATAAAAGAGACAGATCGTGGCACTTATTGAGGTGTCACCCCAGGTGACCCAAGGGGTAGGTCAGACCAGGGACCAATGGGTCACCTGAGGTGACACCTCGCATTCAGTCGAGCCACCCGGTTTACACACACAACGAGACCGCGAACAAAGAGAAGCGCCCAGGGGGGGCAAGGCCAACAAAGCGATGTCTATTAAGAACAGCTGCAAACATCACATCCAACTCTATGCTGAAGTTGGCAAAGAATTCTCCTTCTGCATTGCCCATCCTGCATGGAACGCCAATCGAGGGATCAAACATGCTGGCAAGCACTCCCTTGAGCGTCAATACCAGTGCCTGGTGTTGAAGTCGTGTACGTCAGGATCTGTAAGGGCGAGGATGCGAGGTGTCTACAGTGACTATAGCAACCACGAGGACCGAAATTCATGCAAGGCATCTATTAAGTCCATGTCCGTGGATAGAGCTTGCGGAGAACATGACACGTGAGAGAATGTCGGGGCAAAACCGCCGGCCAGGTGCGGCCGGAGTTGTTTTGGCTGTAGTCAATGAGAATGAATGCCGGGTCCATCCAAGACAATGTGGCTGAGCCATCATTTCGGTGTAAGGATCCTGCTGTTCGTTTACCGGTGTATAGCACCGGAACTCGATCGGCGATTGGACACATCGTATGCGAGGGTGGTTGGCCCCGCCTGACAAGCAGCAAACTCCCTTTTCACGGGCTGAACAGGGGCAAAAGCCAAGAATCGGCGATTCTGGGGCTTGGGCGCCTTGGTTAACTGGTCAGAGCTAGGGGAGCATTGACCTCTGGGGAAAGGGGGTCGTAGGGCTTCAAAGGGGGCAAGAGAAGGGCATCTTTGGAGCCCAGACGTTGAGAGTCGAGAACGTTTGATCTAGCTAATTATGAAACCAACCTAGCTTGTTCTCGCTATAGTAGCTAAAGATATCCTAGGGAGAGAGAGAGTGAGAGGTCTCAGAGTCACCTGATCGGGGTTGCCCGATGCCCATAGGCTGCCCAATATTGACACTGCCCTACAGACGTGCCTTTTACCGCGCTTCCATATCGCATGTAAAACAGCGAACCATTAGCCCTACTCATTGTGCATTCTTGCTTCTCAGTAGCTGTAAGGTATGGTTGGGTTAAATTACCTAGCTAGTAAATCCCTACATCACGATACTCGACCGTCAAACTTGACAAAGATTAGAACTCCCCCATTCCTTGCTCTCTCATTATAGAGATACAATAACTGATGAGATGAACATTTTTCAGCCCCATGACTTGAACAGTTGATTGGTATGCCTAGCATCATTTGTCATATGTCTACTCTGTCCCGTGTATTGCCTTTATCAAGCGTCATGAGCGTTCACCGCTTGCAAAGTCTTAAGTGTGTAAGTTGCCTTGTCGCTTTTTGTCGTCATCCCATTCCTCAACAAGACAATATGCAGCGTTGTCTCACTCCTAGGAGATAATGTTTGCTTTCATCACTTTCCGCATATGATTCTGTCCTTAGCTGTCGCGTTTTCAAAGACAGGGCAATTCTCCAATGCCGATTAAGCGCGTATGACTAGGAGCGTATTGAGACACTTGCCAAGCTACCTACGTCTCTTCGACATCGCTGATGAGAAACCCCAGGACACCGGTATTCTCGCCGGAAATGGAGGTGGTCATGGGGTAAAGGATAACTAGGAGACTTTCGATATAGATCGTGATAACTATATATACTCCTTGAAGAGAAGCTCATGATCCCATTGAAAGCAGAACACTTCATCTCACAAACTTCAATCTATCAACCATTTTTCAATCTTCTAGACTTTTTTATCCTACTACGAACAAAATGTTCTCCTATCTTGCCGGTCTTGCTACCCTCCTTGCTGTCGCGACAGCCCAGATCACCACCCCCTGTACTTACCAGGAGTATGTGTGTGGTTCGACTCTGATCGCCGGTGGTAAGTTCTACTTCTCCATTACACTCTTATGAATCCATAGGCTAAGCTTTCCATAAAGGATACACTGCTGCTGCCGAACTGAGAGCAGCTTATGATCTCAACCCCGATGCTCCCACCATTACGGATGCCCAGCTGGGCCAGGTCCTCTTCCGCTGCATCGACCAAGCCGGTGGCATTGTCGGCAACTCTTACTGCATTGTCAACTGTGCAGTGATTGGCGACGACACCGTCAACGATATGTGCACTATGTAAGGTGGAGTGGTTTTATTGCGATGGTCGCTGCGATGGCCAGAGTTTGGAAATTGCAACTGAGGAGGGCGCGAGGATTTAGAGCTGGGGAATTGCGATAGTGCTACTACTCTTTTTTCCCCATGTTGTGGGTTTTTTTTAATGAGAGCAGCGATTTTTGAAATCTTCCGTGTTCACTTCCTACCTATGTCTCTTTGATTGATTATTCTAGTCCGTCCGTGACAGTATCGTGCACAAACATCACCCTAGATCACAGGATGTCCATCAGCTATGGTGGGAGCTCTGTTTGTATTCTACGGGATACACGAGTTGGATGAGTTCCCATCTCAAGGGGTGGCCGCAGCGAATACCTATACTTGACGGCATAGATTCCAACAATCGAGCTACTCTTCAAGTCCGTTGCCAGCTCATCGATATATACTAATTCCCTGAAGAAGTAGAGTAAAAAGAAGTCGTCTGATCACTGAGCTCATTTCCTCCTCGAAACTGAAAGCGTGCAAGTACATTTAGTCATTGTCATTGAAGGTTTGCAGTGTTCAGTATGGCCATGTTGTTCGACTACCCAGATAAGGAACGAGTGTGTCGCGTGGGAGTCAAGAACAGGAGACGGTCTACGAGCCTACGCGGGAGTTTCACCTTCACTGGATGGAACATAACCCCAGCAGTCACATTCTGCCCATGGCGAGAGAATATACAGAACAGTTTATGCCAAGTGAAGGTGACATAAGTTGCATTAGCTAAAGTTTTCATTCAAACATCATCCTCGCCTATATAATCTTAGAAATTCTGCACCACCAAATAATCCTTATTTATGACCCGTTTCGCCGGTTCTGAAGAAGGGCCTCGGAGCTAGAACTAGAAAAGGTTCGATAGCTTACATGACGCACTGGTCGTTGACCAGAGTACCGTTCATATCGATGCAACCCGCAAAGCAATAAGCATTGCCGACGATCCCTCCGCTGATATTGATGCAACGGTAGGTGACCTGAAGAAGTAAAACGTCGGGGAGAGGAGGGATAGATGGTGTGCTGGCGACCGCGGCGGCGAGCTCGGTGAGGTTGTAGCCTATAGTTGTAGCAGAAGCATGAAACGTGAGACTGGTATTCATTCAACAAAGACGATATGGCAGAGAGTTGGTTTAGTTACCATAGTCGTTGAGTAGATTGAAGCCACACTTGTAACTCTGGTAAATACAAGGGTTGGTAAACGCCCGGACGCCAGAGGTTAAGCAGAGCGCTGCGGCAAAGAGAGGAACCCAGGTACTATACATCTGATCTCTTGTTGAAATGACCAAGATGAAAGAGAAAGACCTTGCGTTGGAAGTTCGGCTCTGGGTATTGTTTTTAGTACTAAGGTAATGGATAAACTAGGGCGATGCTGGCTTTATGTACTCAGTTGACTCCTTGGTGTGTAGCATGGTTCTCCAAGACAAGTTGTTCTCACTTGCATCCATGAATCCACAGGTAAAGGCCTGGGCTTATATTACACTTATAAGGTGAGAATGATATAAATAGACGAAATGTATCCTCTCAAATATTGGCACCTCTGCTAGCACTTGGGACAGGGAGCTATTATAATCTGGTTTACAGTTGTGTACCAACATAGAGCCTGTAGATTCCTTATCACATGAGGAAATATAAGCTTGTCTGGGCCAGAAAGATATCATGACGAAGCCAAGAAGCCAAGTTAATGCCATGAATTACATTGTATGGAGTGTTTCGAATTCTCGCAGCGTTCAGGAATAGGCAATTAATGAGTGCCGGGTTGCCCAAGGAACAGATCTCTCTGCGTGCGGGCTGGCTGGCATGCAAGGGCGAGCATGGGTATGACCAGCCGCAACCTCAGATTTTGCTCCAATGACTCGATGACCAAGTCACCTACGACAGACGTCATTGATCTCTACTCCATGGCACGCATAATACTATGCTGAGCGGCTGTTGCCCTGGCGAAATCGAAACACAATGTCTTTCGAGACGTGAAATAATCTAAGCCTCACCTTTCCATGATACTCTACACCTGCGGGACGCCCCCATGACAGGCAGAATGGAGATGCGTTGGGATAGATCTGAGTCTTTAGGATCTGGTGTATTTAAGATGCAAATTTATCTGTACCTCTTTATCTGCTTCGTTGCATCTCATCTTGCCACTATCCCCAAAAGCTCAGCTCTAGGGCACTTGACCGTAGAACTTTACAAAAGGGTACGGAGGTGCAGCAAAGAAGCAGATATATCAGCCACATTGCGGCATGGCATCTTCTACATGCGCTCATGTTGCAGAATCCAGCTTGAACTGCGTTTTGCAACGCTCATGATGTTCGCAGTTTTATCCACCTCATGAATTCCTGAAAGTCGGGCCGACCGATCAAACAACCCGGGAGCGTGTGACTTTATCCGAGACAATCCCGCTGTTGAAGACGACTGACTTAACATCTCGATGGCTTCTGAGACAGACCGCTGTAGGCTAGGTGCGTACTGCTTGCAGCGGGACTGATCCAGTTGAGAAATGGAAGCATATGAATCTTCTAGCTTTCTGTGTTTATGTTGACTCTCCCCAAAAGTCTTCGATCTGTTTCCGGGGTAATGGGACTTCGATCTACACTGAATAGTTTGCGGCTTCCATCTTATCATGGTTGATGTATTTATAGGCGTCGATTTCATGAACAGTGACAAAAGCAATGCACTTAGTATTTTCGCTTCTAATCTCTTCTTGCGCTCTTCTCTAACATCTGTCTCTGGTGTTCGAGAGTGAACTTGTTCAGCTTCAGAGTATTCACTTCTTCACATCTTACATATCGGCCAACGACCAGTCTCATACGGCCAACAGACAAGCATGCGGTTACCCGCCAAAGTATCGGCGCTGTTGCCTCTGCTGAAGGTTACTGACTTGGAGCCTCCTTGCGCAGAGGGGGGTGTCGAGTCAGCGGACGTTGGGTGAGTCTGATATCCGTCCTCCTCTCCATTGTATGCATGTGTCTGCCGGAGAATAAAAGTGCTTACAACCAACGTTGTTTCAGAGCGGCCCCCAAGACCAACAACCAGCCTCAGTTCATCCTCCAGCTAGACGAACTACGTCCCAAAAGATTAACACCTTCCTATCTGTTCCCAAAGGGAACATGTACAGAGTGTCAGTTTGCAACATTCTTCTCACTGAAAGGCGACCGGTTGTTTGCAGACGGAGAGCTGGTAGCGACCAACGAGGGGACGACACACCAGCCTCTCCTCGAGACACCGAGCACCGCAGCCATCGACAATGGGTTCTCTCTCGAGGAGGGCATCCTTCAGTGGCGGCATCCGAGCTTTACTGGCGGGAAAGCTAGCTTTTGCTTATCAGAGTCGAATACGGTTGTCGCTGTGTTCAATGAGACAAGCATACCGACTGACTGTGCACCGGCGAATCTTGTCAATGTGCCATGTAAGTTTGTTGCACCAAAGCAAATTTCTCCAACATTGGCTCATGCGTGTTATAGATGCCAGATGTTTCCCGTCGACTGAATCGATAAATGTATTGGTCATAGACGATGACAATTCTGGGTCTTCTCAACGAGCTGCAGGAAGCTCAAGGGAAACCGGCAGCCCGGCCGGGGCGAATTGGCTGGATGCTAAGCCGGATGTCGCCGAACATGGTTATGGCAGAGGTTCCGCTGGGCCGGGTCAGCCAAGTCCTCCGCCTCCTGTTGATCGGACTAGCTACAACTACAACTACAACTACAACAACGACGGGGGACGGGGTTCAACAACACCCCCAAGTTCAGTTGCCTACGGGGGTGAATACAATTACAACAAGGGTGGACAGGGTTCAACAATACCCCCAAGCTCTGTTGGTTCTGGGGCCAACTACAACGACAACAATGGGGGACGGGAATACACAGCACCCCCGAGCTCCGATGGTTACGGAGGAAACTACAACTCCAAAGACGGAGGATGGAGTTCCACAACACCCCCGAGCTCCGTTGACCACAAGGGTAGCCACAAACATCATGATTCCGCTTCAAGTCCTACAGGTTCCTCAGATCGGTCAGGGCCTGCTGGAATAGATGGATGGGACGGAAGGGATGGAAAAGATGGTGATGATGGAAGAGACGGTGATGACGGCAATGACGGCGATAAGGGGGCTGATGGAGTCGATGGCAAAGACGGCAATGACGGGAAAGATGGTGACGATGGGAGAGATGGCAGGGACGGCAGGGACGGCAGGGACGGTGTCCCGGGCCCTCCTGGGCCACCTGGTCCGGCCGGTCTCTCAGGTCTCAACGGGTTTAATGGGTTGAACGGTGCGGCTGGACCAATGGGCCCTGAAGGTCCTGCCGGTGCCGATGGTGCCGCTGGTCCTGCCGGTCCCGCGGGTGCCATTGGGCCAGCAGGAGCTGATGGAGCTCGTGGGCCTGCTGGAGCCGATGGTGCTCCTGGTCCTGCAGGTGCGGCAGGGCCTCAGGGTGTGGCTGGACCTCAAGGTCTTGCTGGTCCTGCAGGGGCCGCTGGGCCTGCCGGAGCTGATGGTGCTCCTGGTGCTCAAGGTGAGCCTGGGCCTCAAGGAGAAATTGGACCCCAAGGCCCTATCGGCCCCCAAGGCCCTCCTGGCGACGGGACGGCGGGCTTTTCTGGCCAGTACGGTTATCTCGGCTGCTACATCGCGAGCAACGATGGCAACTACGGCCTCACTCCATACGCTTCACAGCAGGTTCTCACGACCTCGATCGACGACTGCGCCGATATCTGCTATGGTACGGCCTCGGGCCCGTCACTGTACTTCACCCTCGGAACCGACGCCGCCACAGGCGATTCCATCTGCACTTGTGGAGACGTTCTTGTTGCCTACAATTACCCAAATACCGGGCTCGAATTTCAATGCAATACACAATGCAACTTTCCGAGCAATCCGACAACAGAACAATTTTGCGGTGGAGCGTATAATGGAATTCCTACTGTTTCTCTCTTTGGTGCTATATAAACACGACTTCTAGTACTATATAAACACGACTTCTAGTACTATTCTACTTGTTATAATTCTAATACTACATTTTTATGGCTGGAAGAGATTTTTGAGAAAGTGAAGGCCAAAACAACAAGCGGAATTATAACTCTACGATACATGGGTAGAGATATACAGCATCCAGCTGAGGCTGATGGACCTAAGTGAAAACCTTTGCTGCTCATACAGACAGTCCAAACGCAGAATCGACAATCCTACGATAAATACACCTATCTTTCCGTAATGCTCATGTCCCATGTGCGGTGGCTCCTCCCGAACATCGGCTGTGCCACTGGACTTTAACGGGCGTACCACGTATTTTGGGGTTTTACGTGGCCTATCAATTTGATCGACCAATCCTTTAGAAAGCTTACAACGACGTCTCAATCATGGCACAAAAGGCCCAGAAAGGCATCAAATCCCGTCGTCAACGTCAACCAGATGAAGGTGAACCGCAAGAGAGCCAAGTGAGACCGACCACATTCCAAGAGGTATCAGGACCATATTTTGTTCCACCATGAATGCAAACAGGGGCTACTGTTTCGAATGCGAACGAAAAGCATATGAATCAAAGTCTCAGTTAGGCATTGGACAGCATAGATTGCCCTACCATGTCTTCCCCGTCCCCAGGAAACAGGTTTGGGTGTTCCATTCTTCGCCCCGGAGGACACCAACAGAAATTAGCAGAAGCGCGGCGTGTGCTGTTTCTGGCTCTTGCGGAGTAGCGACACAAGGGGAGGTACACGCTTACGGACAAGAATAGCGACTGTCCGCGAGGTCGGCTGTAGATTGACAGCTTAGAGTCTACGTCGATTCGAGCCCTGTGGTGTTTCCTATGTGATTCGAAGGCTGAAAACAAACACGGGGCCTAAGGAATGGGAAAAATCTCAGAAGCGCTGTTTAGCCCTGCGATCAGACACCTGACGCCGTGTGTACGAGCGCACAGAGAGCTCCGTGTGCATGCAATCTTCAAACAGCAGAAGAACCATACGCAGACGGACAGCACTGATGTCTTGCAAGTTGTGATGGACAGGACAGGCTTGGAGTGTTCAAGGGAAGACTTTCCAGAACTCGTTTCAATCCGGATAGCACGCGTTTCGGAGTCTTTTTCTTGACAGAGGAGCCACACGGGAGATGTACTTCCGATAACAAAACCTTGGGAAGGCATGTCGGAGTGTGAAGAGTACACTCCTAGTAGCAGACGATTCGGCAAAAGGCACAACTCTCCTTCATGTTGTCATGTTCTAGGGCAAAGGAGGCAAAAGCAGTCGCTGTAGAAGAAGAAAGAGAAGCTCGAATGACGAACAGTGTCACCTAATTTTGAAGACTACCAAGTCAGCTTAGATGGAAGACAACTTGATATCCGGGGGCATCATGCGTTGTCTCGTAACCTTGTTTAGGACCCTGTGATGGGGCTCAGGATAGGAGAAATGTTGCCGACCTGCAGATGTGGCAAGGCTGAAGGTACTGAAAAGGGGGCCTTTTGTCTGGAAGATGACTCTGTATTCATGATGACAGAGTTAAAATTGATTGATGTCGTTTCTTCATCCGGCCTTCGTAAATCAACCACCAGGATCAGGCATCTCGTGCTAGGTCTTGCATTCAGCTCTGTTCGAGCAGATTTGGCTCATTTGGCGTCCATTGGCCGGCCTCTGGAGAGTGTCTTCTTCCTTCTCCTTGAACAAAGTGAGGAAATTTGGGAAAGAGAAAGGTTAAGCAAATTGATAACGAAAAGACAAGAATAGCTGCAATTAGAGCGCAGTCGTTTTGACCAGCCAATTTAACCGCGTCATCCGAGGACTATCTCTGTTGGCGGAAATGAAAGGCCGATTCCAACGTGTTGCATAAGCTGCGCGTCTTCTTTGCATCTCACCCACCACCCGCGGCTTCGGTTTAAAGCGGGATTGCTTTCTCTTTTGCTCAGTCCTTTGGGAATCGCGGCTTCTGGAACACTGATGGGTAGCATCGATGAATAGTAATTGGACATCGTTGAGTGCCAGGCTCTCCAAATGACCCCGGTCATCTCATCCGCGCCATTATTGAGCCATGACAGCGAGACCCCCACAGCTCACGTTGCCATGTTCGTCCACTATTAATTGCTGGGATCCGGCTTGAATCCTTCCAGCAAGGCGTGGTACCCATGAGAAAACATTCGAGGAGACAAGGGATGGAGGGGGGAAGAGCCGTGCGAGACGTACTGCTATCATTCGTACGGCGTGTCAGCGTTGGTTTTTGCGGGGGGTTAGTCTGTCTGTGCTTTGTGCAGGATGAGACGACAAATCTCTTCCCGAGCTATTGTCGTTTGTTGGAAGCCATGAGGTTTGTAACTCATCTGCCAGTGAACACGTGCGAACCAACTCTTGTCAGGACAGTGGTTTCGATGTCGCCAGTCAAGAGAATCACCAGAGTCAGCGTCTCCAAAACAGAACAGCCCAAGCAACATGCGCCATTACTTGCACAGACATGCCATGTCTGTATCTGTAGTACATAGTAGCAGGAGATAAGAACGGCTGTTATGCCCGCATGTGGCCGCTCTGCCGTCGTCGTTATCAGCACTCTCAGACCCTCCCAAACGGGCCTCGCACCTCACCCAACGATGCTATCACGCAACCGAGCCCACTCACCTCCCTCCATATCAAGGGACCTCTTCAAGATGCCAAAACGGGCACGACGAGCATGGGCTCAAAAGCTGGGGTGCCGCCGCCGTGCGTCGAAACCGACAAATCAGCGCCTGTCGCCACCATGCCTTTGGATTGCGCCAAACGTTGCCTCTGTGCCGCATTGCCGGTCGATTGCGTCTCGTGCTTGAGAAATATGGTCGAGACGCTGGCAAGATGTGTTTGATGGTCTTCCATTTGGGATGAATGCCGTTGGGACCAGAGCTCAAGTATCGAAATTGCCATCCTGTCATTGGCCTGTAATATGCTCAAGCGAGGTTGTTCGACGTCCGGAGGCTTCGTATATTGTACATGTTGTTGCTCCTTGGTGAAAAATAACAGGGTCGTGATATGCATGTTGCGTATGTAGGCTGATGGTTGGCTCAAGGTTGTCCATGTTGTTCCCCGTCCTTCTCTCGATCGTCGAGCTGGGATGCGGCGTTGCATTTGCTGTGGTGCATTCGGGGACACTGCATACACAATGTTAAATGTTGATTTTAGAGTTATAAGGCCGTTGATCCATTGAAAAGAAGGTCCAGTTCGTGGAGAAGGACAGGGCGGAGGAGAGAAGGGGGGGGGATGGAGGCAACGCAGCAGATACTGGCCCCCCATTACCCAAGCAGGGAAATGCAACGGTCATCTTCCCTCCGATGTACTCCCTCCATCGCATATAGAGACAGGAATCGTAGCATTGGATTATTCGGGAACTTTTGTTTCACGTATAGCCTAGCCTCGGGCTTAATCCCCTGACTCGCCAGCCAACTGGTTTTGTCGACTCGGCTTTCGTTCAGGAAAAGGCGTGATAGGGAATCGTTCCTTGAGATGCGTGTGTGTTGTTCCACCCCGGGAGGATGCCTCATTGCGGGCGAGACTAGGGTGCACAGCTGATGCGATGGTGCTTGTTTGTCTCTGTGATACATAAGTATGGTTGAGGCTGCCGTGAGAGTTGAGCTCGAGGGCAGCAGTGTCGTGAGGAAATAGACACCTCAGACCTCACGTCTCTCAGCTGAAATAATACCGTGCTGCTCCCCAAAGGGTTGCTTGGATAATCCGCCCTCGATGAGTATGTCCTGCCTCGATATCCTGAACCCGATATAGTACCAGACTTGCTCACCAGACAAACCCACAAACACAGACGCAGACCACGTTGCCGACGGTCCCACGCACGAGCGTGGCACCGCAGAGATCCTCTCCGGCGTGGCCCCGATCGAAAGCGAGGAGCTCGGCGTGACTCTCGACAGGCTACATGAAGACATCGAAAAGGCTCCCCTGGAAGGCCCCGATGGCAGAGAGCCGACTGAGGAGGAAAAGGTGTCGCTCCGCAAGGTTGCCGGCTCTATCCCCACCATCTCGTGGGTGCTCTGCGTGGCCGAACTCGCTGAGCGTGCGAGTTACTATGGCGCCAGTCAGGTGTTCAACGACTTCATGCAGTTTCCTCTTCCCAAGGGGGGCAACGGCAGCGGAGCCGTCCCGAAGGACAATCCCAATGGTCATGCTGGCGCATTGTAAGTAATGGAAGGATGCCAGTGGTTCATGATGGGAGCTACTCACATTTGAAGAAACATCCACGAGCTGATGGCTGACTTCTGCTGCTCAGGAACGAGGGCCTCCAGTTTGCGTCTGCGTTCAGCACGCTCTTCACCTTCTTGGCCTATGTCTTTCCAATTCTCGGAGCGTACATCGCCGACACGCGTCTCGGAAGATTGTGAGTGCAATGCCTGGACGTTATAGAAGGGATCAGAAGCTGACCGGCCTCCTCCCTTCAGCAAGACGATCCTCCTCGGTGTCACTATTGGCGCCGTTGCCCACGTCATCATGATTGGCGGCGCCGCTCCCTCTCTCCTCAAGGCCGGCAAGGGCCTCGCGCCCTTCATCATCTCCTTCTTCACCCTGGCCATTGGAGCCGGCATCTTCAAGCCCAACGTGGCGCCGACCGTCATCGACCAGTACACGAACCAGCGGCCGGCCATCAAGACGCTCAAGACGGGCGAAAAGGTCATCATCGACCCGGAGCGAACGATCCAGCGCGTGATGCTCATCTTCTATGCCATGATCAATGTCGGCGCCTTCTTCGCCATTGCGACCACGTACACCGAGAAGTACGTCGGCTTCTGGCTGTCTTTCCTGCTGCCGGGCATTGTGTACTTCTTGCTGCCCTTCCTCTTGCTGGGCGTATATAAGAGGCTCGTCATCAAGAAGCCCAACGGGTCCGAGCTGACCAACTTCTTCAAGATTGTCTGGGCCAGCCTCAAGTATAACAAGTTCCAGGTCTGGAAGAAGGACTATTGGGCCGTTGCCACCCCGTCCAAGCTGGCTGAGCGCGGAATCCAGGTGACGTGGACGGACCGCGCCGTGCTGGATGTTCAGCGTACCTTTGAGGCGTGCGTCATCTTCCTGTACTTCCCCATCTACAACATCAACGACGGAGGCGTGGGAGCGGTGCAGTCGAACCAGGGCGCGTCCATGACCAACAACGGCGCCCCGACTGATCTGCTGGGCAACTTCAACCCCCTCACCATCATCGCCGTAGCTCCCATCCTCTCATATGGCGTGTATCCGCTGCTGGCCAGATACGGCATCAAGTTCGGGCCCATCCGCCGCATGACGTTCGGCTTCATGCTTGCCGCCATCTCGGGAGCCATCGGGGCCATTGTGCAGTGGCGCGTGTATGAGACGAGCCCCTGCGGCTACGAGGCCAGCACTTGTGACGATGTGTCGCCCATCAACATCTGGTGGCAGATCCCCAACGTCGCCCTCGGTGCCATTTCCGAGCTCTTCTGCAACGTGACGGCGTACGAGATGGCGTATGCGCGCTCTCCGCCTCACCTCAAGTCGGTCGTCATGTCTCTCTTCTTGTTTACCACCGCCTTGTCGAGCGCTCTCGGCGAGATTCTGATCCCGGCCATCGTGGACCCGCATCTGATTGTAAGTTGAACCAAGCAGGGATATTGAGAAATCGCGACGAGAGAACAGCTTTTGCTAACTGCGTTGGTGTCGTGTAGTGGGTTTGGGCTGGCCCAGCCATTGCCCTCTTTGCCCAGACCATCGTCTTTTGGATTCGGCACCACAAGCTCGATGACGACGTTTACATGCTGGAACAGGAGACGCCGACTCAGTCGCAGGCTCAGTTGACGCAAACAACAGACCTGGAGCCGGGACAGGAGAAAGTGGTCGGAGACGGCGAAAAAGCGTAGTTTCGTGTAGCTAGACTTGCGGGAAGCTGGAGGAGTTGCAAATCCATATCACTTACACCAGATTGCCATGGCTGACGCCTGCAGCGATATCATAAGATACAACAAGCGCTGTGTATACCTCATGTACAGTAGAGTTGAGAAAAGAAGTAAACGTATAAGTAAATGAACCAGTGCAGAGAAGCAAAGGCACGACAACGATGGAAGAAGATGGATTCCACAAACGACGTTAATTTCGAAGAAGCGGACCAAAGGCGACCACGGAGCGAGCCGCCCTTTCAATGTAAGTAAGTACATGTATGTAGGCAGGATGGCCCCGAAGCCGCCTCGGCATCGGGTTCGGCTTCGGCCAGTCCCTTGAACGGAATAGCCCCGGAAGCGACCGGTGTGACGAACGCTGAATGGTAGGGTGATGAAAGTCCTGGATCCTAATGAGGCTCAGATCTTTAGCAATAATGGCTAAGAATTGCAGGATTCGGTGGCTCGGTTGACATACCCGTGCCGTTCGTCGCGATGCGTGTGTGGAGAGGCTGGATGGTTGCATATGCGGCGAGTGAGTCATCGATGGCTGTTGAAATTCATCGCATTTCACCTTTTGTGGTATGGCAGGCCAAGGTGGATGGTGAGGCCGAGGCAGGCATTATACGTTTATTTTGTGAAGGCATCATGAAAAACAAGGTGTGTGCGACAACATCTTGACAGAAGATCTAGAAGTCCAAGGTCCGACTACGGCAGAGCCTGTCGCTCGAGACCAATGACTGGTGAAAGCCCAGACTCCATGGCCCAGTTGTTCTCGTGTTCAACTACCCAGCTCGAGTCGCATTGCTGCCTGGTGGTTACAGATAGTAGTCGAATAGATAGATAGGTAGGCAGATGGCTTCTTGCATTGAAGTATGCCTACTGCTCTTGATAATGGCGAACTGACGAGACAGTCACTCTCTCAATGTGCAACAAAGCCTTACACGATGCATGTCTAGCCCTTGCTCACAGCTTGGTTTGCCTAATCTGGAAACAAAATGGCTGTGCATCCAAGTCACGGGATGTCTCGTAAGAGCCACCACCCAGCCCGTCATCATGTAAGATGTCATCCGCAGCCTACATTCTCTTATCGCCCTCCGCGTGTTCGTCCACGGACTGGAGGCAAGGCTGTGCAAGGCTACCAGTGCAGAGTGAGTTGGACCCCTAACACCCTGTGCTACGGGTTACGATCGTGGGCTAGACGCGACATTCCCACATGTAGTTGAGCCTGTAGGGGTCCTCAGCTGCTTGCGCTGGCCCCCAGCATGTTCCCCATAGAACTATACCGTCGAACCTCATTTCCAAAACCAACGCAGGGCTGCTTCTGGATTCGTGTACCCGTTCCCTTCAGACACGACACGTGCTTGATGTTGGTTGCCAACGACCCGATCACGCAACCAACGGCTGGCTACATTGATTTAAACTAGCGAGCGGGATCGACCGGTTGGCGGAAGACGCTGAGCGGCGCCACAGCCGGATTCAAGCATTCGTTGGGGTCAAACAGGGTACGAGGTGTAAGTCATCAAGGTCGGACAAGGTGAGGGGCCGCAAGAGGGGGAAGCCCGGGCGTCAAGAGAAGGGGAACTGAGCAGGGAGCACATCTCAGACACATATTCAACTCCATCACACACACCCCGTGGCCACGATGCCACCAAAGCCAGACGCTGGTAAGCCTCAGCAAGAGTGCTGGGAGTGTCTCCGCCGCTATCTGGCCTGTGACGGCCGTCGCCCCGTCTGCGAATGCTGCCGCTCGGCCGGGATAGTATGTCCCGGATATGAAGACCGTCGGCCGCTGACTTGGGTGACGCCGGGCAATATTACCGTTACCCGTGTTCGGAGGGCCAAGACGACTTCAGCTGCGGCGCTGACACCTGCCGCTTTCAAGAAGCGTCGCTGTCGAGAGCGCCCACGGTTACCATCGCCTGCTTCGGAGGAAGGGGTCCCCAAGACGAGTCCGGGGGCAACGACCGCTGCCTCATCAAGGGACGATGGCAAGGCCACTGAGGATGACGACGACCCAGATGTGGCCAGTTCGGGTGACCAGAATGACGATGGCGGTACAGTCGAGGATAATGAAGAGGGAGGCGTCGATGACGGAGAGGGAACTATCAGCAGCGAAAAACAACAGTCTACCGCATTGGCGGCCACTACGCCTCAAACCCCGACCACAAGTCATGCTCTCGTCCCGCATAGAAGCAAAGACATCATACCAACTATTCGACAAAGCGTCAATTGCATCCCCATCAGCCTACAACAGGACGAGTTTGAACTCATGGAGGCCGTAGAATACTGTGTGTCTATCCAATATAAGGAAAAATCCAGCAAGGAAGCGAGAAACTAACCATACGGAGCAGACAACCATCACATATTTCCCGTCATCAGCTCCAATCAGATCATACCCAATGCTTATGCAAAACGCTTCGACAAAAACCGAGTCGCTGAGCTCAACCCCTCCAACCGCCACGCCCTCATCTCCATCTCCATCGGCTTCCGCATTCTAGCCGTTGCCCAGATCCATCGCCTGAGCATCAATCCACGCGTTGTCGGCCCCGCGAGTGACTTGTGGACGTCCTTTTTCCGACATGTTGGCCTTGCCATGGCGGCTCTAACCGACGAGATCCGGCAACATCCCAAGCGGTACTTGGCCAACATATTCCGCAGCATTCACCTCATAGCTAGCTCCGAGGTAAAGGCTTGTTTGAGCTCCTTGTATCAAAGGGACTCTGTGCTGATCGTGTGCTGCGCAGCTTTTCCTACTCAACTCACCCCATTGGCGGGCTCATGTGAGCGGCTTCATGGCCATCTTACAGGAACAGGGGGGGCTGAGCACATTCATCCAAGATCCGGGTGCCTCAAAATACATAATGCTCAGCTTTCTGGTGTAAGCTCTCCCCCCTCTCCTTCGATACAATATATCTTTTCGTATCTAACCCTCCAAACAGTTCATGCATCGTGGCAAACACGACGAGCTCGCTGCAGAATCAGATCATTCAAGTCACATGCTTGGACCCCAAAGAGCTCTATAGCCTTTATAAAGTCATCATATACCCACCGTTCCTCTGTCCGCCAGATCTGTTCCTCGACATACTCTACATCAACCGTCTACGACTACAGCTCCCAACAACCTCGGTTATATACTCTTTGCCCTCAATTCAAGTAACCGTGTGCGATATTCTAAAGCATATACACGATTTCTCGCCGTTGGGATGGATTGAATCATGCGGCTTTGTGAATCCCGATGGGCTACTCTTACTATCAAGCATATACCAAGCGGCAGTCGCCCTATATGCAATTCTAGCACTGCCTTGCACATCAAGATTTCACGTCAAAAGGTCATGCCACGATCTGAAACAGACGTACCGAGCCCAGCTCTTTAACGCATTGAAAGCGGCGGTTGGGTCGTCTGTCCGCATACACAGCATATACTGGCCCGTTGTCGTAGCCGGCGTGGCTGCATCGAGCGGAACAGTCGAAGAACGAGTGTTGGTGGAGGAACATCTCAAGACGGGCATCAACGATCCGTTTTCCGGTGCGGGATCGCTGAAGGCGTTGGCGATGTTGAGGAGAGCTTGGGCGTTTGGGTTGACTGAATGGGATGAATTCTTCAGCGAGCCAAACGTCATATTATTTTCCTGAATTTTCCTGAAACCGTAAGAGACGCTGATGAGCGAGATATCGTACATTATACCGTGACACTACTTGGTCTCTCTGCGCTCTTGACTCTGGCTTGGTATAGTGGCGTCCTTCTTCCCTTCCACTCAAAGTTACTCCTCATGGCCAGCTTCTTTGTCATGAGCGGTCCTCAACTCATCGAGGTACTCTGTTTAGATCTAGGCAGCACCGTTCTGCAATTACATCTCCATGCACATGCCTTGCACAAATCTGTTTGCCTCGAAGCTAGTCATCAAGCAACAATATTCACATCGACATAAAAGGCCTCGTCAACTTTCACCTCACATCAACCCATTGTGCCTGACACCATGAATCAGAAAGCAAATTTCCTTCGGCCTCAAAAACAACAGACAACAGCTTTCAATACCCTCTCAATGACCCAACGAGCCACCTTTGCCGACTCCCCCCAAACATACCAGGCCACCCTACGCAGCCTCTTCACCGGCGACCCCCAAGACACCGAAACAGACCTATCCAAGATCTTTTCTCCCACGTTTCATTTTACCGCCGCCGCCGAAAAGTACGACTTTGCTGGCTTTGTCGAGCACATTCGGCGTCTGCGCGAGATGAAGCTTTCTGTGGACCTCACGACGGTGGAGTTTCTGCGTGATGGGGACCTGCTCGCCGAGCGACATGTCTCGACCACGATCTTACAGAGTGGGAAGAGGATGTCCTCTGAGACCTTTATGTTTGCCGGAATTGCTGAGGATGGTAGAATCGATTGGATCAAGGAAGCCGTTCAGTCGATTGAGGGATGAGTGAGACTCCGAATAGGGGGTTGTTACATCTTCTTGGAGGGTGTGGAAAGGCGTCGTTAGTTTCGTACATATAACACATGCTTCTTCATATAGTACATAATGGGTGCACAGTGACAACCCTGATGATCGTGACCCTCATCAAATGTTCAACTGAAACCCATCCATGGAAACGCTGACCATGGCATCGAACTGAGCCCAACCCGTCATCTCGGCCAGCGAATCCGTCGGCGTCACATAGATATCGCCAATGCCACCCATGTCCGTCATATTCGCCCCCAGCTCCGCAACACCCATTCCGCCATCGTCAGCCGTCCCGAATGCATCGGTGCCATTAGCTGCGTTTGCCATGGCAGCGGCTTGTCTCTGCGTGGGCGATCGTGCATTATTGATCTGACCCTGCTTCGTCTGTCTGAGCGCTTCGAGACGAAGCTCTTCTAGCACGAGACAGTATCGCGCCACGAGCGATCCGTCCTCGGCGAGGTTCGACAGCTGGTCTTGACATCGGGTGGCGGCTGCGAGATAGCCCGAGTATGATTCCGCGGGCTCGTTGCTTTTCTGGATGGTGTAGACATAGAGAATGACTGCAGCAGAAAAGGCGAAATATGAGGTAAACTACAGGGCATCAGAGTCAGTCCTCTGCAAAGTTCAATGTTGTATGCCTCAACGCTTCAGGCTCACCCAGTATGCTCGGAAAAGCTGCCCTCCCCGATACATGTCATCAACAGTTTTGGTAATGTTCATGGCCGCTTTCAAGCATTCATGAACACTCTGCTCTATTCGAGCCTCAAACTCGCGATCATCACGCCGCGGCCTACTCCCATTCTGCAGCTGCGCAAAGTTGCGAAGCAGAAACGGCCGGTGAGTGAGAATCATGGTATGCCAGTACGCCAGATTCAGCACGTTCTTCTGGCGCTGGAAGATGGGTATCAGGGGCATGTTGGTCACGGGATCGAGGAAGTGGGCGACGTCTGCGCGCCACTCGACGAGCTCCTTTGTGTGGATGGTGGCATATGCGTGCTTGTCGTTGCGAGAGGTGGAGTGAATGGAGTAGACGTTGCGGAGAATCATGCTCAGGATGCGAGACATTCTGATCCTGGTCAGCTTTCACGGGCTTGAACAATGCGAGGCTGACGTGTATCCTTACTTGGCATATGCAACGGGTCCTAGCATCACTGACTGGCCGTGGGTGCTGCCCGGGCTGATGTTATCACCATGAATCTGGTGGTCGTCTACACAAGATGGCAGCTCTTGGTCAATATCGTCATCATGAAACGTCCGCGGCCTTCCCAACGCCATGCTCAGGTAGTTATCCAGGGCATAGGCACTCCAGAAGGTCCTTCTCCGGCATTCAACCTCGACACGGTCGATGCGATCTGCATGACGCTTTCGATGTAAGCCAATGGCATAGGCAAGACGGGCAGCGGTGCCAAAGAGGTTCCAGCAGTGGTTGATGCGCGACTCGGACAGCAGCCAGAGACACTGCAGCAGTCGGGCTTGGATGCTTGCAAGGCGAATGGCTCCCTGTTCTCTGGACAAGAGCTGATGTGCCGCAAGAAAGTATCGGACACTGGAGTCACGGGTGAGATAAAGACCACACATATAAGAGAGAAGAGAGGCATACATACCTGACGTCGGCATCATCAGAAGTTGGCCGCGGGCTCATGTGCGCCTGGGCAAGAGCAAATACCATGAACAAGACGGCCGTCCGAGTCGATGCATCCTCGCGATTGTGCATCCTGCCCTTGGTCTCATACAGCTCATCCAGCCACGCCTCTATCGTCTGTTGATGAAGGAACCTGTCCACGGGAACGGCAAAGTCAAAGTACCTCTGCACAAGCCGCGTGGTGTCACTCCGCGACAGCATCATGTACAGCGTCGGGTCAAAGTACGGTGCCTCTGTCTGCATAGAGTCAAGATAGGGCAGGGGCGCATCGCCAAAGGTGAAGATGGACGACCCCTGCGGAAAGGACACGAACTGGTCCAGCCGCTTCTGAATCCGCAGCAGGAACGAGACGCCGGACGAAGGCCCGACATAGTGGCCCTCGAGATCCGTCTGCACAGGCTCCGGCGAGGCCCGTGACAGCGGCTCGGTGCCGGGCTGGACGTGGGGGTCCCCGAGGGCAGAGTAGGACGAGTCCGGAGGTTCCTGCGGATGCCGGCCAGACGCGGCAGAGCTCGGGCGGTTGGCGGGATGCCATCGCGACGGCTCCGACTGCGAGGGCTGCCGTTCGTGGTGGTGCTGCTGCTGCTGCGGTGGCTGCGACGGCGAGGCGTGTGCGGTCCTGCGCGAGGCCATGGAGCCGTGTCTGCCGCGAGTGTAGGCGGCATCGTACGTGCAACCTGCATTGGCCTCGATGCAGAGCCGGCATGGCTGCAGTCCGGTGCAGCGAATCTTTCTCCTGGGGACCAAAGAAGAGTCAGAGAGGGCGGCGTTTGACGTTCAGCCAGGCAATTCCCGAGTCATTGAGAATAGAGGTAGGTTGGGTTAGGTGAAGGGGTGAGGGGCCGGCCTCGACTCACTTCTTGCATCGATCGCAGGCACGCGTCACCCGCATCCGCTTCGACTCCTTGTGGTCTCTCGCTGCCGCCTGGCGCGGAGGCGTCGACGGGTGTGCGCCATCGTGATCGGCAACGGATATCATGTAGCCGTCCATGATGGCGTTCCCCAGCTCTGATATCCGACGAGGACTGACTTCCGAGACACGGACGGAGAAGGATGACGGCTATGCATTGGGCGACTGCAGCCGGGAAATCTGACGGACCGGAAGGTGATTTTGAAGGGACCTTTTGGAGAAAAGCATGACGGGGAGACGCTCAATGTTCAGTAATTGCCTATTGACATAACCAGGACACGAAACCAGGACACGAGCACGCGGGACACACTCAAGGAACATGGATGGGAACATGGAGGGGGGGAGATGCTCATTGGACTTGATCAGCTAGCGTGATGTTAGCCCGTAGATATCAGGCCTATAACTGCATCAACTTGTGCCGTGTTCCTGGCCAGTAAGAGAGACAAGGGGGGAACTTGGGCATGTGTCTTCACTTCACAAAGTCGATTGTCAGAGACCATTAGGTAAAACTGGCATGTGCCAATAGTTTCCCCGCTCTTCAACAGACAGGGTTACTCCAGACTCGGCCGCCAATAGGGCGGAGATGGAAGCGGGTGGAACGAGTAATGCGAGCGTAGGGCTGTTGTCCGCGGCGCCGGATATTAAAGGGTGGATAAAGCCGTCCTATTTCTTGGTTGATAGTCTTCTAGTAGTAGTAACGAACAAGATCATGGCTTGAACACGAGATTGACTGAGTGATGCATGAAGTTGACACAAGACGAGCCTCTCACCGCTGATATTCTGTGAGCAGGGTTATCAACTAGGGATGACCCGACGCGCTGCTTACGAGCAGGGTTGTCAGTAGTTGGCTTATGGCCAAGTGTCAGAACGGAGGGCTAAACCATTGGGCGAAGACCAGAGACTATATCTTGTACACAGAAACATAGGGTCAATTGGACATTCAGTTGTTTCTTTCTCCTTGAACCTGTGCTATGTCGAGTAGCTTCAAGTTACTTCAATCATCGCTTCTTCAATACCTGTGTATAAACGTTGAACCAGAGTCGACAACTTCAGGGCGTGTACATAGCTCACGATTCGCTTCTTACGGCCCAACTGAAACGCCAGATAGAGAACCTTGAAAAGTATTTATAGTGTCAGGGTTTCTTACATGTAGTATAGACTTCTGACTGTTATGACCAAGTTGCATTATTAGAACCGCACTCCGTCCAATCAAAGACAAGATATTGAACCTTGAGCGTCGACATTCAAGACCAAACTGAAGATCCATGCATGTCAGAGTTGAATGACTCGCCGTTACATCGAACCATCAGCATCCTTCGCATTGTGATCTGTGTGGCGCTTCAGGGAACGTCCATCATCCAGTCCCACAATGACCGGCACCGCTATCCGCTACCCATCCTCTTGCCATCTTCCCACCATTAAAGCAGAATGCAAAGGAAACACAAGAAAGGAAGCGATTACGCCAAAGTTTCGTCGTTGAAGGCATCAATCTTGTAAGTAGCAAACTTACGAGCAGAAACGCCTCTGGCAAAGAGCACGTCAAGCTCCTCGTAAGTGCGACCCTTTGACTCGGGAAGACGGAAGTAAGCCCAGACAGTCATCAGGAAACAGGTACCACCCCAGACGAAACCCGTATAACCCTTGAGGTTCCATTCAGAAGGGTTCATGAAGTAAGGCTGCAGCACACCCGAAACGACACCAGTGATGGCATATGAGTTGCGGGCAAGGCAGATGGTCTTCTGGCGCAAACGCGTTGACCCCAATTCGGCGGGAAGAGCCCAGCCCAGCTGACCGACAGAGAGCTGGAAGATGAGGGTCCAGACGAGGGTCAGAACGGCCTGGGCCATGGCAAATGAGTGGTCGCTGGTGCGAGCGTTCAAGCCACCGATGAGCACCAGGATGCAGCACATGCCTCCCATTCCGACCCAGTACGTGGTCCGGTAGCCAAAGTTGGGCATGATGAAAAACCAGCAGATCAGCGTCCCGAAGAGGGCCATGCCGGTACCGCCGACGTTGAGGTGGTAGGTTTGCGTAGGGGTCAGGCCGATTTGTTGGAAGAAGTAGGTCGAGTTGTAGGCAAAGGAGATTCCGCACAGAACCTGGCCAACCATGCACATGCACGAGATTTCGGTCCGTCGCAGCTCGAAGCCCTTGAAGCAGTCCCAGTAGGACGTTCCGACGGAGAGCTGTTCCTCGAGGTTATTGGTATAGATGATGAGGTTGAGCGACTCTTCAATCTCCTCGTCGGTTGGGTTCGTTCGCAGAGCACGGAGCGACTTCTTAGCCTCCTCGATCTTGCCAACTCGGACAAGGTGCCACGGGGTCTCAGGGGCAAAGTAGAGGATGGGACCCAGGACAACGGGCCAGAACCACTGCAGGGCAAAGGGGATTCTGTACGACCACTGAGTAGTGTTGTTGACCAGTCCAGCCAAAACACCAGAGGCAATCAGCTGGCCAATGATGAAGCACATGTTCGTCCAACTGGTCAAGTAGGTTCGCAGCGCCATGGGTAACACCTCAGACGCGTAGGCCGGGGCCGTAGTCGCAAAGATCCCCCAGGGGAAACCGCAGAGAAGCTCACCGACAAGGAGAACAGTCGTATTCGGGGCGAAGAAGACGATGAAGACGAAGCAGCTGAGGAAGAAGAGGGAGCCCGAGATAACGCGCAGGTGGCCGAACTTGTGGACCAGGTAGCCGTTGAGGAGGGTTCCGAAGAAGGATCCCACACCGGAGGCGTTGCTCAGGCCAGCCTGCCACGGCGCCGACAGCTGGTAGTTGCCCGATTTCTCGTTGAACTTTCCGTACCGCTGCGCGAACTCGGGATAGGCGTAGAAGTTGCCCAACAGGCTGGTGTCGTAGCCCTCCATGATGACACATGCTGAGATCAGGAGACACCAGCCGATGGCCTTTGGGTACTTCCGCACAGCTTGCAACGGCGTCAGCTCATGTTCGGCCACGGCAGCGAGCTTCGCGTCGTCGGCGATCTGGTTGATCCCGGCCTTCTCCCCGGCCTCGATGGGGAGACTCTCCTCGTGGAGAGTGGACACGCCGCCCTTTTCCATGCTGGAGGATCGACAGGTTGTGGAGTTGAGGGTTGTGCTTGTGCTTCTGTCGGTGGCAGTGCGATGTGAAACGGTTGAGAAAGCAATCTCGCAACCAGAGGAGGATTGGACAGACGGCTTTGACAAGCTGCAAGAGGCGTCAAGAGTAATGACTCTCTGTCTCGACTTGATGATCCAGGCCTCAAACCTCGCCTCTTGATGACTTGACTAACACGAGGTTTCCCTAGATGTCCAGGTCGCTGCCCTTTATAGAAGTTGTCTCCCCCATATCCCAAACACCATCAACGGCTCTCCCTCCATGGGTTCGGCCCTGCTCTGACCCCTTGCTAGACAACAAGACCAAGCCCAAACCATCAACAAGACGGCAATACAAGCACAAAGAGATCTAGAGCTCCCCAGCTTCTCTCCCCCATACCCCACAATCGGCTAACCCCCACAAGGAGCTGCTCCGTCACCTCATGTTACGAAGTATGGATGCCACTCAATTCGCACGGAGAGGCGGAGGGGAAGCCTCAAGAAGCTCAACCAACCGCCGAGCATTTCTCCTTGCCTGCTCGACGCGGGGTAACGCCGGCTTTCAGCCAACCTGGAGGCTGGAACGGCTTGTATCGTACTACCAGGTTAGACGCGACAGGGGTCGAGCCACGAGGGCCAGCATAATACTTGACGCTAAACAAAAGTCGACAGCTCCTCAACCTGCCAAGGTCAGCTCGCTGTTGAGTATCCGACGTTGGACTAGGCTTAGCAGCGGCGATTTTCCCTCTGTCCATAGCTGATTATTCCTCTTCGTTTACGACTAGCAGAAAGTGTCTCCGGCCCGTGGCAGCGGTTCTTTGGCCTGACGGATATCGTCGTGCCGGGCGACACTTGGCATATCCGCCGACGGCGTTCAAATAGCCTCAATTGCATCACAGGCATATTCGCACACGCTGGAATCGCACAGAAGAAAAGTCTTCTTTGCAGCTTCAGCTGGAGGAGCGGGCGTCTTGTTGCTTGATTTGGCACTACTCCTCAGCAGCCAGGGGGGGTGCGGGTTTTCGCTCGCCATCATGCTGGACTCCAAGGTTGCCGAGGCGACCTTTCAGGCGACGCTACTCAATGGACTGTCTGGCGTGTGTGCGCAGGGCATCACGGCCTACAGGAACAAGGTAAGCAAGAAACTTCATCTTATCGCTGACCATCTATCAATATGTTATGGATGTTCAAGGGCTAATTGTCTCAACAAGTCATTCGATGAAGTCGAGATCGAATCGATCCTGCGATTCATCGTCTACTCAATCCTCGTCACACCCCCAAACTACAAGTGGCAAGAGTTCCTAGAACGCAAGTTTCCGTCCAGGACGCCCGTTAACGAACCATCTCCGGTTTCGTCCAAATCACCGGAAAAGCAGGCCCAACAAGGCACCCAAGTGGTGCCAGTCAAGGACCGCCTCAACCTAACCAACACGGCAGCCAAGTTTTTGCTAGATCAGATATTTGGCGCTCCGCTCAACACGCTGGCCTTTCTATATCTCATGGGTGGCATGGCATTCCAGAGCCAGGCTCAGATCTGGAGCAACATCCAGCGCGTGAGTGCCTCTTTGCCTCTTCTCCACCTGTCCACTAGTAACAAACTGGGTGTTCCCCCCATGAGGGAGGACGTAGTAAGAGATTGTGGAAGCTAACGGTCGATTTACAGGACTTCTGGCCCATGCTCATTGCAGGATATCGCGTGTGGCCGATTATTGGACTTTTGAACCTGAGCGTTGTGCCGTTTGACTACCGGCAACTGGTTGGCAGTACAGCTGGTCTTTTCTGGGGCATATTCTTGAGCCTGAACAAGATGACATGAGGGAGGAAGAGGGTAACTCTATAGACGTGACGGCATTTGGAAACAGACACTCTTGAAAATGATGATCCGAGATTTGCTTATCAACACCACATTCGGGGTTGATTTTGTCCTTTCTTGCACTGACCGCGGCACTCGAGTCGTGGATGAGTTACGCCATACCATGCTCCGATGACTTCTAGCACAGCGTTTGATCTTTAGCCATGAGTAGTCAGTCGATTAAGGGAATCAACTCCGAAGCATACTCCACAAACTCACCTCAAGCCATCACGAGAATGTCCTGGGCCCACCTACCCCAAACCATGCAGATAGCCACATTATCTTGGCTTCCAGGATGTAACATCGTAGCTACTCGTGAGTACCATTGATCATTGGGATGTCTGCTGCATCCAATATTGAGTCACACTTCGGTAGGATCCCCCCCCATACTCAGTAAGCCAAGAGAATCCAGGCACTTGGTATTCTGGGGGCATCAATGTTGCATCCCCTACGCCTCCTCATGTATCCTCCGCATACCCTCCGTTCTAGCCCCGAATATCGACGCCATGGTATTTTGGGACAGGCATTCGGACTGGGCCAGCCACTACATGGACGAAGTGGCAAGCTGGACCACGTCTACATGCAAAAGTCATGCTGAATCTCATCCGGCCCGCATCAGCTTGCCACCCAGTCAGTCCATACGAAGTAGTCGTATTCTTCAATGGACTAGCTTCAAGGTATTTAGTGTACAGGTTCTACGGAACTCAAGTATTCCAACGCAAACGCTGTTCTTCCCATTGACATCTAGCGGCCATTATCCCTCTACTTCCATGGAGCAGGAACAGCTGTTGGGCCCAAATCAAGAACGGCACAGAAGTAGACTGTTCCAAGACGCCAACGGAAAATATGTCAAAGTATTTTCCACCAACAAGCAAGTGTTGTATTTCCGTCGGAAAACCCACTCCAGGAGCCTACCACACTTACACGCCTGACAACGACATTCGAACTCTCTGACTGAACAGGGTTTGGTGAAATGAACTGTGGCTATCTTATAATAATTCGTGACCGGATTTGTAGCCGAAGAAGAATCCGAGATGAAACTCCCGTGCATGGTGCGGAACAATTGGAAGTGTCCCAAGGCTGTGGAAAGGGCTGCATGTTTGTGTGTTGCATCACATAGTGGCGAATTCAGAAATGTGGTCCTTCTCCAAAGTTCAAGGAGTAATGGTACAAACACTAATAGTACAGCTGGCTTGGCATTGTGATTTACTATGACTGTAAACAGGGATAGACTTTAGGTCTCATAAGGGTGGGGAGAAACACCAGCTTCCCAAGTCTACAAGCGGCAAGTCTTCTCTTCTCGAGACGAGGATAGGGGTCACTTGTGCAATCTGTCAATACAAACTTCTTGTAAACCACTCCTGCCGGATCTTCTCAACTTAGGCAAAGTTTCAATAGTCTTGGAAGGGCTAGGATCAAGTCTCAGGAGAACAAATCTGGAACTGTCAAGTGATCGTCTCGTTGGTACACCAGACGTATAGTTGAATAATATCAAATATGACGATACAGACAAATCTCACGGTCATTATTTGGAACTTGTCTAATATATCATATCATAATGCCAAACTCATGTACTCAAAGCCACGCACCATCCACCGAGTAAACGCTCCCACTGACAAAGCTGCTGTCCGGCCCTAGTAGAAACAATACGACCTTGGCGACCTCCTCTGGCTTTCCCTGCCTCTGGAAGGCGGTGGGATCATCAAAGGGGGCATCTGCAGGCCGCCCAGTCATATCCCACGACTGCTGCATCATTGGCGTGTAGATTGACCCAGGGGCCACCGCATTTACCCTCACCTCTCGCTTGCCGTACTCCTTGGCCGCTATCCGAGTCAGGCCAACAACCCCGTGCTTACTGGCACCATACGCCCCGTGATATGGCAGACCTATGTGTCGACGGACTTGCAGTCAGATGATCTGTTTTGGAACCATGTGACCGGAAGGGTGCTCCCCACGTACCTGTAATTCCTTGGATCGAAGCCATGTTGACAATTGAGCCACCGTCTTTGATATTTCGCAGCTCAGCTCGCATGCAGTACATGCACCCCGTCAGATTCACCGCAATGATCTTGTCCCATTCGTCGTCCTCCAGTTCCCCCACGGAGTGAATAGAATGGTGCTTGCCAATGATGCCCGCAATATTGGCGGCGCCATCCAGCTGTCCAAACTCCTTGACAATACCATCGATCCAGGCCTCTACCTCCGCCCTCTTTGACACGTCTACCTTGGTGGCGGTGAACTTTGCCCCCTTTTCTTTCAGGTAAGCCTCGGTCTCTGCCAGGGCGGTTGTGTTGACGTCTGAAAAGCACACGATGGCTCCTTGCTCGGCCAGTAACTTCACCGTGGCCAGTCCGATTCCGCTTGCGCCGCCGGTGATGGCGTACACTTTCCCTGAAAATGACATTTTGTCTTGATGATCTTGTTTCTTCAAGTATCTGGGGCTGAATGGGACCTTGTTCTGATTCTCTTTGCAGCTGATGGGTTGAGGTAGAGCCGCCGCCTGATAACTGATGAATAGAGAAGGAGGGGGGACGATGAGTGATTCGTCAGTCTCAATGTCTTCAACGCCGTCAAACTATATATCGATTCATACACCTCCGTACCTAATTCGATGAAGCCTAGAGGAGTCAACGGTGATGTTTGCAACAAACCCCATCAGTCAGCAGACTGGGCAAAAGCGCACGATCATCGTCAAATGAGGAGCAGTTTCACTGTTTCCGTCGCACTGTACATGGTGCCTCCGCCCCGAAATCCGCGGCCTTGTTCTATGAGGTGATACGAAGAGCTGCTGCTAGTAGCCTCCACTGTGTCTAGAGCTTGTAACGGAAACGGTGCAGCCAGTTTCGCCTTGGCTTTTCTCCGCATTTCAACTTCCCCTCCGTAGTCGATGTGAGCATACGAGACATATGATAGGCCTTACGAGTCGCGATCCTGTCAAGTTATAGCATGGGGTTGGTGAAGATTTTGTTTTCTCCATGTAACACTTTGCGATAATTCTTATAATGTGTCACTGTATGATCGTTATAGAATACTTCCTATAGTGTCTGTATATCCTCACAATGTGTTGGCGGATTACGCTAGACCAGACAACTCCAACATCCCATAGTCTACTGGAGGCCACACAGCCAGACATGTCATATACTTTTCTCGTTTTATTGTCGCTTTACTTTTCGACGGTCCTGTATCGATAGTTTTCCTCATACTGTACATGTCCGTCGACTGAGCAACTAAGAGCTGCTGGCACACACTGAATTTCCGTTACCCGGTGCCCTCTCTAATACCTTTCATTAATACCAAAGTAGTCGAACCAATAAAATAGTTTGCATGCATACTGAAACCAAAGTCAAAGGTCTTTAGGGTTATATATAGCAAGCTACATTGGAACGACGGGATGTAAGAGCACCCATGGGTCTGGTTGTTTTGTCTAACTCTCTGGTCTTGGTCATTCGCGAAATCTACCATGGGAGAGACTCAAGGTATGAAAGAGTCGCTGGGGCATGCCGCCCTCATTAAGGAGAGGATTTGGGACCAACTGCTCATCCCAGAGTTAGGAGTTGTCGCATTCAAGTGAGTCATTGTCTGACTGATGGGTTTCAAAGCCTGCTACCTAGAAGTAAGCCAGTGAGTGTCCAATGCAATATGTACTACCATCACACGTTGTTCAACCCTATCATAACGTCCATTGATGATGTATAAAATCAAATGCCGAGTTGATAGGTCTTCTCGTAGATTATTTCCATAGCATCATGTCGACTCTCGATCACCTGAGTAATCATAAGCAAGCCCTCTATTTTGGTTTCCCTGTATCAGCCATAATTACAATGAGTTCTCAATCTGCTCAATATCAGACAGATACAGCTTGTGCAGAGCCGTCCAGTTTTCCTCCGGCAGTCTTCCCTTTAGCGGCAATCTTCCTCCCTCAAGCGCACCCAGCCCCGTCTTGCGAATGATGCCTTCACGAATACCGATGATTCCGGTCCTCGCAATAAACTCTTCGGCACGACTAACAGCAAACTGCAGTCTTCGGACCTCGGATAGGGCATCTGCCTGGAACGAGCCCTGGTTTGCCAGGGCAAATAGCCTCACCACCGTCTTGGGGTAAAAGGCAGCCAGCCCATCAATTACACCCGCCGCGCCAAACAGAACAATCGGACCAAGCTGCTGACCGAAGCCGCTGTATACTCGAAACGCGTCGTGGTCGATTTGAGGGTCGGTCGAGACTTGGACATGGTACGAGACGTCTCCGTGAGACCTGAAGCCAATCATCACATCCCGCGTTAGGAATCACCAACGCGAACAGAAAGCAGAAGCAGCAAGGTCAGTCAACATGGACATACATTTTACAACCGATGATCTTCGGGTGCTTGGCAAGCACTCTGTAGGTATCCGGTTCCACAAGAAGCCCATTGGTAACGCCCGGATAGTTGTAACTGTTCATCGTCAGCCACAACCCAGACAAACACCCTTGCAGCACAGATTTCCGCAAGATGGCAATTGCAACACATATCAACTCACATCAGGATCGGGATGGGACTCCGATCTGCAACGACAGTGAACCAGTCAATGAGGTTCTGCTGGTTGACTGCCTTTCCGAAATACCCAGGCGCGAGAACCAACCCCCACTGTGCTCCGGCTTTCGCATAGTCCTGCAGCCACTCGACCGTCTCGCCGACGCTGTTGGTGAGGACCCCGGCCATGATCGGGTAATTCGCAAAGCCAGCATCGTTGAGCCCGGCCCGGACACCGGCCACGAGGTCGTATCTTTCCTGCCGCGACAGATGGACGGCCTCGCCCGTTGACCCGAGAATGGTCAGGCCCGTGATGCCGGCCTTGGCCAGGAACACGGTGTGAGCAACCTGCGTCTCGATGTCGATCGTGGGCTCAAAGACGTCGTCAGAGGCGGCGGCCGGCTTGAAGAAGGTCGGGACCGGGACAAAGACGCCGGGAGGTGGTGTCAATTGTGAGGCCATTTTGGTCTTTCTCCGCAGTTGAAAGTCAATGAATTGTCGCTGTTCCGGCAACCAATCTTTTCTCTGGCAATGCCAACCTCCTGCCTCTGTCGAGGGAGAGATTCAAAGCCAAGATATCCCAATTTCTTTAATAGCTGCCCCTCGTTTCTCTCGTCATCCATGAGCGTCATCTCACTTCAAATGACTTTCCCTGTCGGACCGTCATCGGCCAACAAACCTCGGGCGACACTACCCCGGATCTCGCCAGCTCCAACCCCCACCTGAGAAGAAAAGTAGAGCTGCTGATTCCCCTCTTACGCTTTTCCGTGTCCGAAGGGCTCAGCGGAATGGTGGGGGCAGCTTCTTTGTCAAACTTGTTGAAGCGGGGGATCCTTGTCTTTCCCCCGAACAGGCAAGCCGTACCAAAAGTACGAAGGATCAACAAGGGCGAAGCAAAGAGCTTGTGGAGTTCCGCGGCGGTCATGGGGGGGCCTTCTTTGAGCGCAGTGTTTCTCCCAGATTTTTCGCCGGGGGCACGAAATACTATACAAACATGTACAATTTCCAGATAGCACCAGTGTAAGAGTGTCCTCTATTCTTTCACCGACATCTATATCGAGGGTTGCTGCTGTGCTACCCTATTGCATCGAGAGAGTTGTTGCACAACACCACTTACACCATGGCGAAGATAAAGTCGATGGAGTACTTCCGCGTCCCGCCCCGGTGGCTGTTCGTAAAAGTCACCGACGAGGATGGAAACTTTGGCTGGGGTGAGGCATCGCTGGAGGGACACACACAGGCGGTCGAGGGATGCTTAGATGCGTGGTTCGCCAAGTTCAAGGGACACGATGCTGAGTAGGTTCTTGCTGATCAAATTCGTTCAACGACTTGGGCCTGACCAAGCCAAAGATTGAGGAGTGAGTGCTTACCATGTCCAGCGATATCGAGCACATCTGGCAAATGGCATGGCGGACGGGATTCTATCGCGGAGGGCCAGTGTTTATGAGTGCGCTTTCTGGGATTGACATAGCACTGTGGGATCTAAAAGGTAACTGTGAAAGAGGAATTGATTGTTCTTTTCATCTCCTGACTCCGATGAAACCTAGGCAAAAAACTCGGCGTTCCTATATACCAGCTTTTAGGAGGAAAAGTGAGGCACAAGCTCAAGGTATATGCCTGGATTGGAGGCGATCGCCCAAGTGAGGTCGAACAACAAGCGTGAGTGTGCTTTGTTACGAATTGCTTTTCTCGAGATGAGTGAATACAGAAGGGGAGGTTGGTTCATTGGCATTCGGTGCTAATGTTGAGCAGTTTGGCTCGCAAAGAGCAGGGTTTTCACGCTGTCAAAATGAACGGAACAGGAGACGTCTGCTGGCTCGACTCTCCCTCCGTCCTCGACGACGTAGTCCAGAGGATAAAGGTTGTCAAAAGCCTCGGAATGGACGCCGCAGTCGATTTCCACGGCCGCGTCCACAAGCCCATGGCAAAACAACTCGCCGCCCTCCTCCAGCCTCATCGGCCGCTCTTCATCGAGGAGCCGTTGCTGCCCGAGAATATTGGCGGCATCAAGGAACTATCTCAGCTCACAACTTGTCCGATTGCTCTTGGCGAGCGACTGTACAGCCGCTGGGACGTCCGCCCTTATCTAGAGGCCGGGTGCGTGGATGTGCTGCAACCTGATATCTGCCATGTTGGTGGCATCTCCGAGTTGAGGCGCATCGCTTCTATGGCTGAGACATATGATGTTGCGTTGGCTCCTCATTGCCCGCTGGGGCCCATTGCCTTGGCCGCAAATGTGCAGGTAGACGCTGTGTCGTCGAACTTTGCCATTCAGGAGATGAGCGTGGGTATTCACTATAACAATACAGGGCAGGATATTGAAACATATATCAAGAACCCCGAGATTTGGAAAGTGGAGGACGGCTACATCAACGTGCTGTCAGGCCCCGGTTTGGGGATCGAGGTCGACGAGGAGATGGTCCGCAAGCTGTCCAAGGACTGTGTGCCGTGGGACTCGCCCTCCTTCAGAGGGCCGGACGGCGAAATCAGAGAATGGTGATAGAGATATACAGGCGTTGGTTCTTCATGAACGTATCACGTATTATGGCCTTGATAGAATACAGTTCATTTGGTCGCTATTCGTCCGGGACTGAGGAGCCGTACTTACTTATAGGCATGGTGCCTTCACGATGTTCATGTCTTCTGCAGTAGACGAATAGAAACCGCCTCTACAACAACGTACGAAGGTCTAAATTTAAGAAAATACTACATGCTTCAGATCAAGTATATACATCAAGAGTGTTGCTGAGTTGATGCTTTAATCCTCGAAGCAGAGAGAAGTACCCTATAATGAGAACATTTCAGCAATGGTTGTATTGTTGCTAGTCTGCGAGCAGATCTCAAGTCTTTCTAAAAAGTATCTAGAATTATTGATCACGAAGACCATGCTACGATTCAGGATGGAACCTGAACCAGGGAACCGAAGGGTGTGAGTGATCTCTAGCTAGTGGGAGGCCAGTCTTTAACTCCTAAGCAAACAGTTTCACGCTGATGTTAATCAGTATGCATATCAAAGGGTTGGCCAACCCGGCAAATCATCTGTCCATCTCTTTCCAGTTGAGGTAATGACGCAGGTCCAAAGCATTGTGCATCAAGCTCCCTCCCGCATCGGCGGCCCAGCCAATCATTGTACTACTATTACCCCGAGCCCGAGAGCTAGAATCTGATGATGGCGCCCCCTCGCGGATCACTACCCTCCTGCAGACTTAGCTGAAATCACTGGGCTTGCATTGGGTGGTAGATGGCGAATGATGGATGTAGTCTGCAAGAAAATACAACGTACAGTTGCTGTAGGCATCTTATTCTACGGATGGTGTATGAAATCGTGGTTATTGCATTTGACGGCCTCAAGATGATTCAGATCGAAGAAGTGGCTGTACAAGACAAGACATCCATGTTTCTCACAGCGAGTGCCTGCCAGCAAGCCAGACGACAGTTCGTAAAATCGATATTCGGACATAATGGCACGACAGTTGCCGATGAAAGAGCTCATTCTATTTATCTCAACTTTGGAGACATGGGCCAAGATGATCGGACAAAGACCCGTCCCCTCCACTGGCAAGGGTTGCCGAGTGACTAGGACAATACGCTCCCAAGAATACCCCTCACATCCCCAAGGACTCAAGTCTGCTCAACCCTGCAATTGTGCTCGACATGGTCAAATCTGATTTAGTAGTCAACTACGAGTGACGGCTGATGACACGTCCTAGATTCCGGCTTGCGCATTCTTCCCCCAACGGAGCATCCAAAAGCCCTGATAATTACCCTCGGCCAGCTTTTCCGTGGCCTCGGGACATTGTTTTCCGTGCGGAGCTACGCCAACTTCCCCGAACAATTCCCCAGACAAGCAAACGGCTGATCAGCCGCTAGCTTCTCTCGTGATCAGTTCCCCTGCCTTGGACCCTCATATTTGCTGCTAATGACATTACGGGATAGGACCCAGACGACCCTCGTGGGATCAGGCAGAGAATAGTTGAGATAATCCCAATTCGACCCCGCATCAGGAAAACGGGATTCCGTCCATGGACTTCATTAGCTAGGATTTGGTTGCTTGGCGGGGGAGTTGAGAATTGAGGCTTTCTGCCCTGGAGCAGGAGTTGGAAATTCTCGCTGTATTTATATGGTCCAGCAGTATCTATAGAAAGGATTCCTCTTCTATATGTCTTCTTAATCTCATCTGTCCATCCGCCCTTCTTCTTTCCGGGGCTTCGAATCATCTTGCAGGTCCGAGATGTTGTCCAAAGGTGCGCTTGCTGTCGCGGTTTCTGCGATTGTGGTTGAGGCCATCGACAATGGCCTCGCGAGAACCCCGCAAATGGGATGGGTAAGCTTCCCTCTTCTCACCACTAATAGGAAGAAAAGCTCGTCAAAAATGAATCAATGAGTTGCTGACTTGGTATAGAATAACTGGAATTCCTTCGGTTGTGATGTCTCAGAGAACCTGCTGCTCGACCACGCCCAGCTCATCAACGAGTATGGTCTTCAGGACTTGGGATATCAGTATGTTGTGCTAGACGACTGCTGGTCCGATGGCCGTGATAGCAAGGGCAAGCTCATTGCAGACAAGAAGAAGTTTCCGCGTGGAATGGCTGCAGTAGCGGACGATTTGCATTCCCAGGGTTTCCTTTTCGGCATGTACTCGAGTGCTGGTGAACTGACCTGCGCACGATATGGTGAGTTGCTCCAAACGCATGATATAGCGTCAAATCAATGACTCTAGAGCATCTCTGACCTGGTACAGCTGGTTCACTTGACCATGAAATGGATGATGCCCAGAGCTTTGCGGATTGGGGCGTGGATTATCTCAAGTACGATAACTGCTACCACATGGGCCGCTTCGGCACTCCTCTTATCTCATTTGAGCGTTTCAACAAGATGGCCGAGGCCTTGAAGGCCACCGGCAAGAACATCTTTTACAGTCTTTGCAACTGGGGCGAGGATTACTCCTACAGTGTAAGTTTCAAAAGGGCCCTTCAAGATGTGTATAAGATATCACAGGCTGACACGCAATACCATTACATAGTGGGCTGCGTCTATCAGCAACTCGTGGCGCGTGTTCGGTGACATCTACGATTCGTTTGCCCGTCCGGATGATCTGTGCTCTTGCAATGATCCCGCCAACCCGGCTTGCATTGCCCCTGGCACTCACTGCTCGGTGCTCGCCATCATCAACCGAGTGGTGCCCTACATTGATCGTGGTCTCCCTGGTGGCTGGAACGATCTCGACATGCTCGAGGTCGGCCACGGTGGTATGACTGAGGAAGAGGTTGGTACATGCCGAGTCCTGATAAAACTGCAGGGAACTAACAGCTTTAAACAGTACAGAGCTCACTTCACCATCTGGGCTGCTCTGAAGGCACCTTTACTCCTTGGCACCGATCTTCGCAAGTGGTCAGGCTCCGACCTTGCCATCGTCACCAACCCTGCCGTCATCGCCATCAACCAGGACCCCCGTGGCCGTGCCGTTCAGCGAATCCGACGCAACTTTAACGTTCCCAAGGATGAGTGGGGTGTTGGCGAGACTCACATTTGGAGTGGCCCCCTCGCAAATGGTGACCAAATCCTGGTGTTCTTGAACTTTGCCGACGAGGACCTCGACATGGGCGCCACTCTCGCAGAAATCTTCCTCACTAACGGCGTCGGCGGCACTGCCCCCCAGAACAAGCAAGACTGGGCTGTCCACGACCTCTGGGGCAAGACTGGCGCTGCCATGAGCAACGAGGAAGCTCAGTCCATCCTTGACGCCGGCAGTGCCTCAGAACGGAAGCAGAAGCTGCAGAAGCTCGGATGGTACAACTCGACTGAGCTTTCCTACGCCGAGGGTCTGAAGCGCGAGGACCCTCGTCTGTTTGGTGAGCGCGTTGGCGTGATCAAGTCTGGTGGTCGCTTTGACGTTCGTGTGCCCAGACATGCTGGCAAGGCCTTCCGTCTTCGTAGCCTCAGTGGCGAGAAGATTAAGCAGAAGAGTCATCTCAGGAAGGATGAGCTGTGAGCCAAGTCAATACCCACCTGTTTGTATGTAACTACAAAAGAGGGGGAGCATCCATCTCACGGCAGGCTTATGCGAACATGCCGCTGGTTTTGCGATGATGAGTGGAGTTGGGAAAAGGTATTAGAACTTGGATGGAGGACTGCATGTGATCAGCCCCGATTCGCCTTTGGCATATATAAACGCGAATAATATATAGAGATCTGCGTCGGAAAGTAACGCCCCAGAATTGCAGGAACACATATCTTGAGGGTTTAATTGGGTTATAGTGTGAGAGGATATACCAGATGATTTTTGCAGACTGTCAAACCCGATGAAGGATTGGGCTACGCCCAAGATGCCTAAATACTTCGGGAAAAACGTCGAATAATCATGATCATCTATACAAGCTGCCAGATAGAACGAGTTCACTTCATTGGACAGCATCGCCAGCAGGTCTCGTAAGGAATACCTCTCACGTTACAGCGTTACTCCAATCCACCTATGGCTTAGCAAACGCGGCTGTGTCACAACTCACCGATTGGTCGTCTGGAAAGGGAGGGAGGCGTCAGGTTGCCTGACTTCTGCCTTGAATGTTCAGCCTCATGGTTGGGTTGCCTCTTGGGCATCAACACGTGCAGTCTCCGATCGGCATTGTTCTCCGCAACATTGGCAAACATACAGCCTCTGCTTCCTTTGTTAGACCTTCTGAGTAGCCCCGTCTTGCACAAAAAGCATCAAATTGACTATCGTGAACTGCAAATCATTGCGATATACAGAAGGATGAGACGATTATTCAAGGACAAAGCGAATCAACCATGCCATGCGGCTGGCGGCGAGGCGGGCGTCTCTGGTCGTGGCCGAAGGAGGGATCAATTCCTCTCCACCTTTGACCGATTCTCCTTGAGAGGCTCAAGTCGTCCTAAGAGTGTCGACGGAGGCTCACAATGCAATCCGTCGCACAATCGTGCTACAAGTGTGCCCGCGACCCATGAACCTCGCATGCCCTCCGATGCCAACGATACGCCTGACCCCGAGTTGAGCCCTGACGCCGCCGACACTTCCGTTACTGCGGAATCAGTTTCGCACCTTGAAGACTTGACAAGAATCGATATCCCGACTGGACAAGAGCATCCTGTTACACAAGGCAGTCATAAAGAAGCCATCACACCCCAAGGGCTATGGGACGAAGCCTATGACAAGCTCAAAAGCGAACAGCCTGAGCTGATGAAGGGTTACGAGACAATCATGTCCAACATGCTGCGAAGCCCTGACGACGCGGACGATCTCGGCCAGGTCACAATCAAAACAACAAGTGACGACAGGCGAGCTCAGCTGCTGGAAGTTATCAGGTCAAGTCAGAAGAAGATTGAGAAGGAGGGAAAAGTGAAAGAAAACATCGGGCAAATCTTGTCGGTTATATCATCCTTAAATTCCACGATCCAGACAGCAATACAAGCCGCACCCCAGGCAGCTCTCCCATGGTCGATAGTCTCTCTGTCATTGGAGGTAAGTATCGACATTATATCTGCATGAATATGGGTACTGATGGTGCCGTTCAAGGTCATCCAAAATCCCGTTAAGGATTTTGAAAAGAATATCGAGGGTTTGACCTACGTGACTGCTCGGATGGACTGGTACTGGAGCCTGGCCGACAGGTTGTTCCGTGGAGGCGAATGCACCGATGACAGCAAGGCCTCGAGCCTGCAAGACGCAATGTGCTCACGGCTCGTGGAGCTATACAAAGAATTACTGGCGTTTCAAATCAAGTCTATCTGCTCTTTTCATCGAAATCGAGGCCTTGCTTTTCTGCGCGACATGGCCAAATTGGACGATTGGGAGTCGAATCTACAGGCTGTTCAAACACTTGAATCGAGAGTGAAAGGCGACTGCACGGCATACACGGATGTCGAACAGACCAACATAGGCCGCCAGATGAGAGACCTTCTCCAGGAGCTAGTGAAAAGACTGGCTCAGGAGCTGGGACCACAAGAAAGGCGGTGCCTACAAGATCTACATATCACCGATCCTCGTCTTGATAGAGATCGAATCATATCGACCAAAGGAGGGCTATTGCAAGCTTCATATCAGTGGATCCTCGAGGACTCTACTGTACGCCATTGGCGTCAAGAGCGGCAGAAAAGTCTTCTCTGGATCAAGGGCGACCCAGGCAAAGGCAAGACGATGATGCTTTGCGGCCTCAGTCAGGAATTGGAAGATGCAAGAGAAGGCCCATCCCTCTTGTCTTACTTCTTCTGTCAGGCTACAGTCCCAACTTTGAATACAGCCACTGCTGTGTTGAGGGGGCTTTTATACCTGCTAGTGATTCGACACCCATCGCTTTTCCCTCACTTGCAGGACGCCTATGAGAAGGTCGGCGATCGAAAGCTCTTTGAGGGAGTGAACAGCTGGTTTGCCTTGATCAAAATCTTCAACAAGATGATGAAAGATCAGCTATTGCAAAATTCATGCTTCATCATCGACGCTCTCGACGAGTGCTCCGATCGCGACAAGCTCTTGGATCTCATCGTCGATAGCTGTGCTAGTACGCCCGGTGTCAAATGGATCTTGTCAAGTCGGAAACTTCGAGATATTGAGGCCAAATTTGGACGTTGTGAACATAGCGTCGTGGTTGACCTTGAAGAGCACAACGACTCGACTATTGATAGTGTCAAGAAGTTCATCGGCAGTCGACTTCAGAAGCTGGAGCTTGTTGAGGACAATCCGAACCTCCAAGAAAAACTCCGAGACATCATTCTACAGAAGTCCAATCGAACATTTCTCTGGGCTGCTTTGGTCATTGAGGAGCTCAAGAATCTTGAAACATACGAGGAAGAGAGCGAAGTGTTGCAGTTTCTGGATAAAATGCCCAGCGGTCTGCCTGAACTATATGACAGAATGATTGCCCAAATCAGACAGATGGGAAGCAAACTGGATCGGGATCGGTGCTTTAGGATTCTATCGACTATGGCTACCACCTATCGCCCCCTCAATCTGACAGCGCTACCCCTCCTAGCTGATTTGAAGGGAAATCTTGCCAAGCCAGAGACACTGAGGAAGTTGATTCAAATGTGTGGCTCTTTCTTGACCATTCAAGATCAGACGATCTACTTCATTCACCAATCGGCCAAGGACTATTTGGTTCAAACAGGAAATCACGTCATCCATCATAACATATATCACCGGTCTGTCGAAGTGCTGAAGTCGCAAGGAGGCTTGAGGGCAAACATATACGGCTTGACCTATCCCGGTGCCAAGATTGAGGAAATCTCCCCGCCTCAACCGGATCCTCTTGAGCATATACAGTACTGCTGCGTGTACTGGCTTCAACACTTCTGCGATAGCCTCGAAGCTATCAGAGCCCCTGAAACCAAGGTCGTTGAGAAGGTCTTTACGTTCTTACAACAGCATCTATTGCATTGGTTCGAAGCCTTGAGTCTCCTCAAGAGTCTACAGGCGGGCATCTTATCGTTGCAGAGACTACTTACGCTCTCCACCGTTAGTCCTCCTCCATACATACATCGCTCAACCTCTTGGTTACTTGACTAATATATTGATCACAGGGAAGTGATCGCTTCTCAAACTTCTTCCAAGACGCTTGCCGCTTCTGCATCCATAACAGATATATCATCGAAACCGCTCCACTTCAGGTTTACGTTTCCGCGCTCATCTTCAGTCCGCGTCAGAGTGAGATACGGCAGCATTTCCAAAGCGCGCTGTCTTGGATCAAGCTGTTACCTGATGTTGGTGACGATTGGGACTCATGTCTGTTCACCCTAGAAGGTCATGAATCTAGGGTCGTGTGTGTGGCTTTCTCAGACGACTCTAGATTCTTGGCTTCGTCAGCTGGCGATGGGACTGTCCGAGTTTGGGATCCAACTACTGGAGACGCCATTCATGCCTTTCCAATAATGGTAGAATCCGGTGTTCGGTTTTCAGACAATTCCAAGTGGCTTGCTTCAATCTCAAGTCTTGAACTATCGGTATGGGACGTTGAGGCTGGAATTCTCAGGCTTTACTTAGATTTGCATGCCTATTGCCCCAGCAACCGGTTCTCTGGCTCCTCCAGCTTTATATGGGAACGGTCCGCGATACCAATCTGGGATACGACGACGGGGGAGCTAGTCGAGAAGCTTCCTCTAGGTTTGGACGAATTATTTGGTACGGTTTGTGCGTTGTCAAGTGGATCAAAGTTTCTGGCTCGAAAAATCAACCATAGCCAGGTTCAGATTACCAGCTCCTTAACAGGAGATGTCATTCATTCGCTGCAAGGTTTCGTGGACGAAATCGTGGTTATCGTCTTTTCGCCCAATTCCGAGTACTTGGCATTATATTACGGAAGAGGGTTCGCTCAAATCTGGCATATTACAGCAGATGATGCAATCCTGATGCCTAACACATATTACAATGTCGGGCCGGTTGCTTTTTCTCATGACTCTAAGCTTGTATCCTTTGGCTATAAAGATGGCAGCGTACGAGTCTGGGATTTGGAGGATGGAATCGAACTACAACTGCATACTGGACATATAGAGCCCGTGAATTGGGTGGCCTTCTCGAAGGATTCCAGGTTTCTAGCCACAGCTTCGAATGATTGGACGGTTAAACTATGGACGACAACCACGGCGAAGCAAGACCTGCCGGTGAAGCATTACGGGCTGGAAGAGAAGATTATCGCATTGTCAGATGACGGTAAGCTCACAGCAACGGGGAACAAACGAGGCGTTATCGAGGTATGGGATAAACACTCATCTCGGCCACTTGAACGTTTTGAGGTCCAAAACGTCATTGAAGCTCTTCCCCTGTTGGCATTCTCCAGAGATTGCAAGTTCTTGGCCATAGCAGCAGTAAGAACGCATTGCTCGTTGTTCATTGACGTACGGACTCTTGGCGGTGGACCGAATCCCGGTTTTCGAGTTCCCGAAGATCTAAATGTCGGTGAAACATGCCTGCCGACTCCGTTATCTATAGCGTTCTCACCAGACTCAACTTGCATTACCGTCGCATACAGGAGTCCTAACCAGTCGTCTTCCATGGATATCAGTGTATGGGACACTCACAAGGGAGAGTGGGTGCAGACGCTCCGCTGTCAACTTCCATATGTGCCGCAATATGACTCCACGTATCGGCTCTACTTATCAGAGACCAATATATATCTTCACAACGGCACGTCATCCTTCAAATCCGCCAAGAAGAATTCAGAGTCCGGGCAGTTATATGGGCCATTTGAGCGAATCACGGAACGGAGCGATTACCCTCCTATAGGCTATAGTTTTGAGAGTGACACGGGTTGGGTCTCGTGGAATGGGAAAACATGATGTGGATACCAACAGGTTTTCGTCCTCAAAGACCATTCTTCCGGCCTTATTGTCCCTGGGATGCGACATCTTCTGAGATTCAGATTGAAAGTAGTTTGAGGGGTTCTCTATCCTTCGCATTCGAGGAACCACCAGCAGACTTGGCCGATTGGACACCGTGGAGATCATCAAATCTATTCAAGGAGGCTAGATGAGATGTCTTCCTATACATCTGCTTGTAGTCTTATTACGATGCGGAAATGAGAACGCGGTGTGATGCATTCAATGCCCATGTGCTGTGGACGAACAACGCCCAAAAACAAATTATGCCCCTTATCTCCCTGGATGTTCATGGGCAAGACAACGAAGAGATATGGGAAGCTTACCCCCATCAGCTGATCAATAGGCCGTTCATTTGCTGCCGTGATGATAGGTATGAGAAGGCATTGTTATCGCGTGTTTAAATGTAGCCTTTTCCACTTGTTGACAAGCAATTTAAGTGCTAGTTGGCGATAGTTGCTGCTACTTGTCCATTGTCTAGGATGCCTCACTGGGTTTATGCTGTGAATAGTATTAGGTCGTGGGATCTTGCAACCGAGTACTGGTCCGACCGGTCTAGATAACAATCAACCAAATACAGGTCATTGCCGACACCTGGATACATACATCTTCGGTCCATGTAAGAGGTTATGCTCAAACGAAAGCCGTTTTTGTTATCCGATATTTCTCCTCTAAGACTACGCGCTCTATTGTCTTAGACGCGTTAAGAACACATGGATCTTTAGGCCGGTCACTGTTTATTACCTTGCCATGCATATCAGTTACTCAGCGGGTTGACTAATGGCCCGGCCATAAGGCCCCTGCCTCTCCCTATTAAAGAGGCAGGGACCTAACCTATATCTTTTATTAATGCATATCCTTCTTTTTTAACTTTATAACACTATAACTTAATTAAATTATGCCTAATTACTTTTAAATTTTTATAAAATCTTAATTAACTTCTTTATTTTAATATATCTAAATTTAAAAAAAATAGCTTAATATATATAGCTATAGCAGTATAGTCTTATATTAATAGTAAAACGCTAACTTATTAAATATATATAAATTTATATTCTGCATATCCTTTAATAATTTATAAAACTATATTATAATTTTATATTAATAAAGATCTTATTAAGAAATATATATAATTCTTAAGGGCTAGCCTAGCTTTACTTAAGGGCAAGACTAGCAGCATGCCTATAGCTTTAATTAAAGAAAAGGAAAAAGCTATTATAATATATGCTTAAAAAATAAAAGGCAGCTTTTTTACTTTTATAAAGGCTTATTTTATTAATTAAGCTAACTTTCTTTATTACTATTAGTTATTTAAACTAGTCCTTAATTTTAATAAGTATTAAATCTGTAGATTTAAAAATAGGTATTTTAAATTATACTTTTAAAAGGTAAAGATTAAGAAAATATAATAAGCTAAAGTAAAGCTTAATATTAGTAAGCTAGAGTTATAGTTTAAGAAGTTAAAAGCTATAATTACTACCTTTAATATTTTAGCTTATAACTTTTAAAACTTTAATAAAACTCCTTTATAGCTTAAATAAATAAAGGGCTTATTAAGACTTTATAATAAACTAGGTTCTTATAGTTAGTAAGAATACTATTTCCTAAAGGATAAACTATTTAAGTAAATAGCTTTAATAAGGAAGCTATTTAGGTTTATATTAGCAGAGAGTTAAGTTAATACTTAAGGCATGTTTAGTTATACAGCTAGTTAATATACTTTTATAATAAATATCTAGGTTTTAATTTATTTATATTATAAATACTATAAAGTAATAATAACTAGCTAACTAAACTATTTAAATAAATAGTATAAATATAACTTATATATTTAGTTATTTTAATAAAATTATTTTAAGGCTTAAATAATCTTAAAATAAATTATTTATAAATTTAAATAATTCTATTTAAATTAATAAATTATCTTAATAATTTAATAATTTATTTTTAATTAGCTAAATAGTTTAATATTTATCTAGTTTTATTTATTAAGGGTGGCCTGCTATTATAATTATAAGTATTAGGTTATAATATAATATCCCCCTCTTACTAGTTTTACTTTTAAGACCTTACTTTACTTTATATAATATTATAAGTCCCTTACTATATAAGTTCTTATTTTTTTTTTATTTATTATACTTTTATTTATTTATTATATTAACTTACTTTTATTATATTAAATTATATTACTAAAAGTATTTACCTAAAGACTTAAAAATATAAAAGTCTTTTATAATTTATTATTAAAAATGCTATTTTAATAAATAAGTAATATTCTTTTTATATCTTTTAAGGCTATAAAAAGTGCCTAGTGTCTTTTATTAATTCTTCTTATTACTTAAAGTGTATTTAGTTAAATAAATCTTATTATAATATTTAAGGACTTTCTTTTAAATAGCTAAAGTATATTACTGCTTATTACTTTTATTTTAAAAATAAATTAAAGGCAGCTAAATAAAAGTATTATACTATTAATATTAAGGTTAAGTAATTATAAAAATAAAAAAAGCTTTAGTATAAAAAAATATATTATACT